TTTATTTTCTATTAATTTATTTTTTTTTTTTATTCTTTCCTTTGGCTAATTTATTATTTTTTAAGATTGTTTAATTTACTTCTTTCGTTTTTTATAACATAAAAAAAAAAAATTTCGGTACCTCTTTCGCAATTTACTTAAGTCAAAGACCTCCATTCAATTCAAAAATATTTTTCGCTTGCCAAATCAAATCCCTAGAAAATCAACTCTCAAACTAATTTTTTTTATTTTTATATTCAATAACCTGTTTAACCTGTCTTAACTCAATTATTTTGAAATTTTCAACTATATATTATTTTTTTATTTTCTAGTTATTTTAAATTTATTCGATTTTGTAGAAATCTTATCTACATATATAGGTTTCATTTCTGTTAAATAACCATTAATATAAAATAATTAAGAATATTTATAACATTTACTTATTATTTTATTTTTCAAACCGAATAATGTAATGAAATTTTAAAGGAAACTAATAAGTTTGTGAGCCAATGTTAAGTTAAGAAAAGATTGTTTTACAATAATTTTGGGAAAATATGGCGAAAGGAATTCCTGGGTTATTGGTTTTTCATTAACCAATTATAATATATCATAATTTCTGTCTCAAAATGTTGGTGATAAGTAGGTTACATATAAAGTCGAACAATTTCTAGATTTCTTTTTTATAATGAAATTATATCCAATCACCAGCTAATTAACTTTTTTATAGATTCTCTCAATTTTATTACTTTTCAATTGACTCCTAAATTTTATCTACTGTTTACATATTCATCAATTAATAAAAAATTGTCCATTTACCGCCCACAACTGATAAAGTAGTCAAATGCAAAATTTCATAATATATTTAGATCAAAAATATATAGAAATGACTTTTTGATTCTATCAGTTAGTGAAACTTCTTTAGAAAAAAATTAAAAATATAAATGAAGGATGTGACTAATTATTGGCAGCAGGATTAAATGGCTAGAGCATAATAGCCAGAATGAACTTCTTAGCTGAGAGCAATTTTATAGCCATACAAGATGACTTTAGGAAAGTCAATGTCAGAAATCGAATGTCATTTATTTGTTCCGTATCCCTTATCAAACTTCATTCCAATACCACTAATTTAGGAGTATCGAGTTTACTAAACATTTAGTAATTAGTAATTTTATTAGGCAAAAGGGTTAAAATATTTAAAAATCAATAAGTTTTGTATATTCCAATTATCTAAATATATCTATCTCTTTTCTTATTTCTCAAATTTAATTGAGAAATCCATTACCCAGATTATTTAATCATAAAAATCATTTTCTGTTCTGATAGATTGGCGAAAACACACAATGTACTAATTATTATTTATGTAATTATATTTTGTTTTATATAATTAATAATCATTTCATTGATACTCAATTTAATAAATTTAAAAATTCTATTCTGTCTTTTCCCACAAAATAATATATTTAGCATTATTTGTCATAGTTCCTTATATTGAATTATTTTAAAATTTCAATTTTGTTGAGATTCGATATCTACCTTGAGTTTATTTTGTTAATAAATAAACATGAAATTTATGTCTTAATAATATAATCTCCTTCTCTTTGTTAAAAACAATTGGAAATAAATTCAAATTGTATACATCAGAGGATATAATTAACTATTATTCTTTTTCTTTTTATTCTACAAAATCTCCATTAATTAATTCAAAATAACTTAGGCAATCCTTCCCATTTTTATTTCCACAGATCCAAATAAATTGGTTCTCTTTAATAAAACAGACAGTCACTCCTGATTCATTTATTGATTATTTAACAATTTAATAAAACTCCCATTTTTTCTCTTTTGATTTCTTCCAAATTATAATTTATTATTCTGCTCCACAAGAAACTAAGAAAGTCTCTGATTCATTTAATGATAATCCAAAAACATCAAGAGTATGTTTCATTAAAGAATAAGAGAACTTCAGATTATTATTATTGAAATCAACTTTCCATATTTTAATTGATTTATCCACACTTCCAGAAAATAATGTATTCTCTTTTTTACATAATAACAAACATTCAATCCAATTAGTATGTTCTTAATATGATTATTAACTGTTCCATTCTTAACCATTAAGTTGTTTCCAACATCTGATTGTATTATCATTTGATCCAGAAATGAAACTATTTTATAATTTGCTAAAAAGTAAACATCTAATATTCTAATTATGTCCTTCTAATTTTTTCACTTCTTTTAGCTATCCATCTTTAAAATCCCATACTTTAATATATTAATTACAACCAGAAACCATAATTTATCCAGTCTAATTAAAGGCAATGGTCCAACAAAAATCTGATTATTTTTATTGATTATTAATAGGTTTAAGAGTAATTTTAGGCTATTAAATTGAAATAATTTCTAATAATGATTCTTTAGTATCAGTTATATATTTTCTATAGTGTGAATTCAATTAAGTTAGTTTTAATTAAATCTTATTAATTGATGTTTTATTAATCTTTATAATAGATTGAACGAATAATTCATAATCGTTTTCATGAGATTGTGATTAATTAATATAATTATCTAATTCTTATATAAAATTATAAGAATTATGAACTTACTCTTGAGAAATAAAATTATCCATCCAATAATCGAAAAATCTTTGAATTGAATCAATAGTTTAATTAAATGTTTATTTCCATTGATCAATAGAATTAAATAATTTAGTCAGTTGTTCCTTTTTCTAAGATATCAATGAGATTTTCTTTTGTATATTCTCTTTAATATTGTTTTCAATTTTGGATTCAATATTATTTAAGCCTACTATTTTCATATCTGGTCTAATATTTAACATACATTCACTGCATAATAGTCTATCATTCATTTTTACATCTTTTCCTATATCTATTGCAATAATAGGAAGATCATGATTCTCAGAACATCTTAAAGTCTCTTTTTCTATCAAATTTATTTATATCATTTAATTAATAATATTAAAAAATTTATGCAGTTAAATTGTCATAAAGTAGGAATAATGCGACACTTTACCAGTTAATTTCAGAATTAATTTCTCTTGCTGTTAAGAATGAGAGGACTGACTGTGATTAAATTTTTAAGTTTTTTTTGATCAGGATATGGAATCAGCTTTTACAGTATATGTTAATTATATAAACTTAAAGTAGAAGCTTGAAATCTATACTGAGAGATATTCATTTTGCCTTTTTTACGATGAAAATGGAGATACCATTCAAGGAGGATGTTTATTTTTTGAATAAATTGGCTTCTATCAATTTGAGATATTTTCATAGATTAATTAGTGAAATTAAGTATCAAAAGACATTTCTTTACAATATTAGGATAATGAAGTTGTGATATTTTAAAATAGAATATTTATTGATTAATAGTCAAAATAAAGGATATACAAATTGAGTTGATTAAGACAACCTATCATTCTTGGGAAGGATAAAAAAAATTTTAGATAGATTGAGATATAAGACAGAAATTAAAAAAATGTTCATAAATTAGATTGATGAAAATTCCTTATTCATACTATCCCATAATTATAATAATATAATTTAATAAATCGAAAATGTACATATTTGGGAAATCGAGTACAATATTAGCTTTTGAAAGGAATGACCCTAAGTTAACTTTTTATTAGTCAAGATTTAGTCTCCATTTGGTGTATTGGGTATTTGTAAAAAATAATTCAAAAAGCATTGATGCCCATAAAAGTTTGGGTATTTAATAATCGAACGATTCAAGATTAATCTCTTGCCTAGGAACATATGTTTTTTTTTAATTTAAGAAATTGATATGCAAGCATTTGAACAAGTAATTGTAAATATGAATTAGGACAAAGTAAGATAATAGTATATGAAAGTTATTTGAAGATGAAAAATTTTATACAACTTTATAAGACAAATTCATAAATTGTCCAGAGGCATACATAAACAGAAAAATAATAAAACAGATTCTGATAATAGAAAAAGCTTTCGTACTTCAAAATCATGCATTTAAACATGAAATAAGCTTTCAATTAATAAACAATTAATTAATTGTTTTCCTTATGATGTAAAATTATTATGCTGAGTCTTCAAAGAAATAGAGCTTTCTCATTAAAATTTGAAGATTTTCTAAAGAAAGATCTAAATTTTATCAAAATAAAATGAAATTAAATAAATTTCTCTGACTTTTAAATGTGAATTATCGATTAAGGAATCGAATCAAAGATAAAGGTGCAAGCTATAGTAAATATTATAGCGTTTATGTTCCAAAATTATTTGATAAAAATTCCTAATCACTAAATTATATAAATTAAAATATATTATAGAAAAAGTGTTTGTTAATAAATATCTGGAATTAGAACAATATATGAGATAAAATCAATTATTTCAGCAAAGGAGATTGGCCATTCACAATTATGCAGAAATAATGCAATAACTCAAAAGGTCTTGGATATAGAATTCATCTTATTTTCAAGAAAGTAAACCGTATAATTATTATGTGTAGATAATTTTAAAGATAAACTCCTTTAAGCTCTAAGAATTTATTAATATTTGCTCAAAACCAAATGCTGATCAAAATGTAGATATTAATTTAAAATTACAAACATATTCTTTGGTTCCTGAATATGATAAACTGTTACATTCGAAAAATGAAAAAGCATTTCTTGTGGTTTAGCTAGAAACTAAGATTCGTATACTTCTTTGCAAAAATAATTTTGGATATAATGACAGAATAATAATATTTATTAATTTATTTTTTACTGCTAATAGTTGAATCAACGATTTCAGAATGGAGAAGATTAAAAATTTTAAGAAACTAATCATTAATAAGTGAGGAATATTTTGTGAATAGAGATCCATCTCATGTATATAGAAAATCATCATTTATATATTCATAAAATAGAAATGATTTGTATCTAAAGAAAAACATAATTTAATAGAAATGATTCCTATTATTGTATATTCTTAAAAAATATGCTTTACAATTGAGTAAAATTTGAACTACTCTTTTTGTGCTCTATTGTAATAATTTACACCTCATCTTTGAATATATGGAAATTCAATATTATGTACTAATACACTATCTCAAATCTTATTTGAATTATACATTTAAAATTGCTTCTGTTCCCAAATAGAATCGGTAATTCTTACCAAAGAAATTTCAAAATTTGATAACTTAATTTTATAATTAATTATTATCAAATGTATTACTTTAGAATATTATTGACTCAGGTAGTAATTTATTTTTTGACCTTTAATTATTGGAGAATAGACATTGTTGATTGCTTAAGCAATAGTCCTTTCTATTAAACTATTAACATAAGAAAAGAGATGTAGGAAATTGAATTATACTCAAGAAAGTATAATTTGTTGAATTTTAAAATCAATACGCGAAAGAAATCTAATTTCAAGATCTTAAATGAGAAATTTTCATATAAATAGTATAATGTTTATTGAATAAAATTAAACATTTATTTAGTATATAATTTATTTAGTGGATTGATAAAAATTATTTAAATCTGTCTATTTTAATCTATTTAAATATTAATCTGAAAGTGTAATAGTAACAATAGAAATGATTATTTTTTTGATTTTGGAAGTTCTATTAGAATAGAATTTTGTTACTGTTTTTAGAAATAATCCAAATATCATTAGCTTGAGATAAGAAGATAAGCCTTAGATAATAATTGAAAGTTCGATTTGTATATTCAATCAAGTAATTGTCAGCATTAAACTTATCGAGTTTTAAAGATTCACTGCTAGAAATCATATAAATTGACCTTATTTTATTTTAATAATCCTTTGAAATCTTATTCTCAAGAAATAAGATCAGTTTTTGCTTTTACAAAGAAATTTAATTTATTGATAATATACAAAAGATATAAAAACAGCAAAGAGGCTTGAATTGCAGAGTAGATGATTATCAAAATAATATTGCATAATAAATTTGTATGAATTACTAAGGATGGGCCTAGGATTTTATAAGGGAATTACCATGCAATCATATATAATTAAACTATATCAATAAAGGATAATAACTCTATGATAATGCCTGATCAATTTATTTGTATAAAACCTTTAGGTTATAATCTATTTTTTTCATAATAAACAAATGTCTAATTTAATAAGAAATGATTTTTGCATTCCCTATAATCAAAAATTAATGAAATAATAACTTAATATTATTATTAATAGCCATTAAGCGATTTGAGATTGAATGAATTTCTTTTATATTAGCATATATTAATAATTTTCTAAAGATTTGTTTATTATAAATGAATCTAATTTATGTTTACTATTTCATAAATAGAAAAGAGTTTGTTTGAAATCTTTGACATTATGTTATTATTTTATTTTAATTAAACAAATATATAAAGGAGATTTCTAAGAAATATGATTTATTTTAAAGTTGATGGTAAGGAAATAAAATTAAGGTTTTAATAAATGTTATTTGAACAAAAATAATTTGCGTATAAAATAAAATAAAGATATCATGAAAAATTACAAGAAAGTAAATTATACGCCAATAATTTTATTTAGCTGTAAGAATTAATAATGAATATGTTCCATTAATATAAAGATAACGAAAAATACAAAAAATAATAAGTAAATGTTATATCTATGGATTAAAGATATTAAGAAACATATAAAAATTGATATAAATCGTAATAAAGATTAATTGCAAGCAAATCACTAGAATTAGGAAAGACTTTTAATTAGAGGTTTAATTTTGTTAATTTGTAGAAAAAGTAGTATAATTTGAATTAATATTGCTAAAACTTGAATAAGAAATATCAGAAATATAAGGAACATCAGAAAAATAAGAAAATAATAAATAATTAAGAATAATAAGTAAAGTTTATCTGATTTTTTGAGGTTTAATATAGGAATTGGAAAATTTAGAAGAAACTATCGAATATTAGATTGTTGAAGCAAAACATTATTTAATAAAAGGTATAATCTTAAGCAATTTAAACAAAGCATAAGCCTTAGAAAATTTGAATAGATTTGAAGAAGCTTTAATGATATATGACAAGGCAATTTAAAGATATCCTAATAATTCAAGATTATATGCAGAAAAAGGTTTGAATAATATCAAGGATTTTAGCAAAGACTTTAAAANGGGAATTACCATGCAATCATATATAATTAAACTATATCAATAAAGGATAATAACTCTATGATAATGCCTGATCAATTTATTTGTATAAAACCTTTAGGTTATAATCTATTTTTTTCATAATAAACAAATGTCTAATTTAATAAGAAATGATTTTTGCATTCCCTATAATCAAAAATTAATGAAATAATAACTTAATATTATTATTAATAGCCATTAAGCGATTTGAGATTGAATGAATTTCTTTTATATTAGCATATATTAATAATTTTCTAAAGATTTGTTTATTATAAATGAATCTAATTTATGTTTACTATTTCATAAATAGAAAAGAGTTTGTTTGAAATCTTTGACATTATGTTATTATTTTATTTTAATTAAACAAATATATAAAGGAGATTTCTAAGAAATATGATTTATTTTAAAGTTGATGGTAAGGAAATAAAATTAAGGTTTTAATAAATGTTATTTGAACAAAAATAATTTGCGTATAAAATAAAATAAAGATATCATGAAAAATTACAAGAAAGTAAATTATACGCCAATAATTTTATTTAGCTGTAAGAATTAATAATGAATATGTTCCATTAATATAAAGATAACGAAAAATACAAAAAATAATAAGTAAATGTTATATCTATGGATTAAAGATATTAAGAAACATATAAAAATTGATATAAATCGTAATAAAGATTAATTGCAAGCAAATCACTAGAATTAGGAAAGACTTTTAATTAGAGGTTTAATTTTGTTAATTTGTAGAAAAAGTAGTATAATTTGAATTAATATTGCTAAAACTTGAATAAGAAATATCAGAAATATAAGGAACATCAGAAAAATAAGAAAATAATAAATAATTAAGAATAATAAGTAAAGTTTATCTGATTTTTTGAGGTTTAATATAGGAATTGGAAAATTTAGAAGAAACTATCGAATATTAGATTGTTGAAGCAAAACATTATTTAATAAAAGGTATAATCTTAAGCAATTTAAACAAAGCATAAGCCTTAGAAAATTTGAATAGATTTGAAGAAGCTTTAATGATATATGACAAGGCAATTTAAAGATATCCTAATAATTCAAGATTATATGCAGAAAAAGGTTTGAATAATATCAAGGATTTTAGCAAAGACTTTAAAATTTATGATGCTTCCTTAATAAGCCCTTTAATACGATGAAAAAGTAATCGATATGGATCCATAAAATGCAGACAATTATGCAAAAAAAGGTAAAGATTTAAATTATATAAATTTAGCATTCACATTATTATAATTAAATAGACAATAAGATGCGTTGAATTGTTTTGAGATTGCTATTGAAAAAAAACCTAATGAATCAAAATATTATTATGGAAAAGGTGTTAATTAAAATAATTATAAGGATGTGCTTTAAAATTGTTGTTTCGTTTTGATGACTGTTTAATTTCTCTTGATCAAGCAATTTAGATTAATCCTAAAGAATCTCTTTTATATGCAGAAAAAGGTAAAATTAAGTTGAAATAAAAAAAGCTGATGCATTAGGAAGAAAAGATAATCTAAAAGAAGCATTGGTTTAATACTGTAAAGCTATTGAGCTAGATCCTTCAAATTCTAATTATTATGCAGGAAAAGGTAATTTTAATTTTATTTTCAAAATTTAGCTCATATTTTACAACTCATGAAAAGATTCGTTGAAGCTTTGGATGAATGGGAATAAGCAATTAGTAAAAATCCTGATAATCCAATTTATTATTCTGGATAAGGTGGAAATTATTCATTATTATTAGCATATGCTTTAAGACAATTGGATCGAGACAAAGAAGCTATCCAATCATATGATTTAGCCATTTAAAAAAATCCTGAAAATAGTAAGCATTATTCAGGAAAAGGTTGAATAAAAAATTATATCTTTTAAGCTTATTCTTTAAGAAAATTGAAACGTCATAAAGATGCTTTGATTTGTTATGATAATGCAATTTTTTATAACTCTAATGATTCTTATGTTTATGCCTAAAAAGGTTAAATATATATAGATATTTTTCAATTAGGTATTACATTAAGAGATATGAATCTCTATTAAGAAGCCTTAGAATGCTTTGAATAAGCTATTTAAAAGAATATAGAAGAATAAGAATATTTTATACTTAAAGGTTTGTTTTATAATTATTTTTAACTAGCTGATACTTTAAGATTAATGAATAAACCAATAGAAGCATTGGATTGTTATAATGAAGCTATTTAAAGAGCTCCAAATGATGAAAGATTTTATGCAGCAAAAGGTTATTGTTAAATTTGACTATATAAAGCATAAGCATTAAGACTTTAGAATAAGTATTTAGAAGCTTTAAAATTTTTTGATTAAGCTATTCAAAAAAATTCAGAAAATTCAACTTATTATTCAGGAAAAGGTAAAATTACATAATATAATAGCTGATACACTAAGAGATTTGAATCGTCATGAAGAAGCTTTGAAATATTTTGATTTAGCAATTTAATACAACCCTGAACATTCAGAATATTATGGAGGTAAAGGTAAGAATAAACACAATAATAATAGCTGATTCATTAAGACATTTAAATCGTTTAGAGGAAGCGTTATAATATGCTGATCTAGCTATATAGTGGAATGATAGTTTGGCTGACAATTATGAACTAAAAGGTAAATAAAATATGTTTTATATAATAGCAAATATCTTAAAGTTTATGTATCATATTCGAGAAGCTTTGTAATATTTTGATTTAGCAATCCAAAAGAATCCTAAAAATCCAAACTATTATGCTGAAAAAGGTATAAATAAATATTGATTAAAAATAATTAAAGCTGATACTTTAAGAGTAATTCAATAATTTGAAGAAGCTTTAAAATCTTGCAATTTAGCTTTAAATATTGAACCATAAAACTTAAATTATATATAAATTAAATGTAATCCAAACTATATTTTTAGTGTTAACTTTAATTCAAATGAAACATCATAAAGAAGCAGCAGAATATTAATAATAATTACAATAAATAATTCCAAAAAAAGTTTTAAATAATTTAAATTGTGAAAATAATTGAAATATTTTAGGGAATATCTTAATTTAGATACAAAAATATCATGAATACTAAAATTCATGACATAAAAGACATTTGAACCTTTATAACAAGCATATAAATATTAACATAACAATAATCGAATATCATCCACTTTCCCTTTTTTATAAACACCAATTTTAAGTCTAAATTATAATCTTAATGCATATGATTCTTAAAAGTTCTCTTTATTTATCATTTTTATTTTTCATTTTTTTGAATTAATATGGTTTTAATATTTATTTTAAATAAATTAAATCATTTTATAAAATTTTATCTCAATAAAATCTTAAAATATTATGTGAGTGTTAACCTTTATAATTTTGTTTATTTTTGATCCAAATTCTGTCTAGAATTTTTCTTTTTATTCTCATAATATTTTATATAAAAAAATATGATATTGTATATTGTTTTGAATTAAATCCAAAAATTGTGTTAAGTTGAAAATTGATTTGTATATAAGACTTTTTATTTTCTAAGTTGTCAATTTATTAATGAATAAAGAATTGATATTTTTAAAATAGTAAGAGGATGTACATAAAAATAAGCCTAAATTAAAATGATTAAAGAAAGGAGAGAGAAGATGATTATTTATTTTGTAAAAATTGAATATTTTTATCTTATTGATTATTATTTATATCGCTTCATTGAGCAACAGAATAAACGATTTCGGTAGTTGAAAGTCCATATCCAGTATTAAATTTAGGATTAAGGATTTTGGGTACTTGATCTGAATCATACTTTGGATAATCCTTAATTGATTCTAGAGTAGAAATCCATGGAGATGGTAATTTATTGAAAAAATTGTCAGGTCCTCCAAATCCATATTCACCAAAGATGGATTTAACAATAGCTTCACCTCCAGTAGTTCCAGGAAGCCAAGCAGCTATAAAGGCTTGAGTTATAGATAGAGGGTCATCTATCAACATTGGTCTTCCACTTATTAAAACAGTGATGATCTTACTTTTACCTTTAAAGATACTATTAATTAACTAAAATATAATGACATAAATACTTATTTTTCATATGCTCCTGCTTTGATTTCCAATCTGGTAGATTATGATTGAGTTTGATAAACATTATCATGCATTTAATATAAACAACCTTTTTTATCTTAAGTTTAACAATATTGACAATTAATATCTCCCATATACTCAGCATATGGATTTTCTGCTAATAAATGAATGAGAATCGTATTGGTTTCTGTAAATTAATCTTTAATGGAGTCTAATTTGTTTTTGAATGCAGCTCTGTCTTAAAGAATAGCATTATAATTAGTAGGATCGTTATATTATGGGTGATGTATTTAAGCTTCTTAGAATCTTGTTTTGATAGCATCTAAGATAGAGGTAGCTTATGATTAATCCTTTAAATTTCCAGTCCAATAATCATTTCCATTATATCCTTACCATCTAATAGTCCATCCACCATTTTATGCTCCTATATTATTATAATCTTAAAATATTTAATATTATCCATTTCCAATAGGTACATATCTATCACCTAATAAAATAACATGTTGAATAGAATTTTTATTGACTGGAATAACATCATCTTTATTTTACAATAAGACCAATGATTAAAGTGCTGCTTGCAATGCATCTTAATATTCTTATACTTTATCTTTTACTATTTAAGCCATTTTTCTTTTTGGTAAATCATATATTTAACTGACAGATTCACTTACTTCAATCAATCCCATTTTTTATTTAATTGTCAATATTCTTTTAACAGCATCATCTAATCTTGATAAATCAATATTTGGTTTTTGTTGATCTTANATAATAAGTTTAATTGAATGTAATTGTATATTGTTTTGAATTAAATCCAAAAATTGTGTTAAGTTGAAAATTGATTTGTATATAAGACTTTTTATTTTCTAAGTTGTCAATTTATTAATGAATAAAGAATTGATATTTTTAAAATAGTAAGAGGATGTACATAAAAATAAGCCTAAATTAAAATGATTAAAGAAAGGAGAGAGAAGATGATTATTTATTTTGTAAAAATTGAATATTTTTATCTTATTGATTATTATTTATATCGCTTCATTGAGCAACAGAATAAACGATTTCGGTAGTTGAAAGTCCATATCCAGTATTAAATTTAGGATTAAGGATTTTGGGTACTTGATCTGAATCATACTTTGGATAATCCTTAATTGATTCTAGAGTAGAAATCCATGGAGATGGTAATTTATTGAAAAAATTGTCAGGTCCTCCAAATCCATATTCACCAAAGATGGATTTAACAATAGCTTCACCTCCAGTAGTTCCAGGAAGCCAAGCAGCTATAAAGGCTTGAGTTATAGATAGAGGGTCATCTATCAACATTGGTCTTCCACTTATTAAAACAGTGATGATCTTACTTTTACCTTTAAAGATACTATTAATTAACTAAAATATAATGACATAAATACTTATTTTTCATATGCTCCTGCTTTGATTTCCAATCTGGTAGATTATGATTGAGTTTGATAAACATTATCATGCATTTAATATAAACAACCTTTTTTATCTTAAGTTTAACAATATTGACAATTAATATCTCCCATATACTCAGCATATGGATTTTCTGCTAATAAATGAATGAGAATCGTATTGGTTTCTGTAAATTAATCTTTAATGGAGTCTAATTTGTTTTTGAATGCAGCTCTGTCTTAAAGAATAGCATTATAATTAGTAGGATCGTTATATTATGGGTGATGTATTTAAGCTTCTTAGAATCTTGTTTTGATAGCATCTAAGATAGAGGTAGCTTATGATTAATCCTTTAAATTTCCAGTCCAATAATCATTTCCATTATATCCTTACCATCTAATAGTCCATCCACCATTTTATGCTCCTATATTATTATAATCTTAAAATATTTAATATTATCCATTTCCAATAGGTACATATCTATCACCTAATAAAATAACATGTTGAATAGAATTTTTATTGACTGGAATAACATCATCTTTATTTTACAATAAGACCAATGATTAAAGTGCTGCTTGCAATGCATCTTAATATTCTTATACTTTATCTTTTACTATTTAAGCCATTTTTCTTTTTGGTAAATCATATATTTAACTGACAGATTCACTTACTTCAATCAATCCCATTTTTTATTTAATTGTCAATATTCTTTTAACAGCATCATCTAATCTTGATAAATCAATATTTGGTTTTTGTTGATCTTATTCTTGTACTAATTATTTAATCAAAGTCTAATAACCTTCAACGTTTTCAGAAATCATCTACATATCAACTCCAACTTTAAATGAATCAGCATATGCTTATTCTAAAGATATAGCTTCAGATTCTCTAGGTAAATCAACTTAGGCAGTCTTAATAACAGAATTATAATCACTAATAACAAATCCTTCAAAACCTAATCCAGTTGGTTCTTTTAATATTGTATTAACAAATGGATGTACACTCATAGCCTTATTATTAATAGCATCATAGCTAATCATTATATTACCTGTTTTTGCTTCTACAGCACCTTCATATCCTTTTATATTATCTTAAATAAAAACATCTATATATTGTTCCTCCACAACTGAATTTCCTTCTTCATACCCATTTATAGTAGCTCCATCTCCTATAAAATGTTTAACTGATGTTAAAACTCCTTCTATATTATTTGTAACTGCATCTATATTCTATGCTACTTGTACAAATGTCTTTGCATATTATTTTACTCTTTCTGTATCTTCTCCTAAAGTTTCATAAAATCTACCCCATTAAGGATTATGGGATACAGCTACTGTAGGTGAAAACACAAAATTAAATCCACTCTCAATAACACTATCTCTCATCCATTTTGCTGAATTATTAAAGTTTTAAGTATTATTAGATGCTGCCAAACCAATATTATGTGGAAATAGTATCTCACCAACAGAATGCTGATTTCCACGTATTGCATCTGTACCAAGTAATGGTTTAATAATTACTGTTGTTGCTTCATTTGCACTTATATTCACTAGTACACTTACACCTTATTCTAATGCCAACTATGCAACTTTTTTCCATTATTCATTATTTGCATTTATACATGAATCTTTTGTACTAATATTACTATTCTCATCAGGACATCCATTTCCTCCTACTAACAATGATCCAAGATTCCATTACTTTATCTTATCATATTGTGTTTTACCTTCATCATCATTCAAATACATAAAATCTATTTGAGTTGTTTAACCAATCTTCTCTTCCAAACTCATACTAGCTACTATATCATCTATTAATATATCTGCTTTCTTATTTCCCTTGCTACCCTTGCTACCATTGCTTATTACCAAAAATAGACACAAATAAAATATCAATTTCATTTTTATTTACTTTTTTTTTCATTTATCACTCTATTTATATTACATTTTATAGAATTACAATTTATGTAATATGGATTTTTATTACTTTCTTTATAAAATTATTATTTTTATATTTTTTTTAAGTTATCTATGAATCCCTGTCATTAGGAAATATCAATTCATTATAAAATGAATATTCTTATCTTATTTCATATTAAAGAGAAATTCTTACAATAATATTATATCAAATAATCTCTTTCTAAGCACAATCGATTTCGCTCTAATTTTTTTTTGAAAATTTTACTAATGATTCTTTTAAAGAAATGAATAAATTAATTATAAGAATTGTAGAATTAATATTATTGGATTTAAAATTAAATTGATTTAAAGTAGAAGATTCCTAGAAATTAATATCATATTGCTGGAATAATTGTTGATTATGAATTATTTTGAAAAAAACAATAAAAATTTTGATATTCATGATTACATCGATTAAAATTGAAAGTTTTAATTCTAGAAGATGATATCTTAAATAATTAATTCTCATATTAATAATATAATAATAAATATTATAAGTAAAGAATGGAGAAAAAGAGAATAAATAAATAGATAAATAAATATAATTATAATTTATTAAATATACATAAATATCAATATTCTAAATAATTTAGATAATCTTATCTTTGTTTTAAATAATCATCATATTCAAAATGAGTTTGAATCATTTAATTTTGATTTTCAGCTTTAATATAATTTTCTTGTTAATTAATTTAATAATCAAATATCAGTGGATTATTGTAATTTAATTTATCGGTCGTAAAATACTGGAATTCATTATCTATTAATTGATCTATAAAAATAAGAAATATAATACGAGATTGATGAATTTGATTGAATAACATTTTCTTTTTTCTTCCTGCTCTACTTCTTTATGATCTTGGTAATCTTTTTCCATTATCTCCTCTTAAAGCATAAGGATTGAATTTCTAATGATGACTTCTACATTAACTAGGTGTACGAGTGCCAATTAATTCACTCATTTATTTAAATATTTTGGATGTCTTTTTCATCATAGAGGAGTTCATAATTGTTTCATATTAAGATAAGAAATTAATATATGTTGAATGTTCAATAGCAGACCAATGTCCAGTATTAATATTTTCTTTTTTTTATTTTTTAGTTAATTTGGTTGATTTATTGATTTATTTCGAAGTACTCTAATGTCCTTTTGTAGTTAAATGTGATTATAATTTAGGAAGAAGAGCTCCTTACTTTATATGCATAATTGAATTATAGAGTGGTATGATTTATTAAAGACTTGAATAATGAATATAAAATTATTACTTCAAGTCATTCTATTCAATGGGTTCTTCTATTTAATCTTTAGTTTTTGGTAAAAGTTCTTTTGACTTATTTTATCTAATGGAAGTATAAAATAATAGTTTACTTGTTGTTTTTAGTTTTATTCTTCTTCTTAGATTCCTCTTTTTATTGAGAATCATAATTAATGTATGATTGAGTGAAGTGATTTTAAGGAGATATTGTAAATTCATAAGTATTCTAATATAATGGATGTTCTATTATATTTTTGAATAACATAGATACATTCATATAATTATCGATAATCAATGATAGAAAATCCTGGATGAATCATTCACTATATTTAATATTCTCTTCAATTATAAATGTTAATTTTTTAATAATGAGTAATTCTAAATTATATACTCCAAATGATCTTAATGAATTCGAAAATCACAAACGTTACTCCTCTATGGGAAAGAGTATATCTATTAAAATAATCAATATCTAGTGATGGAATCCATGAAACAAACAGCACCTGCATATGGTTTTGGATCATCTACTAGATATTAAGCATAATCTATCTATAGAGATAAAAAACTCCTTTAAAAAGGTAAGCATAGTCCTGGTCCTTGCTATAATTCTTCTAATTACATTAATTAATTACTATCTAAAAATGCAACTGTTTAAATAGGAACATCTTAAAGAGATTTCTTGAATTCTATTTAATACGATTACTACACAAGACAAGATAGAGATGTATAAAATATTTTTAACAAATTGATAGTTTGAACCTCAAAGGGCCAATGATTTTAGAAAGATGAATTCAACTATTGTAAAAATTGGTCTAACCTAAAGATTTTAAACAGAATATATTAAAAATAAAGTTCCTGGTCCTGATCATTATGATAATCTTATTAAAAAAAGAGGAATTTAATATACAATTGTTCCAAAAAGACCAATATCTAAATCATTTTAAGGTTCAACACCTGATTTAATTGGTCCAGGAGCTTATGATGTTAATAAATCATTAGACATAACTCATGAAAGTTAACCAAGTATTGGATTCACTAAAGAGGAAAAGATGAAACCTGTTAAAAGTGTTGAAAAGAATTAAACATATTATACAATGTATTCTTTTATTAATCATAATTAGGGGATCTATTGGATTACAAATTAAATCTAATTGTGTTACTAAACCATGTTTTTCTATTGGTAAAGAAAGCAGAGATTTTAAACCAGGTATTTTCAAAAGAGATATGGTTGGAATTGTCACCAAAGTTAAAATATCAATCCCTAAATTTTGAATACTGTTTAATTTAATTCAATTCTAATTTAATAGTTTATTAATTTAGTAAAAATAGATAAATACTTTCAATTTCTATATTTAAATTCGTTTTTCTGAGAATTCAATTAAAGAATCAATTGAAGAATATCTTTGGTTAATTAAAATTGTTATTTTCAAAAATTTTGAAATTGATTCTAATATTTTTAGGTATTTTTCACATTTAGCTAATTTTTTGATTTCTTCTATATTTTTAGTTTTTTAAATATTTTATATACAAATATTTATATTTATTAGATTAATCCTCTAATTAAATTTGAAGAGTAATATTAAACATGTTTTCTTAATTCTACTATTCTACTTGGTATTATTTAATAATAAAATTTTTGATTTTTTTTTTTTTAACCCATACAGAATCCATATGAGATAATTTTTTTGATATTAAATTTGAATCAAATTGAAAATTATTTTTAGGATTGAGAAAGTTCATAGAGATAGTTTAAAAAATAATTTCAAATATTATATATCAATAGGTATTGCTAATTAATTTAATTATTTTGAATGTCAAAATTATTAGTTAATAGACTTTCTAATATTTTTTCGATTGTTTCTTCTAATATATTCTTTCTTTTAAACTTCTTTTTTTAATTATGGATAACTAAAAAGTTCTTTTGGTTCAATTAAGATTTGAATAATACAATTTCTTTTATCTTTAAAATTAATTTTAAGATGGCATAAATATATATATATTTATGTTTATGAATACATATATATTTATATAATAGAAATTAAATATTTTTTGAGTGTTTATTATTTATTATGATAATGTCAAAAGACTGGATATGATGGTACTATTTGAATACCACATTATCCTTCTTTAGCAGCAATTAATGCTAATCTCATATATCCATTTTCACCCCAACTAGCTCCCCAAGAATTCTTAATAGTATAAGAATCTTTAGCATAACCAACAGCTAAAACACCATGATCTAAATCATCAACTACTTTAGCAGTACAAGTTCTAGAAAAGATACCACTACTATAGAGTTAGAACCATATACCACTGGCTTTAATTGCAACACTAAAAATATAAAATAATATATTACGAAACTGAGGTATTAGCAATGGCTTCATGAAGTGCATCAAAATTAGATGATTCAACATCAACAAATGAATCTATATAATACTTCTTTTTCAATCCAGTTTTACAAGCTTAATCAACTGCTTTATATGGATATTCTTCTTCTGTAGCTACACCATAATTTACTGTATAATCAAAAGCATCATTCATCCAACCACCATTACATCCTGCACTTTCATATCCTAATTTTTCTGTTGTGCAATCAACAAATTCTTATTCTGAGATATTTACTTTCTCTTTCTTTTTATGTGTAAATCCAGCTTCTATGGCAGCAGCAGCTGAAAATGCCCAACAAGAACCACAATTTCCTTAATTCTTTACTGTCAAACCTTATTTCCAATCTACTGTATCTGGATAACTTAATCCAGAATATTTCTTAACATTCTTTCTCTCTTTTACTTTTCCTTTTAATGTAAGGTATATTGCTGAGAATTCTTCTTCTGTAAGATCAGCAAATTAATTCATTCCTAATGTGAATGTTTCTTATCCAAGTTCAAATTTTGAATTGTGTTCCATTACTATGGCCAAATTTTATGCAAATATTGAGAATCTATGTACTTCTTCATATCCATTGTAAGTCTTTCCAAATTATTATTTCCAAGTCTTAAATTATCCTTCCAATGTTAGACTCTCGTCTTTACCATTCATATAATAGGCTGCTGATGTCAACAGTGTTACTGTTAATAAAGCTATTAATTGCTTCTCCATATATATATTAATGTTTCATTTCATCAATATTGGTTCGATTAAATATCACTTACGATTACGTCATAGTATTAATACTATTAAAGTATTTATTTTATAATTCAATTATAATTATATTAACATCTTTTAAAAGCAATCATTTTACTCAAATTGACTAAAATTCCACCCATCTTCAACTTAATAAATTATTATATAAGAAATTCTTAATTATTCTCATTAAATTTTTATTGACAATAATTTATAAAATAACATCTAATAAATTATAATGAGTCAAAGCAATATAACATAAAGAATTCCATCAGGGAATAAATAAGAAACTAAGGAAATTAAAGAGAATATGATTCAGGATAGAATTATGTAAGAGTTATCTTTAAAATATAAAGCGGTCCCATTTGTAAAGCTCCTGGCTATCTTAAAGATCAATATATTAAACATGGCTATAGAATCAACTTCAAAAACAAAAAAGACGTTATAAAAAGCATGTTCATGTGGCATAATGAATTAGTCAATATTTGGACTCATTTAATTGGTGCTATAATAATAGTGTCACTAATATTTTACCTTTGGTTAAATTATGATGAACTCTTTCGTCACAAAGCTATCCAGTCATTTAATGGTACTTCAAACTACCATTTATGTAGAATCATTACACAACATTTATGAGCATGCTTACACTCTAGAATAATAAATATAAGAATAATTAGAAAATGGATTTCACCATCTATAAGATGACATTTTATTGATGTAGAAGGAATTACATGAAAAAATAGATAATGTTAATAAGTATTTCGATGAAGTAGCTCATTAATACGATCAAGAATTCTCAAAAATCCAAAAAAATATAGCTGAAGCATTTGATTGGGAAAACTTGAAATGGAAATATAATATCTCAGAAATCATCTAAGATTATCAATAAAAAGCTACAGAAATAGTTGAATCTAAAGAATTTGATTGGATAGATCTCTATCTAGAATTTCAACATTTAACTGGAGGATAAAGTATTGATGAAGAAAAACTACATAAAATGATATCAAGATGGCCATTAATTGCTTTCCTTGTATCTGCAATTATCTGTTTAGGTTGTAGTACAACTTACCATTTATTTTATTGTCTCTCTGAAAATGTCAACAAAGTTCTAATTAGATTAGATTATGCTGGTATATGTTTTCTTGTTTCAGGTTCGACATTTGCTCCATTATTTTATGGATTTTAATGCAATCTAAAATATGCGATCATATATGCTAGTTTATAAGGCTTTTTTGCAATCATTCTCTTTAGCTTTTGTCTATTTGATTTCTTCTACACTGCAGAATGGAGATCTTTGAAAAATAAATTATTTGCTGGACTTGGATTTACTAGTGCTATTCCACTTATTCATTTTGCAATAGGTGATACATGTTTAGAAGGATATAGCTTTTCTTCATAATTACCATATTATGCTGCTATGGCTATTTCATATTTGTATTACTTAAGATTATATATAGATCTGGATTATATATCTATAATATAAGATTTCCTGAGAAATAAATTCCAGGGAAATTTGATAATTGTGGATAGAGTCATCAAATTTGGCATATTAGTGTAGTAATAGCAATATTATTCACTTATGTTGGATCTTTGAATGCTTATTATTAGAGATTAGATATGCCTTGCAAAGCATGATTATTTTATTGATATATGTTATATGTTAGATAATCAACTTTGATCTCTTATCGGTTTGGTTATAAACAAATTATGGGTTTTCAGTAAAATTTTACTCGTAATAAACAGACTTATTCCAAATATAAATAGTTTGATAAAACAAGAACTATGATAAATAGATTAATCATCCAGAATTAATCCAGGTAATAAACTTGTCATAAGGTACATTAAGAAAATAATCTTTGAATTAGTGTAAATATATTACAAAAATGAATAATTGTAAGACACCATTGAATTAAGGCTTTTTATAATTAATTTTATCAATCTCTAGTTTTCCTAATGCCAAATCAATGCAATTCTAAAAATTGATGATATTATAATATTACTTAATTATGTGCATCTACAAAATTATTAATATAATATCTATGTATTGAATTCTTACCATCTTATAATGATCCCCAGAATGTTCTTTTACCAGTTCTAGTAAAATCAGTTTTCAATGCTCCAGTTCCTGAATATAATATACTCATAATATCTGCATTTTTAGTCCATTAATCTCTAAATATTTATTCTAAATCATTTGGTAATACTTATAAAGCTTCACCAGTTAATGTATGAATAATATTTGTTTAATTTAAAATTTGTAATAAAAAATTTCTACTTACAACTGATTAAACAACATTTGTTCTATCTAAACAATCCATACAATTAGTCCTTACAACTCCTGTTTATTAATTATTTATTTTAGATAAAATATTATTATTGTTCTTATCAATATCTGCATGAAAATATCCTGATTTTTTGAGATCATCTTTAACTTCATTTAATAATTTAGAAAGATTCTCATATTTCATATTTCTACATTCATGATGAAAATCAAACCATACATATTTAATTTTAACAGTTTTTACACCTCCAATCATATTAGTGAAATATTCTCCTAACATTTTTTGTGTTCCTTTTTTATCAATTAAATTAAGAATTATTTATAATTATTAATATGATTATGCGCATGTTTCAAAATGTTTTTTACATAATTCTTAATTATATGATCTATCACCAATAATAGTAGCTTTAGGTGCCCATTTTAATGTTGGTTATTATTACCAATTAAATGGCATAGAACCTCTAGTTTAAATAAATGAATATATTTCTCTGGACTCTTGTCTATTTAGAAATAATATTTATTCAGTTTCAGCAAAATTAGTACAATTTCCTTCTTAATCACATCCTCTTTATACAAATCTTCTTCCTGATCTAAGAGTTTCTCTTCTACTTATTAAAATAAGAAAACAATCAGATTATTAATTAAGTTTACAATATCTAATAAATACACATCCACTTATGAATATTGTTTACCAATATTACAATGCTTATAAATTTGTACTTTAGAATTAATTCAAAAACTTAATATGTTCCCAATTATACACAAAACGATGATTAGGTATTTTATAATAGCGAAGTCCATCAATTATATTTTACTAAGAACTATTAAATTGAGATTAATTTCTTATAACTTTATCAAAAGGATTAGATAAATCATATTCATAACTAAAATATAATGTCTTTGTAGAAAACACTTCCTTTAGCATTTTACAATAATACTAATCATCTTAATGAATACTATTGCTTAAACCAATATGATTACTCATCCATTCTTCCATTTTAAACTAATGGTAAGAAACTTATCTTTTCTACTTACAATATGGTTCTTTACCATATTTGTCCAACCATATTTGCTTCAGTTACCAATAACAAATATGACCAATTCTTTAATTACATCATTCCATAAATTGCAAAAAATCCTATTGATATGTTTTATTTCTATTCTTATATGGATTTAGTCTCTATTTTTGTAACACGACCCATATTATGATAACTTTAGTTATTATTTCAATTTTACATATGTATTTATTCTGGTTAATCAATAGAAAATAATTTAATTTTATCTTGTTAAGTCTCCAAAAATCGTTTCATTGGTATCAATTGTTTGGCATCAACCATTTTTTATTAATTAATATATATATATATATTATTCAATTATCATTATTTCATTTAGTATATTAACATATAATAGAGAATCAAAATTAAAATTCAATGAATTTTTGACCAAAATTATTAATACGAGATTTATATTCGTTGAAATATCATTTCATTATAAATAATTTAAGATTAATTGCACAGATATTAAAAGTTTCTTACTGATCTATGGATTCAAACTTAAATGTAATGCATGATGAGGAAGACTTTGAAACTCTTCACTATAAGTATAAAGAACTAATTACTTTTTCTCCTAAAACTAAAAGCTCAATAAATTCGAATAAAAATTTAAAGACCCTTAAACTAATTCCATTTTAACTGATTTCTGAATCAAATACAACAAATGAGTGCAGTAAATCAACTAATCACACTATTTAATAATAACCAATATAAGTAGTTCAATCTTTAAATATCCTCTAAAATTAATAAAATTAAGAGCCTTGCAATAGAAGAAACTTTTCTTTGTATGAATAGTCAACAAAGAGTCTATCACCTAGGAAAACAAATTATGAGATAGTTTCTGATTACACATTTAAATTATATGAGGGACATAAAAAGGTACGATTTCGAATAAATGAAAGAGTAGAATGATTATGATTTACTAAATAAAATTGACATATTTACTAAATATTAATAACTATAATAGAAATAGTGAATCTTAAAAATTATTTATATTTTTCTTATTCAAAATCGTTGTAATGATTATTTCCTATATAAATGTGGTTCAGTCCGTGTATTTTATGTTTAACCCAAATAGACATCTCTTTCAATCGGTTTATTACTACCATATCTATGTTCAATAATATTTTGTTAATTATTCATAACCTTATATATAATAATAATAGATTACTGGTACAACTTTTACTGGCTGCTATTTAAATGGATTGATAGGTTTCTGATATTCATTTTAACGTAGAGTACGTTCTGTATCTTAAGTAGTGTAATCTTTGATAATATTCATACTCTATCTCTAAGATTTTTATTTAATTTATTCATTTAATTAACCTTTACTTATATGTGAATATTATTGTTGTTTTAATTCATCATTTTCCAAAATTAATCTTTATAAATATTGAGATTGATCTTCCATTTTTCTCTTCATTGTTTCATAACAATTTTCATCTTCCAATTCTGATGGCAATTTCATTTAAGGATTACTTTTCAACAATTTTAATCTAAATCTATTATCTTTCTCTTTTCTAACTAAATCATTAAATTTCATTGTTAAAGTATTTAATTATTAAGTTAAATCCATAATAGTATTCTCATATTTATTTTGTAATTCTTATTCTTTTTCAGCAAAATTTAATTGTAGACTTCTTGTAATTTCTTCTATTTCTTATTATAACTAATAAACTTAATTCTTAAATTTATGAGAATCTTCAGAATTCTTTCGATTTTCTTCATCCAAACTTTAAACTTAAATTCTCATCTTTTTTATTAATTAATCTTAATCAATTTTCTATTTTGTCACATCTGCTAAATCATTCATTGTTTTCTTCCTTTATTCATCATATTCTAAATTAATTATTAATTAATCTTACTCATAAATGCTTCTTATGTTTAATTAAAATTCTATGCCAAATCTTCATTTTAAATACCCATATCATACATTTATTTTTTCAAAACATCAATTTATCTAATAATTAATTAATAAAATTACAATTCATAATTTTCTGTAATTTATAATAATTTTCTATTTAAAGCATCATATTCATTATCTCTTTCTTTAAGAAGATTCTCTAAAGTCAACATTTTTGATTAATTTTATTCACATACATCAATCAATTCTTCTATTCTCTTATTTAATTTTTCCATATCATTTAATTATTATTCACTTAACAATTCAAAATGCTTAGCCTTTTCTTATTATTTCTTTAAATTCTTCATTAATTATTCAGAGTGATCTTATTCATATTTAATTGTTTATTAATATTAAGTAATACATTATTCAATTTATGCTTACACTTCCAATGAATATTATATTTTCATATCTTCTATCTTTTATTCACTTGATTACTCTAAATTTACATATCTTTACTCCAATAATTATAACTAAATCTATTTATAAATCTTACTTAAGTCTCTGTATTTTTCAACTAATTTTCTAAAGTATCATTGTCTTTTACAACAATATCTAATTTCATTTCAAGATCTTTAACTTTATCATTTTTATTTTTCATCTCTGTATTTTAATCATCTCTCTATTCTTCTAGAATCTTAACTTATTTACAAATTTCATCTAATCTTAAACTCATCTATTTCAATGCCTATTCCTTTACATGGATATTCTTGGCCATCTTTACACATTCTGTCTCTTTCTAACTATATTAACTATCAAAATCTTCTTGCATTCTTAAATATTTTAATTGATTACTTATTAATTAATGTTTATAATTGATTCATTTAATCTTATAAACTCTAATTTGAAAATTTTAATGTTGATATCATTTAATCTTTTATTTCTATTTCTTTCTTATTTTCTTATGTAATATTTCTCTCTTTCTCTTACCAAATTAATAAATTGTTATTCAATTCATTCTATTTAGTCTCCAATTCCATCTTATATTATTCTATTTCTTTAATTAATTCATTTTCTATTTAAATCCTTTGAGTTTACAATTATTCTTAATGTTAAAGTTTAATTTCTTCAATTTGTTATTTATTTTTGCTACTCAATGTTTTTAATTCTAATTCATAGAAATCTTTTTGTTTATGAGATTCCCTATCAAATTCAATTTATCTATCTTCCATAGTTCCTTAAAGTATTCTTTATGTTTAATTTAATTGTTCATTTACATCATGTAATTATTTATTATCTGCTACCATGATATCTAATCTTGTTTCCAAATCATTTATTCTCTTTTCTTATGCTAATATAGTTTAACTCATCATTTCAATTTTATGTATTTTAGATGACAAATCAGCTTTTACATTTTCATAATCAACTAATGTTTAATCTCTGACTTTAATTTCAATTTGAAATTACATTAATTTTGTTTATTATTCTTATATTAAGGCTTGTAATTCTGATTTTTCAAATTATAATTTTTCGATTCTATTATCTATTTAATGTATTTCACTTTTTCTCATTTCATCAATTTAATTAATTTATTATTGATATTTACCTGCCCATTCTTTTCTAGTCTTATTAATTTCATCATCTTTTTCATTCAATAATCTTTTAATTTAATTTTACATCTACTCATTCTTTATAGTTAATGTTTAATTGATAGCTACAATTTTTTCATTTTCTAATAAAACAATATTTAATTTATCTTCATAGTTTTTAGATAAATCTTAGAGACTTGTTTAATAATTTTATACATCATTTGTTAATTTTTCATTTTCTTAAAATTGATCATTAAGAAATGTAGTTAGACGTTCATTTTCAATAACAAGCAATGAAACTTTATTTTCCAATTCAAGGTTTTTAATTTTCAAAATCTTTTAGGCTGCTTCGGTAAAAGACTTTTCAACTATACTTGAGCCATCATCATTTTCTGTATTAACTTTCTTAGCTGATTAAGATAATACACACTTATTATCAGAACCTTGGCTATCTGGATTCCATTTTCTTTTTGAATTGTCAATTAATACTTCTAATCAAATGTAATTGCACTGAAATTATTCTCCTTATGTCCTGATTTACTTTTGTTATCTGATTAACCTGCTTATTGTAATGTTGGTAATGAAGGGATCGGAACTTTTAGAACGTATTTTGGAGTAGAATGTTAAAATTTATCTTCTGCTTCTTTGAATCCACTACTCTGATTTGCTGACCTTAGAGTTGGTTGAATTATTGGAGGATAAGGAATCATAAATTTGAATTTTTAATTAATATTCTGTTAAGATGTATCTATTTATATAAGAACATAGTAAAATTCAAAATCTCATAAATGGTTTTTTTGGAGGATTCTTACATTAAGTTGAACGATAATTAGGAGATTTACTTCTTGTATTGAATCTATCATTCAATAACTCTTTATATTTAACTTCAAATGTAGTGGGTGTTCTGGATTTGATTTGAATTTAAGAATCCTCTTAATTATCTATAATTAGATTCATAATAATACCTTCAATGACAGCGATATCTCTTAAATAAAATAATCCTTACATATTCTAATAATTACAATAAATCAATTTCTTTTCTTAATCTATCCTTGTAACAATTACCTTATAACCTGGTCTAAGAATGAATATATCACCACTTAAAGATTTACATGTATTTAGTGCTGTTCCATATTGATTTCGTTAAGATGATATCGAATTTGCATTAGTTTTTTGAGACATTTAACTCTATCTACTTGCATATTATGGAGGTTATTTTTATTTTTAATTAGTATTAGAAGAGAGATTAGTAGATTGATGAGGCAAAAATGGATATTGAGTAGATAAGAAATTTGAAGAAGAAATATGAGTTTAAATAGTGTCTCTCTTGTTATCATCTAAAATTTTGTTACTGAATTGATTATTTTACTATGATTATGCTTAATTAGTGCTATTTTCAAATAATTTCAAGAATTCTTGGTTATCATGTTGTTGATATGAAATTTCAGACTTGGGATCAATAGATGATTTACTTAAAGATTTACTAATAGAATTATTCACTTAATGCATATCAACTTATATAGCCATATCCAACTTAAATTCTGTGCTATTCCTCATTTCCTAGAATGGTAGTTTGAAATAGTTAATTTATTTTGGAGTTTATTCTTATTTCTGAGTATGCCTTCTTGAAATTGGAGTAATTTATTCAAAACTTTCTTAACTATCAGAACGTTTTCTATCTTCCTATTAAAATTTAGAATTTGATTTCAATCGAATATCGTCGAAATATTTTAAATTTCTTGATTATTTTATTTATTATTATTATTATTGGTTAGTACTTTCTATATAATATAGATAAAATAATTGTACCACTTAATTCATTATCATATTCTTCTTCTATAATTTATTATAAAGTTCTAGTTTATAGAAGTCCATCTCCTTCTTCTTTACTACTACCAGACTCTTCATCTATACTAGTATCTATCTTTTTAGCAATTAATGGATTTTCATCCAATGTTATGGCTTTTCGTTATTATTATTATTGTTAAACTTATTACATCATATTAGAATTTTAATCAGTCGAATTAGTTATTGATTATGATTATGATTATGATTAATTTGTTATAAAAGCATTCGATTATTTTTTATTCTCTGAAGTCAATTATTTATCAATCTTAAAAATATTGGTCATCTTTTTCATTACCATATTCGGTTGACCCAGTATGTTATAATCATCCTATTTTTATAATGACATATCAAATAAATGTGAAAATAATAAAAGTGTGCTTAAAATATCAATAAATTTAATACCTCTTTTATAAAAAACAATTAATTCTATCTTTTAATAATTAACTATCAACAATTTAAGAATTCTGAAACGTATTATCTTCTTAAGATGCTTTTTCCATAAATTTAAATTACTTAGTAGCTATAGTCATTCTAGAAGCTCTTGAATTTCTAGATAATACTGAATTCTTGCTCATTTTAGCTTATTAACTCTTATCATATTATAATCCTAAAGATAATTTTTATTTCTTTAAATAATAATTATAAATTCAATACTTCAATATTCACATCATATTTAAACTCTGGATCATAATAATCATTATTATTACCTAAAGGAAAACTGATTTTACCATAATTATTAGTAAAATCATCATAAATTGCTTTAGCTTTAGCAAATTCTAAATATATTATCCACATTTCTAAATCTTCAACATTTTTACTATTCAATAAGAATCTTCTTTCTCCCATTTCTTTATTCTTCTTATACCATAAGGTAGAACTAATAGAGAGTGGAAAATTAGTTTCACTCTATTATTCATTTAATTCCAATGGAATTACTGAATATATACCTTTTAATGGAATAGTACATAATGGTAATTCTTTCTTCTACATATCTTATTTACTATAATAACATCTCATTTCTTTTCCATCCAATACCCAATAACGAGGTGCCCATGATACATTTTACTTTGATTTCTTTTCTAAAATACCCTCCTTTAAAATTGTATTTATATTATTATGATTCTTTGTTAATTTATTTGATATCTATTTCAATATAATTGATCTCATTGCCTTAGATGATAGATTATCAAATTTATAGTAATTTACTTGGACAATTTATGTATTTGAATTCTCCTCTTATTTCTATTTCTATCCTCTTTATATTAAATTCTTAACTGAACCACTTGATTATCTAACCTTAAAATTCTATGTTGCCTACTAAATTAATTAATTATTTTATTCTGCCATCACCCAATGAAATTATAATTTCTTACTCTCTATTCTCTCATCTATCTCAAATGCAAGAGGTAATAATTATATTGCTTCTGCTGCTGCTTTATGTAATTATCTTCTCTATTTAAATGTTATTCTTTAATATAAACAATCTCTCATAAATGGACATGTAAATCTATAATATATATTTTATTCCTAAACTTCCATTATCTCTATAAAATCTTTCTATTCTAACTCATCCATCATCTTTTATAATCGATTATTTAATGCTGCTTTAAATGGATTTATTCTACTCAACATTTGAATATCAAAAATATCCCCTACTATGCTTGCTACTTTCAAAATCAATTACTCCAAACATGGTAATCTACAATCTATTAATTATCATTTTACTTATCAATTATTGGACCATTTACTGCTACACGATCACATGGAGCATCAATTATAATACTCTCCTCATAATTTATTATATTTATAAGTTCTTTTGTTATTATCGAACTTTTATTACCCATCTTTATATATCCTTAATCTATTAAATTCTATACAAAATTTAACACCATCAATGGTACACCCTAAGTTTTTAAATAAATATAGGAAAATAATAATAACTCGACATCTTTTTCAATTAAACTTTACTTATTCTATGAGAATAAAAATTAATGATTCATCTCTTTATTTATAGTTTCCTGTACACATACATCATTTATAATTGATGCATCTCTTTTTCTCACTTCTTCTTGTTAATTCTTCATATTTTCTATATCAAATTTAGATATATTAAATGAAAATCTTATCATTTTTGCAAATTCATCATCTTTACCTTTCCTTTCAATTCCTTTCAATTAAATAATACTATAAAAATTTTACTCTATAGCATCTTCTAATCTACTAATTCCATCCATAGCAATTTCTTCTTAAGATTTCTTTTTTTCAGCTGTCTTAACTTAAAGTGTCGTTTCATGAAAATTATCACGATACAAACCTAAAATTTAAATTCTATCATAAGTTTTAATCATTAAACTAATTAATTTAAAAGTGAGATTATCATAATCTTACATATCGTCTAAACAAAGTATAACAGGACATAAAATATTACTATATTTGATAGAATATTTGATGACTTGCCTTACATTTTATTATTTAACATCCCATCCTAATTCCTCTGGAGATCTCCCAATGTAAAGATTTTCATATTTCTCTGGAACTTATTCGAAGTAATTACTTAAGAATTGTAAAATCTTTAAAAAAAAATAAATAATAAAAATTACAATTTTTTTTAATTCTTATTAATTATCCTCGTCATTTCCTTTAGGGGGAAAATTATCTACTCTAGAAATGGATTTCAATTCTAAAATTTCTTTCATACAATTAATTGTATTTTAAGTATACAATTATTCATCTACCATCAATTGAAATAAGGCTAAATCTGGTTTTCGTTCTAATCTTTTTGCGAAGAGTATAAATATTTATTTAAGAATCTAACGTAGTCCTCACTAATCATATAAAATTATATACCATTTAATTTATATGCTCTAGTTACAGGATTTAATTATGAAGTTAATATTTATGGTAATTCTCCATACTTCCAAGAATTGTATTAATTACTATTTAATTTTTCTTATACTCTATGTAATACTTTCTTAACTAGAATAGTTTTACCTACTCCATAAGAACCCTTAATAATAAATAAACCTAAACATATAGAATAATAATATAGAACCTTTTTTATCAATTCCTCTCATAATTTTATCAACTTGATTAAGTATTTTTTTGTATGGTTCATCTCTACCATAAATACATTAATTAATAAATTCAGTTTTCCTCTTAAATCCAAAAGCATAATTATGAGTTCTCAAAGAAGGAAAGAAATTAGCAGGTGTACTTGGTTAAGATTTTTGTAAAGGAATATAAATTTCAACAGGTTAATTTTTGCCTTTAACAATTTATGATTTGAGAAATTAGAAACTAAGACAATTTTCAGCACTTTTAGCAGTTTCAGAACAAACAAGTATTTTATGTTCTTTTTCTTCACATGCTGCTTACATTAATCTAGCTGCTAAATTAACAGAATCTCCTAAAACTGAATATTCTCTTCTTGAACCGCTAGTTCCAACTACTCCTGCAAATACAGTACCAGTTACTATACCAATAGCACAACCACAATTAATCTTAGGCAATTCTATTCTCATTAATTATGCTGTTTATATTGATCTTACTGCATCATTTTAATGTGATAAAGGAGGTAATCCAAATACAATTATTAATGTTGAACCTTTATCATCCATTAATAATTTATTTAATGATCCTTCATGCATATAAATACATTTCTAAACTGTCATTATAACTCTTTATATTTGATATAATCCTTTTTCTGATTTTGCATCATTTAAATCTATTCCCAAATTTACAAACATTACAGATAATCTTCTTAATTCGGCACTCCATGGTTCCTCATTTATTTCTATATATGGTAATAATGCTGCTGGAATATATGATTAAATCTCATTTCTAATTGCTTAGAATTTAGTTATTGTAATGTTATTCTTTATTAATAATGCATCTGCTTTCATTTTTACCTTTGCTTAAGTACTTTTTATCTAAATAACTTCATAATGATTTTCATGATGTTCTACAGCTTTGCACTCAAAAAAGTTATTTACCAAATTATAAACTTGAGATGAGATGATGATTTTCCCACCCTCTGTAAGACAATGCTCAGAAGCAAAAGCTTACAACAAAGGATCACCAGTTGCTAAATATTCTATCCTATTGAACACACCACCAACATGTATTATACTCATCTCACCAACTCCAAACCCTAATATATAATTCATATATATCTACCTATTTTAACACTTAATTAGATTCCTGACTCTATCGTCGTCTTGGTCAACTTCTCTTATATGAGTAAAGCTGATTAGATTGCCTATTTTAACAATGTCTCTATCTGTTAAATAAAGTTATTTCCCTCTGGAGGTGGTGGCCAAATGACTATCATTGCATCTAAGCATATTTGTAATATTACCCCCTGCAAATTTAAAAATATCTCCTCCACTTCTTCCTATTCCCTGAACTAATAGTTCCATATATCTATTTATCGCAAATGCTATTCTTTCAGCTCCTTCTGTCCCCAATTAACTTAGTTTCTCTGTTAATTTTGTAAATCCTGAAATATCTGCAAACATCACTACACTTTTTATATTTTATTTCTCAGGTAAACTTCTTGGTAATTTGTTCATCTTTAAATTCAACAAATGTTAAACTATTAATGCAGGTATATAACCCAATATTGACATTGCTGATTAAGATTACGTTTGTGAATTTTACATATTATATTATTAAATTTCTCTTAATAATCTTCTAATTTTTTTCTTCCTTTCAAAAACCTTCTCTTTAAAGTTCTTTGCATATTATATTTCCACTCTTTCTTTAGTCTTATTATAAAACTTAATTTCTCTTTATTTTCATACACTCTCATTTATATTTATCAACTTCTTCAATATCTTCTACTAATATTTTTAAATCACTTCCTATTCATTTATTATCCCATCAACATATCTCTTATCCTTTTTTTGTATTCCTATTGAATATTTATAAATTCTTTTTGCTTTAAATTCTGTAATGGAAAATTGTGCATTATTTCAAAATATTCAAATTAAAACTTGTTAAGGACTTGAACTTTTCCCTCTAAAAGATAATCACTCTTCTTAATAAAGAGAAATCTATCTAAAAAAAAATAATTTTTTGATTAATCTATATCAGAATTNCCCTCTGTAAGACAATGCTCAGAAGCAAAAGCTTACAACAAAGGATCACCAGTTGCTAAATATTCTATCCTATTGAACACACCACCAACATGTATTATACTCATCTCACCAACTCCAAACCCTAATATATAATTCATATATATCTACCTATTTTAACACTTAATTAGATTCCTGACTCTATCGTCGTCTTGGTCAACTTCTCTTATATGAGTAAAGCTGATTAGATTGCCTATTTTAACAATGTCTCTATCTGTTAAATAAAGTTATTTCCCTCTGGAGGTGGTGGCCAAATGACTATCATTGCATCTAAGCATATTTGTAATATTACCCCCTGCAAATTTAAAAATATCTCCTCCACTTCTTCCTATTCCCTGAACTAATAGTTCCATATATCTATTTATCGCAAATGCTATTCTTTCAGCTCCTTCTGTCCCCAATTAACTTAGTTTCTCTGTTAATTTTGTAAATCCTGAAATATCTGCAAACATCACTACACTTTTTATATTTTATTTCTCAGGTAAACTTCTTGGTAATTTGTTCATCTTTAAATTCAACAAATGTTAAACTATTAATGCAGGTATATAACCCAATATTGACATTGCTGATTAAGATTACGTTTGTGAATTTTACATATTATATTATTAAATTTCTCTTAATAATCTTCTAATTTTTTTCTTCCTTTCAAAAACCTTCTCTTTAAAGTTCTTTGCATATTATATTTCCACTCTTTCTTTAGTCTTATTATAAAACTTAATTTCTCTTTATTTTCATACACTCTCATTTATATTTATCAACTTCTTCAATATCTTCTACTAATATTTTTAAATCACTTCCTATTCATTTATTATCCCATCAACATATCTCTTATCCTTTTTTTGTATTCCTATTGAATATTTATAAATTCTTTTTGCTTTAAATTCTGTAATGGAAAATTGTGCATTATTTCAAAATATTCAAATTAAAACTTGTTAAGGACTTGAACTTTTCCCTCTAAAAGATAATCACTCTTCTTAATAAAGAGAAATCTATCTAAAAAAAAATAATTTTTTGATTAATCTATATCAGAATTACTTATTTTTATCTCTAAAAAAAATAGAAGAATATATCCAATTTTAAAAATATGTTAAATAAAATTTATAGAGCATTGATCAAATCTCAAAAATACATTTATAATAATAGCTTATTTTCTTTGATGAATATATTTCAATATATTTGAAATAGAGATTTAACAAAGAAGATTTCATAACTTTAATTATCATTTTAATAGATAAGTTAATTTTATATAACAGAAAAATAATTAAATTAATATATTTATAATACCTTTAGGCTTTATTTGATATTCAAGATGTAAAAGCACGATAATTTAATTTTCTCTTCATTCTATTTTAAATGAATTACAAACAATTGTTATTAATTATTATTAGATTCAAAATCAATGATTAGCTTGATTATTATAAAATTTGAAAAAAAACCTGAATTACCTTTTTATTTCATCTAAAATAACAGAAAAAAATTTTATAGAAACAACTTAATTTTATAACGAATTTTGAAAGGATTAAAAAAATTTCTAAAAATCCTAATGATTTTACTCACCATCAATTATATTTAAAAATCAATTGAGTAGATAAAACCAATATATCTATTGTTTATGTATATATGTGGCATAGTTTAGGGAATAGTGAGATATCTTGGCATAAATACGAATTAAGAAATTGCATTACTTGTATTCTTTACAATTTCGTCATTAATTAATACCATAAATTACTTCTACTTTCATTCAATATCTAATTTTCTATTTATTATTATGTACTGATTTTAGTTAATATTATAATTATATGTATTTTCTATATGATTTCTCCAGATACTGTTTTAAAAAATTCATATTTTTTACCAATTAATCAAAATTTTAAAACTCTATAAAAAAGATTGATGCTTTTCAAAATGATAAAAATGAATAAACAACGTATTGCTTTATAGAGAAATTGCTTTAAGAGAGATAGTTTTTATTGAATCAATTTAATCATAAAATAAATGAATTAATAGAATTAGTTAAATTAAATAGGTTAAGGTAGTATCATACAAGCACCTATACAAAATTATGCAAATAGATAATTTAAAATATTGTAATTAATTGGAAAAGGATAAGAAGGATAAGTTTATAAAGCAATTCCTATCGAATGGGGTGAAAATAAATAGGAAGTTGCTTTAAAATTTTAATTAATTGCTACATAGCACTTAAAAACATTCTTATATTAAATTAGACATTATCAAAATGAATATGAAGTTCTAGATTAATCAAATTATTATCCTTCAAATGTTATTAAAATATATGATTTTTTTGACTATTAATTCTATTTTGTCACAGTAATGGAACTAGGTTAAATAAATTTATCTAATTATTTGAAGATGAATAATTTGACACTTCAATACAAGTAATCAATATGTCTTTAAGTAATTAATATATACAAATATTATTAGATCTTATCATCAATAGCATTTTTACATTCTTAAAATACATTTCATAGAGATATTAAAACTGAAAATTACATCATGGTTGGATAATAAGTAAAATTAATTGATTTTGGATCAATAAAAACATAAAATGATGGAAAATTAAATACAATATTAGTAGGTAGTAAACCATTCTAAGCACCTGAATTGATTGAAGGAAAATCTGATTATACAATGGCTGTTGATGTTTGGGCAATAGCTTTAGTTTTTTATGAAATTATTAGAGGAACACAATTATTCTAAGGTTTTACAATAATATTTATTATTAGTTTCTACATCTTTAGAATTAGATCAAAAAATAAAATAACATATATAAAATCAAACTTTTGTTTAAAATAAAATAGATGAATTAATGATTTCTGATGAATGGAAATTAATTATGAAAAGAATGCTTTAACCTAACCCAAATGAAAGAATAACCTCTAAAGAAGCAAATGAAATATTAATTAAATCAAACATGTTGGTACATTTTAAAATATAATAACCAAGTATTATTTCTTAAACTTAGCTATCATAAAATTAATTATTATAAACATAACCTCCAAAATAAACCTAATTATAATCATAGTCATAATTTAATACATTATAAATTTAAATTTAGAATATGATATAATCTTTATCCTAACCAATAAGTTTAAATTAATTATAAACATAAAAAGAATAATCCATCAAATTGTTGTCTAATTTAAAAGATTAATTAATAATGATATTAAATTAATTAGACAGCAATCCTAATTAAATAACTTTAATTGAAGATTCTAAATCTAATCTAGATAGCTAAGGAATAAATAAATAAAATTTGAAAAAGGAATTACCAGCAGATCTTAAGGTTGATTATGAAGAAATGAAAAATTTAATTTAAGAATTTGAAGAAAAATGTATTTCAATTTAAGAAGAATAAGAATTAAATAAAATAAAAATTAATTTAAAGCATAAAATAGAAAAATTAAAATTGCTTATTTCATAGTTGGATAATAAATCAAAAGATTTGGAAAAACTCTAATTAGAGTTTGAATCTTTGAAATAAAAGTAGAAACTAAATTTGTAGATGTAATAATTATAAGAGGAATCCGAGGAAATAAAGAAATCTTTAAATAATGATGTAAATAAAAAAACTATAATTATACTTTAAAAAGAAAATCAATCATTATAACAATAAATTATATAATTACAAAAATAAACAAATACTCTAAATTATTATTAGGAATAGAAAAACAAATAGGAATAACTAATTGTAGATTTGAATAAAAAAATAATAGAAGGTGAAAATATTGAAAAAGTATTGAATGAATAAAAAAGTGAAATAATGAATTTAAAAGTGGAAGAGCAATAATTGGAAATGTTAAGTTAGGAAATAAATAAGAACGAATAAACTATAATAAAACTCAACGGCAAAATATAAAATTTGAAATAAAATTAATAGATATATGAATAATAATAAATTGAAATAAATCAACTTTAAGTGAATTACTAAGACTACTTATAATTAGAGGATAAGGTAAAGTAAAACAAAGAAACAATTTTCTAAATGAGATCTTAGCTACGCTAAGCGAATATGAATAAAGATAACATTTTAAAATAATAAACAGAAATAAAGCAATTAGAAAATGAAATTAAACCTTTAGAAGATATTTAAAAAAGAATAGGAAATTTAAATGAATAAATAAAGTTTTTAAAGGAGTAAAAGAGTTTGAAATTAGAAAAAGAAGAAGAGGAAAGGAATTTATTATAATAAAAAGAAAAGATGGAAAAAGAAGTGAGATAATACTTAAATAGTTAAGGCAACAATTAGTTCGAAAAAGAATAAAAAACAAATGAGATAACGAAAAAATAATAAAATTATTTGTACATAAAAAATGTTAGCCCTTATAATAAATGAAATATATATATTAAATATAATTTAAAAAATAAATGATTGATTTAATTGAGTAATATAGAATACAAGATATGAAATATTTATCTGAGATGTTTACTAAACCAATGAGTTAAAGATTAATGGAAGAATATTATAAAGAAAATGAAAAAGCTATAGAATTATATTAAGAGTAGAATCGACTATTTGTAAAAGTAGAAGGATTGTAAGAAAGTGGAGTTTAACCAAAAGAAATGATTGAATTATAGATGAGAAATGAAGAATTAGAAAGATAAAATAGAGATTTATACACAGAAGTTTAAGAAACATCTAAATAATATAAATATTTAAAGGAATAGAGTGAATTACAATAGGAATGTATAAAGAATCTTGAGAGTGATAAATTAGAATCGTAAATAAAAATAAATAAACTGGAAGATATTTTAGAATAGAAAAATAAAGATATAAGAGAAATAGTAGAGAGTAGAGAAAAATTATTATTAGAGATTTAATAATTAACATTAGTGAGGAGTTAATTAGAAGAGATGATGTTAAGAGAAAAGATGAAGATTTTGGAATAGTTGAATGAAATAAATGAATTAAATGAAAGTGTATAGAGATAGAAAAAGGTTTTGGAATAGGATTAAGATAGATTTAATAAATAATATAAAGACATGTAGAATTAAGGAAAATTCTAAACTTTAGCTCCCTTAGCCACAGAATAATAATTAGCAAAGAATGCTTTTTTAGATGATATACCTTAAATGGTAGTAAGGAGATTGAATAAATTTCATAATGTAGAGATTTATGCAATAGCTTAAAATTTAAATGGTACATTGATAGCAACTTGTGGTGGTGATAGAACAATTAGATTATATGATCCATTTAATTTAAGTTAGGTTTCACAATATTAAACATCTGGTGATGAAGTATTTACAAGTGTAGAATTCTCTCCATCTTAAGATTGTATATTAGTATCATCAACAGATAATTCTTGTTAATTATTTTATTTATAATAATGGAAATAAAAAATGAGAGGAAGTGGTCATGTAGATTAGGTTACATGTTCAACATTTTTAGGAGGAGATAAAGATTCATGTGTTTCTGGATCTAAAGATAGATAAATTAAATTATGGAATATTAATAATTAATTTTGTACAAGAACTATTTCTACAGGAAGTTAAGTATTATCAATAATTAGTGAACATAATGTACCAATAATCATTTCAGGACATAGAGATGGATCTATTAGAGGTTACTCATTAAAAAGTGATCCTAAACCTATATTTTAAGAGAAATCATTTTTTGATGATTCTGTTACATCTATTTCCATTTCATAGGACAATCATACATTATTATGTTGTTCTAAAGAAGGCTATTATATTAAGTCATATGATTTAAGAATGAATAAGTTATTGAAAACTTATGAACATGATAAATATATGAATAGTCATGATCATAATAGGATTACATTTGGACCAGATGAGAAATATATTATTGCTGGAAATTGTAATTAATTTCATTTTATATAATATAGCTGATAGCAGTCTGATTTCTTGGAATATTAATGGTAGATTTCATAAATAACTAACTAAGGGTTAACATGAAGGTGTTGTTCTAAGTGTGTCCTTTCATCCAGTATCTGGACAAATGTATTCCGCAGATACTCGTGGAAATTTAGTAATTTGGAAATGATTATCTGTTTTATTATGTATTTTCATTTTTAATTATTTAATTATTATATATATAATATATTTAATATATATTTAATTATTATATATATATAATATATATAATATATAAAATATATATCAAATTTTCACTTTCTTATTTATTGTATCTCCTGCAATCCAAGTCTATATTTATTTTTAACATTTTATGAATGCTTCGTATTCAATATAATCTACTATTATTTGATACTTCTCTCCTTCTATCTCGATAAAAGCATTTGGAGATGTATTCTAAATCATATGAACTATTAATCCAATCTATTCTGGAGCCAATTGTTTAAGATTATTTGAAAATTCCACCTTGTCATTATAACTCACTTAATCTTATGGTTCTTCTTAAAATACATCTGCTCCCACCTCTTTTTATTTTGGCACAAATTATGGTAAATTTACAAGAGGCAAATAGTTTTTAACATTCTTTTTAAATAATCTCTCTAATTTCTCTGCTATCTTAGTAATCCACTTTTATTATTGGTAATAATATTTACGCTCTATGAACCATTATACAATTTGCAATTATCCCAAATCAATTAAATATCATCTAAACATTCTTCTACTGTCTTATAAGTGTTACTATTTAATTTTCTTTAGACAGTGCCAAGATCCATTGGTTTTTTAACAATAATAATGTAGTCATGTAAGTTCAATGCTTTATAATCAACTGGTTGTCTAAATTCTACACTATCATTAGAATCTAATAATTATTGAACTATTTAATTTAAACGTCTTTATTCTTCTTTGTTAAGTGGTGTTTATGTTGTTTTTATCATAAATAATTTAATATATTCTTAATTATAAATGTAAGAATTTCATAATCACATAAATGATTAACTTATATATGAAATTGAATAATTCATAGATTCTAACTTAACAAAGTTCTATCCTATCTTATCTACTTATACAAATAAATGCCATAGAAACAAAATCCTACAATGATAACAATAAATATAATAGTAAGTGTTGTCATCCAAATTGGTACTCTGTACTCAATCTTACAATATTTATTATAAAAATCTTACAATAGGTTCAATTTCAATATCACAATCATTTTAAAAATTTCCTTTCTGAGCATTAATCAACTCTTTGAAATGTTTATAAAAACACTTAGTTGAATTTTAGTTACATAAATTCATCTCAGTACCATTGTATAGAATCTTGAGATAAGGTTCATTATTAGTATCATCTTACCACAATTCCCAAATAATATTAGATGCAAATCCAGGATAAGTATATATACAATTCTTATTTTATACTTCCTAACCAAGATATACTTGAGCCATGCATTCAGCTGATGTAATATTCAAAGCAGATGCTATCAATTAAACAGTAACATCATGAGCTGAATAAACAACATACTTGAATGAAGTTTAACTTTTATTTAATGCTTTCTCTGTATATTCAAAGAATTAATCAAAAAAGGGAGCTGATTATGTTGTTATTTATCTATAAATATTAATAAATATAAATATACTTCCATGTCTAATATAACTTTAAAGCTATTGTCAATGAATAAGTTGAATCTGCTTTGTCATATGTTTCCTTTTTTAAATTTGTAGGCATTGGATAATCATTATAAATACTCGAATAGAATGTATCCATATATTCAGACATATTGAATATTGTAAAGTTATATGGATCAATATTCATTTCATTACAAAATTAAATCAATGTATCATGTGCCTTTTCTGATACATTCTTAACTAAATCTGTATGTTAATTTTCAATCTAAAACCTTGCTGCTTATGCACATTATGGTGATCCATAAGCTCTTAATTGAATATCAGTTAAAGCTGTTCTCATATGAATTGGAAGAACCTAGATGTTGAATCTTAGAGCTGATTTTCCAATATCTACATCTGGTTCAGCATTTGGATTTGGTGGTTTAAGAAAGGAATCCTCTACATTATTTGGAACATCAGGTCCATTATTTGAATACATTCCTTAAAAATTACTCATTGCACTCATTATTGTACGATTCACATCTGTAGCATATATAGTTATTTCTGATGCATTAAATGTTTCACTTAAAAATTTATTATCTTCTATATATCTCTTTCTCATCCATTATCCTAAAACATAATGTTACCTCATTCCTGTTGCTGTCAAATAACCTTCAAGCATTTCATGACTTCGGAAATACATACAATTCCAATTACAATATATTGGTGTTCTTGCACCGTGTCTCCATAATGCTTAAATTTATATCAATTTATCAGCTTAAAGCTCAACCAATAGTACCACTAATAAAACTATATTCAGCATTAATCAATTAAATATTGTAGATAATTTATTATATTTTCTAAAAAATCCTCATTTGATTGCATCATAATAAGTAATATATATATAGTATTATTTAAACATCTACTATAATTAGATTATATTATTTCAATTTCTTTTATTCAAATTATAAAAATATATTTTCAAACTGTTAGAATAACAATGATACATTTAGAAAAATCCATTTCTTAAATTCTTACTATATTAAAATAAGAAAAAAAAATATTTTCATTTATCATTATCTATTTATACTTTTAATAGAACTATTGATTATTGCTTGTAATTCAATTTATCTTCATTTATAGATCTTAAAATTTAAAAGAAACAAAACCTAAATATCCATTAAGAGAGCTAATTGTTTTAGGAAATAGCACAGTTTCAATACTTAACTGATTTCTTAATAAGTATTTGGTATTTAATAATCAAATTGATGAATAAAGTTTTTCATATCAAGATGATATATTTTAAATTTAGATTTAATAAAAATATAAATCAATTAATAAAATTATTAATAGGATAGATAAATTTAGATCTAATCCTAATTAAAATATTCTAAAGATAATTTAAATTTTAAGATCAAATAAATGGATAAATAATTACATAATTTAGAAAGTAATTAAGTAATATTGGATATAATGAGTAATATCGAGAGTATTACACTTATATTCATAATTAAAAGATATGTAGATGATTTATAGATTTTGATAAAGTTATGATAAATTTAAATAAAATTTATTTAATATTGTTAGGAGGTGTGGTTATTATAATTATTAGAAGAAAATATTATTATTGTAATGTATTATTACAATTAAAGAATACCGGTTCCATTATAGAGAATAGAATTCAAACATATACTGTCAGGATTGAAGAAGTAATCATAAAGTTAAGATGAGTTAAATCAACAGCCTTTAGCAACTAGAAAGTATTGATCAATAAGCATATAAGAAAAAACATAAAAAAACCAGAAGTAAAATTCATATAGGACTTATAAAGAAATGAGAAAATGGATCAGTAAGCATTATAAACATCTGATACAATGTGGGATGATCGAATTTTATAGAAATTAGAGAAATTGAAGAAGCAACCTAAAGAATTTTTCGAAAAAGTTCCAAAAGATCCAATAACATTAATGAATTCATCTAAAATAAACAAATTCTTTGAGATAAGAATATTAGCATAAACAAAGGAAGATGCTTAAAAAGTTTCAAGAGAATCGTAAAGATAATTGAATTAAATACAGGAGGTGGCAGTTAAAGAGTTATTGAATAAGTATCCACATTAGTTCAATTTTACAACATCAGCAGATGCAAGAAAGAAAAAGGAGGTATAAGACACAAAGGATAAATATATGAAATTATTTTTTGTAAGAAATTGTTCGACAAGTATGAGTAAATGTAAAGGAAATAATAAGTATTTACATAATAGTGATGATTCATAAAAATATATGGAGAATGTCGAATAAATATAAGATAAAAAGAAGAACAAAAGCAATTTATCATTTTGCACATGGAGTAAGTTACAAGAATTAGAATGTCCAGGTTACTGTACTTTCATAAAATAATTGGCAGTTAAAAATAAGTTATAACACAGTTGTTCTCAATAAAAGATAGACTCTTATAACTTAATAAATGAATAATGATCAAATATATATATATATTTAATAATTTTTGTAATTGTTCATTAAAACAATAATTAAGGAGGATGTGTTCAATCATATGAATATTAAAGAATGTAAAATGTAATAACCAAATTATTTTAAATATAAATTAATTTTGTAATGATTTAAAAATGGATTATTAGAGCAGATATAAGTAGAATTAATTAAATTAGAATAAGTAGTTTAAAATATAAATAACAAATATAGAGGGAATTTGAATGAGCAGAGAATTGTATAGCAAATACATAAAGAACAGCAATTCAGTACATCTTATTTGAAATAAGATAAATTAAACTTTTATCAGCAAGTTAATGATTCAGATCAATATAGAATTAAATAATGTAAATAATTCTCCAAAGATAATCAAATTATATTCTTATTAGAAGGATGGAAATAATTCTAATTATTTTGAGTTATTTATTTATTTAAGGAAATAATAATAAGAATAATAATTAAATGTTTGTTCTAACACCAAGACAAATAAATTATACTAATAATATTAATGAATAATATATAATTTAAGCTTCAAGAAATGTCATGGATCACTTTAATATATTAGCATATGGATATATATATTTAGACAATCATTTAACTATTATGATTAATTGCAATGATGAAATCAAAGACAATGAAATTTATATCTCCTAACATTTATACTTATAACTCAAAGACCCTTTGACTATCAATTTAACAAAAGCACATCACAATGCTTTTTAATATGATGATAAAAATTTTAGATATAATTTTTTTCCTAACCTACCTATATGTAAAGAAGTAACATTATCTATTGTAATTATATTTGTTATTTCTTTTAGATTAACAATGAAAATTGTAGACTTGTTACACCTAAATTCTTAAAGGCTTTATTTCATGTTCCAATAATGGTTAAAGAAAAACAAATTATAAAGGGTACATTGTAGGATGATCAATTGTTTTAAAGATTATAGTATTTCATTATACTTAATATAGAATATAAAATTGTGATATCTCATCTAAATGTAGAACTAAAATTACCAATAGTTGTCAATTAAATAATTTATTGAGAGATCATTTCATATATATATAAATTGAAAGGATTTTAGTAGAAAAATAAGAAAAGCAAAATGAGTGGTACATTCTTGATTTTAAAGATGTTAATGTTAAATTTTAAGATGAATATACTTATTCACCTATTTTGAAATAAACTCTTAATTTGAAGTTCTAAGATATAGTATATCAACTAGGAGATTATGAAAATTTCAAAAAGTAAATTAATGAAATAATAAAACTTCATAAATCACTATCAATTGGAGTTGAGAGTCGAAAAAAGTAAGATAACAATATTTTAATAATTTAGTTTAGGAAAAAGATTATTATTGAAATAGATTGCAAATTAAAACGGGATCTTGTATTTTGAGAAGGATTTTGCTTAAATCAGTTCTTTGAGATTCACTGAGAAATTGATATTAAAAATATAAGATTCTCCTTGTATATTATTGTTAAGGAATTTCTCAAAAATTGAGTAAGTCTTATTACTTAATAAATAACATGTTAGTAAAGAGGATATTAGTAATGAAATCATTAAGATTATAAAAAGAATAAAGAAATTAAAGAATGTGATTATTATCTTATCAAATGAAGATTTTAGTAATTATCCTATAATAAAATCATTTGTTGATTTTTATATAAGATTTTGCCCCTAGACTAATGTATCAAAATAATTAATAGAATATTATGAATTAGAATAGAGTGAAGATGAAATATCATAAGTTTTAAGAGAGACAACTTGGAGAGTATTATAAAAGGAGATTATTAAGAATAAATAAAATTTTATCATGGAATTAGAATCTAAATTAAAAAGTATATAAATTGATAGAATTTAACAATAGCTTAAACAATTTCTTCTAAAACAAAGATGGAAGATGTAGGTGGAATGGAAGTGGCTATAAAAGAAGTAGCTAAAACAATAATATTACCTTAAATGTATCCTGAATTATTTGATGAACTTGTAAAACCAAGAAGAGGAATACTATTTTTTGGTCCACCAGGAACAGGTAAAACTTTATTAGCTAAATGTATTGCATGTGAAATGAAAATGAATTTTATTTCAGTAAAAGGACCGGAAATGTTAAATTAATATATTGGTTAAAGTGAATCTAATATAAGAGATCTATTTAAAAAAGCTAAAGATAATTCACCTTCTCTTGTATTTTTTGATGAATTAGATGCTTTAGCTCCTGCAAGAGGAAATCAGAGTGATTCAAATTAAGTTATGGATAGAATTGTTGCTTAACTCTTAACTGAAATTGATAATCTATCTGATGCAATATTTATTATTGGAGCAACTAATAGACCTGATCTATTAGATCCAGCATTATTAAGACCTGGAAGATTCGATAAATTAATGTATCTTGGTATTAAAACTGATAAAGAAAGTAGAATTAAAATATTAAGAGCACTTACTAAAAGTGATTAATTTGATACTATCATTGATGAAATACCAAATAATATGACAGGAGCTGATTTTTATGGCTTAGTTAGTTAAGCTACCATTTATGCTACTAAAAGAACTATCTAAAATAAATTGAATGAAATGGAATTATCCATTCAAGATTTAAGAGAAGCTTTGAAAACTATTCGACCATCTGTAAGTGAACAAGACTTAGTGAAATATGAAGAACTCAAAAAAAAATATTAATGAATTTACATTTAAAATCTATTCATCTTTATAAATATCATTTCTTTTATTTTAAATATTATTTTCTATTCTGTCCTCCATAAATATTTTAACCTTCTTATTTAAATTCTATTTTTAACATTTTTCTTTATTTTTTAGTCAAACAATTTAATAACAAGATAAAAATTTACATTAAATCTGAATAAATTAGATGAAAATTTAAAATCCTCAAATGCCTTTATTAAATTTTTGATATAGAACACTAGATTATTTTAAAATATCAATTATACAAAAATAGATTGGACTCATATGAATTCAATCATACTATAAATTATTTAAATATAATTCTTAATTAGAAAAAGTATTTTCTAAAATTTTTATTTTTTTATCCATTTTGATTAATTTTAAAGAATTTTAACTTCTTAATCATATTTCTAAATATAAAACTCTAAGAATTTTGAATGTTTTCCTTAAAAAAAAAGAAAATCTAAATTAGTATTATAAAGATTCTTAATTCCTTCATAAATTAAATGATTGATTCTCTATTATGTTACTCATTATATTATAATTCATTATCTTGATATAATGTTCTCTATTTCTTATCTTATCAAACTTTCATTGATTTTCATCTCGCATACGGCTTTCTCATTTATAAGAATTACAGGAACTTTATAGAAGTATTATTCATATTCCTTTCTGTTGTCGATATTTATTGATACTATTCTTAGCTGATTTTCATAATGAGTTTTCAATCTTTTTAAAATGAAAATGGGTTTCTAACATAAACTACATCCTGTTTTTGTTAAGAGTTTTATATTTATTTACATAAATTAAAATGTTGGAAATATTTGATATTAGTGGACCTGCTAGATAAAAAAGTGATAATGAAAGTCTCTTCCCTTCACTTTCATATAAAGAAAGATTAATGGGATTTGCTTTCTGTTCTATTTTAGGTAGCCAATCAATAAATTTCATAAGGATATTTTATCTAAATATTAAGCTTTGGGTCCTTAATTGGAATTTTGAGTGGTAGTCCAAATAAATTTGCACTTACTTATAGTCTAGGAAATATTTTGGCATTGTTTGGGTAATCGAAATGTCAATTTAAATAGTACAGCATTTTTAATAGGATTCAAAAAGTAATTAGAAAATATGATTGACAGAGAAAGAAAAGTGACAACTATAATATTTGCTTCTTCTTTGGTGATGATCTTTCTTTCAGTTTATTTATTTAAATCGAAATTTCTCGTTTTGATATTTTTATTGACTGAGTTTTGCTCATATACCTGGTATGTAGCCAGTTACATTCCATTTGCCAGAGATTGTATCAAAAGTTGTTTAAGGAACATTATAAAAGCATGATTTATAAAATATTTGATTTCATTAAAATACTTCAATATATTAATATATTTTTTTATTTTTTCAATCATTAGAATCAATTTTTATTTAATCGGCATGTCCTTATTGTTAAACCTTCGATGTTTTTTATTTTTATTCATTCATTGTTTGAATTTTCTGAAAAACAAATTCCTTTTCATTTTTTTATTACTATTTAACATTTTATTGATTTTTTATTTATTATTATTTCGTCTTTTCAGCGACATCGTTTGAATTGAATCTCTCTTGGTTGAATAGGGCTTTCACTTTTTATTTATAAGTGACGTCATATATGCTTTATGTATTCTCTTGAAAATTCTAACCCTATTCAAAACCTTATCTATTTTCTTTTTTTTTATCTTTCTGAAATTAAACAATTGTTTTCATTTCTTCTGAAATCTCTTAGAAATCCTTCACTTAATGAAAGATTGGCTCTTAATATTATGTTATTTAATCCTTTAATTAGGCAAATAGTTTATTTTAATCATCAATTTTAACAGCTTTTTAATCTTCATTGATGCTATCTAATTTTTTAACTAAATTATCTTATATATTGTTTAGTTTATCAAAAACACTATTTGTAATTTCTGTTTTAAGATCATTTCTAATCTGATTAATTTCATTTTTTAATTGTTCTTATCCTTTTTTTATATCTAAAACTGTTTCAAAAAGCTATTAAAAGTTTAAATTAAAGCTGTTAAGTAAAGTTTACTATAATTGCATTTACTTTAACATGTCTTAAAGTTATTATTATTAAACTTAATTTTGTTGTAACATAAATCCTTACTATTGGGGCATTTGTTAAAATACAAGAGGAGCTGCTTTATTTTATGGGTTTTGGACATTTATAGGAAAATGAAAATTATTAGTAATTGGAAATTTTTATGGAGAAAATTTTGAATCTAATAAATCTACAACATCTTTAGCTTTTAAACGATTAGATGGTTTTGGATCTAACATAGAAATAATTATGTCTTTTATGTCTTTATTAATATTTAATTCATTGATTTTTGAATAAAGAAATGTAGTATTGTTTTTATGAGCCAATATAATTTTCTAAATTTAATCTTAAGAATTTCCTTTCATCAAAGTTTCTCCAGAAATTATTTCATAAAATAAGCATCCTAATGACCATACATCAATAGCTTATGTATAATTCTAACTTAAGTTATCAATTAATTCAGGAGCTTGATAGTAAACTGTACCAACATTTGGAGTCTTTCTAAATCTGAATTAGGCTGTAATCAATCCAAAATCAATTAATTTATAATCTTCTCCAACTTTAATGTAATTTTCTGGCTTAATGTCTCTATGTATTAACTAATTTTCATGTAGAAAAGAGATAGATTTTGTAATCTATTTATTTTAAAACTTACTTATTTTAGTAATTGTACTAATTTTTCTTCTGAAATTTATTGTTTAAGTTAAATAAATTTAAAGAGGTCTTAGGTACCTTATTCCATTACCATTAACCAATTATCATTATATTGAAATAAATCATAAATTCTAACAATGTAAGAGGGGTTATAATTTTGTGGATTCTAAATATTTTCATTTGAATTTTGATGTTAAATTAAGGTTGTTAAGAATTAGATTTCTTAATTACTCATATTTTGTTGTATTTTTATTGCCACATTTCTATTTTAGAAATTATTCATAAATTGCTTGGCTAAAAAAACTGTTCCTTAAGAGCCTGAACCTATAACAGATTCAATTTTATAATTTCTATTTGGATTTTCATTAGTTGAAGCGGTTATTTGTATTCCAATCCAATTTTAATAAGTCTATTACATTTTAAAAGAAATAAAGTAATTAAAATAAATTTTACATGTATATGTGATAGTGATAGTTAAATTATATATAATAATATGAATGAATTAACTAATATAAAAAGTAAACTGGGTATTTGGGCAAGAAAAAAAAAGAATAAAATACTTGAGATATTATTGAAATTATATACAGAAATAAATTTATTTAACAAAATATCATTGAATGTTATTGTCAACCTCAAAGTTATCAACATCAAAGCTTTAAAGATCATAATTATCTAGTCCATAAAGATCAACAGTAAATTATTTGAGTTAAGATCTCGATTCACCATCTAGATAAAGAATTAAACTTCTATCTGATAAATGGAATCATATCTAGAATGGAATAGATAAGGATAAATTGGAAAAGAAAGAAGTGTTGGAAGAAAGAATAAAAATAATTGAAGATGTTCTATCATCTGAAAAACCAAAAGATGAATAGAGATTCAAGGTTTTGAAGGATTAAGTTCTAAAATTATAAGATTTTGCCCATAACCAAAAGTCAGAAAGAGAAGTATGATAATTTTTGTAAGATTTAGGCTTTTGATGATAAGAAGGAGAAAGATTTTAGAACTCTTTCAGATAACGTAGCTTTGTCTTTTGAATAAGAGAGAAATATTAGAGGATAGGGAGAGACTAAATTATAAAAACAGATTGATGAAAGATTCACTTAGATCACATTGACAATAACTAGAAACAATCATTAATATGAAGATAGAAGCTAAGCCAAAATTGCAGAAGTGCTGTAATAAATTTAATTGGTTAAAAATCAATTGGATTAAGAAAGAAGATCAAGGTATATAATTTTTGTTCGATATTTTAGAGAAGAATCATCGGAAGGTTTAAGTGAACAAATTGATTAAGAAATTAATAAATTCTCAGATCAATTGTTGATAGAAAAGAAAGTTAGAGAAGAAACCTAAGGCAAAATCTTCAGAATGATAGAAGATGTTCATGGCAAATTGTAATAAGACATCAACTTTGAAAGAAGGGAAAGAGAAAGCACCACTGAAGCATTGTTAAAACTATTGGAAGATGCTTGTATTTAGATTGATAAGAATTTTAGATATTGATCAAATGATACCAGCATTCATAAATATGTTAAACATTCTAAATTACTAATTATCTCTAAGAATTTAGTACTAGATAATAAAAAATAAATCATATATAATCATGCATACTCTTTTCCAGCTTGAAGTTCAACTTCGCCAATTCTTCTTTGAACCCAAGTAATTATTATTGAAGGACAGTTTTTTCAGCTTTTAGAGCCCTAATTTATTATTCTAGTCTAAAATTCTCTGCTTTTTGATGAACAAAATGTCTAGATATAGGAAAGTGATCCCTCCTTCCTTTCTTCTTCGATTCTCATTAACACATTACTTATTTCTTTGGAAGTTTATTTCATCTTAAATGCCTTGATTGTTTCCTATTATAAAATGTTATACAATCTAATTTATGTAGTAATTAAATATTTCAAGACAAACTTCATCAGTTTTATTACCTCTAAACTAGTTAACTTTTCTTTTAAGGATGTTAGATTTTGAAATCTGCAAAACTTTATTTAGTTTATTTTAAATCATTTCCTTATGATAATGTATTTCCAGTTTTCTTATTCAAGATCTCAAAATTTATTTATTTACTTATCAAAATTATATAAACATTTTAATTTTTAATATTATTATGATAAATTTATTTTTTTTCAAACACTTAAATATTTATTTTCTGCGTATCGGATTAACTCTTGCAAATTATCAGTTTAAATCTACTCACATTCAACTATTTTCAATAATATTACTAATTCCTAATTCTAACGATCAGTTAAAGTTGAGTATTTTTTATATTCATTAACAAAATTCTTGATCAAAATTTTGGTTTTATATTAAAGTTTAAAATTCTATAATAGCTCTTTTTTATTAAACATCTAATAGTCTAATAATTATTTATAAAATGAATAAATTTAAGATTATTCTCTGACCAAACTCTTGTTTTAGGTGAAAAATCTTATCAAATAATTGAATGCTATTTCCTCATATGTTTCATCTAATTCTTATAAACTTTTAAGTTTTTGAAATTAATCAGTCAGGAATTCTAATTTACGAAGCTAAATTTAAATTATTAATTAGATATACTTATGGATTTGATTCTGAAATTTTATCTTATATTAATGGGTCTTCAAGTAATTATTTAGAAGATGCTCTATCGCCTTAATCATAAGTTAGCATTTTTGCAATCAAATTTTATAATTAAATAGATTTGATTTTTTGAAATTAGAGTTTACGAGTAGACATCTTTACTATTTCTTCATCTAATTAATGATCTTATATTGATTTTCTCCAAGGAAATGTATTTTCACCAAAATAATATAGAATCATCCCCAAACTCCAAATATCACTTTTGTAATAATCAATTTCAGGGGTTTCATCAATTCCTAACATTTAAGGGCTCATAAAAAACTAGAATAACTTCAAATTTTACTTCATTACCACCAACAGCCATTGATTAAAAAATTTAATTATCATCTAATACTCTAGACGAACCAAAATCAAATATTTTATACACTCTTTCCCTATTATATAAAATGTTAGCTGGATTCAAGTCTCTGTTGGTTAATTATAAGGATTCCATATAATTTAGACAATGGATTAGCTGAACAGCTAAATTCAATATATCCACTTTTATTATTATTGAATTATCATACTTTCATTTATAGTAGCCTTCAACAATCGTTAAAAAATGGATTTCAAAGTAATTTGTTCTTCGTACTCTTTAAAAATATACATCTTATTGTTCTACTCAATGATTTTGTAAGTTTAAGCAATATTCCTGTGATTAACTTTTAAGAGCACTTCTTTTTCTCTTTAAGCACTTAATTGCTATACTTATTTAATATGAAAACCTCTTCGTTTAAATCAATAACCTTCACAGCACATTTTATTTCTTATGGAGTTCCATAATTAATGTAACCCAAATAATATATACCAAGATCTTTAATTTATTCATTAGTAATAGCATAGCCTTCCTCTATAATAGTAGGACTTTATTTTGTTGTCATTTTAATAATTAATATTGATAAATAAAATGATTATGAATCCTAAGCTTTAATTCTATTATTTCATTAGTTATATTTCTATTAGTACAATCCTATTATTCTATTATAAATTTCATTATCTTTTCATCTCAACACATAAAACAAATTTCAAAATATCTGAATTTCTAAGGCTAATTGTATTTTTTGGAAGTTTATTTCATCTTAGATGTCTTTGATTGTTTCCAATTATAATATGTGATACAAACTGCATCAATTTATTTACTTCTAAACTCGTCCTCTAGATTTAATTATATATATATTTGTAAGTAAAAGCCAATTGAAAAAATTTTGCATGACGCTTTTCTCATTTTTACACATAAATATATTTTATCTTTAAAAACAATTTGATTTCAATGATGTCAAATCAAAAATTCTTGTCTACAGGCTTATTTCTGTCGAAACCAATTGACTTATATTAATAAATATACTTTATCTATTACAACATAATTAAAACTATCAAATTTTATACTAAATCTTTTGGTAAACCCTTTTACTAATATTTTTCATCATTTCCTACATATCAAAATCAATCAAAAATACTTAAAATTACTAATGATTGTTATATTTCAGATTATATGAATTTATAAATTTCAAAAAAGGCACAGTTTTATCGTCAAAAGTAATTAGATTGATTGATCACACAAATAAATACTAAAGGGAAAAAAGCAAGATAGAGCAAATAAAATTATGGAATCACAATTAATATTATCATTGAGTTGTATTGCCAGAAAGTGAAAATGTCACAACAATAACTTTGATTGAAGTCATTCAAGATTTCTGAGATTATAATTATAAAATCAAAGTGAATTTATTCTATGAAAAGATTTGAAAGAATGAGCTGATTGAAAGTAAAAAATTAAATAAAAATAGATTAAATCAAATATCTGACAAAAATTAAGGATTCAACAATGATCATAGTTTAAAAGTAGTAACTAAGAATAGTTTGAATGTAATTTCAGCAATAAAAGAAAAGAATAAAGTAGAAGAATAGAGTGCGATTTGAAGGAACAAAATATGGTAAAAAGATGTAAAAATAAAGTTTGTAGATTATAGAAAATTTAAGAATTAGATATGTATGAATTTATTGAAATGAAAAAAGATTAAGATTCTTGGAGAATTGAAATTTAGATTCTGAAATACACAGTTAATGGATTGAGAATAAGATTGCTAAAATAGATGGAGAATTGTGGATAAAGAATAAGTAAATAGATGAAAGATTTAAAGAAAGAGAAGGAAGATTATTAGCATAGATTGTGAAGATTGAAATATTAATAGCATTTAATGAATAAATTTGAATAGTCGTTTTTATTATTTAATATAATGAGAACAGGAATCTTGATTTGTTTAGTATTGGGTTTATTGAGTGTGGAAATGAATATGGAAAGACATTAAGAGGAGGTGATGAATAAATTAAAAGAATCTAAATGGGCTTCTTTTATAGTTGAATTTGCAGAAGTAGAATTAGGTAGCGGAGGTGCTTTGACAGAATTGGTTGAAGCCATTAATTAATTGATTGATTAATTAGAAGAAGAATTAGATGATATTCATGATGCTTATTCTAGAAGAACAGATGAACACAATAGGGATGTTACAAGATATGAATAAGAAATTCAGGATGCTGATAGAGGTTCTCTCTTTTATTATTCTTAGATATCTTCAATGGAGAAGATTTCATTGATAATGTTCTTATTCCTTAAAAGTAAAGATTCTTAGATGCCTTGGCTTAATTGAAGACTAATATTGAAGAAAATAGAAGAATACTTGATTAAGAAACTATCAATAGAAAAAAATAACATGAACAATTCTTATCCAATATTGCTGAAATCAATGAAGCTATTGGCGCTGTTGATGAATCCTTAGGACTTCTATCTTAAATTACTAACCCATCTCTTGTTTAATTCAAGAGAGTTTAAACCAACTTGGGAAGAATTTAAACTACCTTCTAAAACCATTCTTCATTTGCTCCTATCATTAGAGCTTTACTAGAATTAGCCACTGAACAAAACTTTGCTGATTAAGGATCTCTCTAATAATTGGTCAAAATTTTCAATGAATTAAGAGTTTAATTTGTTGATACTTTAAATCAAGAAACTGCTGATGAAAGTGCTGCTGAATCTAAATTTACTTCAAGAGTTGCTCAATTAGAAAAAGAATTCGCTGAATTCTAAAGAGCTGTTCTCATCAAAAACTCTGAAATTGCTGCCAATGAATGTAATTTTTCTTTCTTAGACTAGAAAAATTGGGTGAAACCATTGTCTATGTAGGATAAAGAAAGGATGACAGAGCCACTCTTTAAGCTCAATTATAAGCTGAAAATGATAATTATGCTGCTGAAACAGATCTTTACAATAGAACTGTTGCTGAATACAATAAAGAAATTGAAATCAGTAAATAAGCTCTTGCCTTATTAACTTAACCAAGCTTTGAATAATACGTTAAATCAAAAGTAGGAATTTGATCTTAATAAGATACCAAAAATAAATATTTTTATTTATTCAATCTAATCGTTCTTAATCTTCTTATTATTTGAATTATACCTATAAATTCTATTTCTAAATCATCTCCATNAATAGTCGTTTTTATTATTTAATATAATGAGAACAGGAATCTTGATTTGTTTAGTATTGGGTTTATTGAGTGTGGAAATGAATATGGAAAGACATTAAGAGGAGGTGATGAATAAATTAAAAGAATCTAAATGGGCTTCTTTTATAGTTGAATTTGCAGAAGTAGAATTAGGTAGCGGAGGTGCTTTGACAGAATTGGTTGAAGCCATTAATTAATTGATTGATTAATTAGAAGAAGAATTAGATGATATTCATGATGCTTATTCTAGAAGAACAGATGAACACAATAGGGATGTTACAAGATATGAATAAGAAATTCAGGATGCTGATAGAGGTTCTCTCTTTTATTATTCTTAGATATCTTCAATGGAGAAGATTTCATTGATAATGTTCTTATTCCTTAAAAGTAAAGATTCTTAGATGCCTTGGCTTAATTGAAGACTAATATTGAAGAAAATAGAAGAATACTTGATTAAGAAACTATCAATAGAAAAAAATAACATGAACAATTCTTATCCAATATTGCTGAAATCAATGAAGCTATTGGCGCTGTTGATGAATCCTTAGGACTTCTATCTTAAATTACTAACCCATCTCTTGTTTAATTCAAGAGAGTTTAAACCAACTTGGGAAGAATTTAAACTACCTTCTAAAACCATTCTTCATTTGCTCCTATCATTAGAGCTTTACTAGAATTAGCCACTGAACAAAACTTTGCTGATTAAGGATCTCTCTAATAATTGGTCAAAATTTTCAATGAATTAAGAGTTTAATTTGTTGATACTTTAAATCAAGAAACTGCTGATGAAAGTGCTGCTGAATCTAAATTTACTTCAAGAGTTGCTCAATTAGAAAAAGAATTCGCTGAATTCTAAAGAGCTGTTCTCATCAAAAACTCTGAAATTGCTGCCAATGAATGTAATTTTTCTTTCTTAGACTAGAAAAATTGGGTGAAACCATTGTCTATGTAGGATAAAGAAAGGATGACAGAGCCACTCTTTAAGCTCAATTATAAGCTGAAAATGATAATTATGCTGCTGAAACAGATCTTTACAATAGAACTGTTGCTGAATACAATAAAGAAATTGAAATCAGTAAATAAGCTCTTGCCTTATTAACTTAACCAAGCTTTGAATAATACGTTAAATCAAAAGTAGGAATTTGATCTTAATAAGATACCAAAAATAAATATTTTTATTTATTCAATCTAATCGTTCTTAATCTTCTTATTATTTGAATTATACCTATAAATTCTATTTCTAAATCATCTCCATAATATCTGCTCTTATTTATAAAGGAAATGATGTATCTAAAATATTATTCTATAACTTTGAATTGTCAATCTCTTCTTCTTTTGCAACAATCTCTTGAAGTTAAATTTATTTCACCTTAAATTTAGAAAGATTTAAAGTTGATTAACCCTGTAACTATGACAGATTATTTCGAGACTTGGTCATATCTGAAAAAGTTGACTAATACATCTATTCTTTTTGACAGCTCAACATTTCTTTGTATTTATTAACTCCATAGAATTCAGATGATATAAATTAATATGGATAATATATTTAAGGGTATTGTATATACTGAAACTATGTGGTTAAGAAAGGAAATTGTGTTAAGTAATTAAATTATTATTAGAATCCATAATTTAGAAGCTATTATTTTTTTATTTATTGTTCTTCCTCTTCCTGTTCATCTTAATTACATTTAAGCTATCCTTTACAATCATATTCTTCTTAGTTCCTTTTCTTTTAATCAAATTTTCTATATTTTTTCGTCTTTTTCACAATTTTACTTTTTTTTAAAGTTTCTTACTCTAAAATTCTTACATTATTGGGTATGTGAATAAAATCTGTTTTTTATCATGTTTTCCTAAATTTATCAAAAAATTTATGAAAACAGGTCTTCCTAGCAACTTTTTGGACATAACAGACCATTTAGTACCAATAGTTTAATACCCATTTATCTTCATCTTCAGTCCAAGGAGTTTTTCTGATATTTTGATCTAATGATTGACAAATCTCTCCCTAATTTATCTCCCAGTTCTATTAGGTGTAATTTCTTTCATTCTATAATGATTAATAAAATATTAACTTCTTTAGGCTTAATTCTCTTCCATCTTTATTCACATTAAGAAGCATTTCTTCCAGGTAGATATTCTGCTACGATTTTCCAATTAGATCCATGTAAAATCACAGCAGAGTTCAATTTCTTATGTTCATCATTGCTCCAATACTTTCTATTGTTTTGCTTTTGATTGAATTGTAGCATAACTTCTTAATTATTTCCTTAACTAATCATTCTGATGTATATTATTGTTGTTAAGTAGTACCAACTTTGATGGTATTCAAAATATTAAATTTATTAGAGAACAATATTCATCACTTTGAAGTAGGTATATCTATCATTTAATTACAAAAAACTTCTTTATTCTACTATTGTAAAATAATTCAATATTACAAAATTTAATTCTTCTTATTTTAGAATCTAGATAAATGTTAAGTAGTATTTTACTTGTAACTTTATATGCATCATTTCATGCACAATATTTGATTTTTAACTTTTATTCAAAAGCTTAACATTTCTAATANGGTATTGTATATACTGAAACTATGTGGTTAAGAAAGGAAATTGTGTTAAGTAATTAAATTATTATTAGAATCCATAATTTAGAAGCTATTATTTTTTTATTTATTGTTCTTCCTCTTCCTGTTCATCTTAATTACATTTAAGCTATCCTTTACAATCATATTCTTCTTAGTTCCTTTTCTTTTAATCAAATTTTCTATATTTTTTCGTCTTTTTCACAATTTTACTTTTTTTTAAAGTTTCTTACTCTAAAATTCTTACATTATTGGGTATGTGAATAAAATCTGTTTTTTATCATGTTTTCCTAAATTTATCAAAAAATTTATGAAAACAGGTCTTCCTAGCAACTTTTTGGACATAACAGACCATTTAGTACCAATAGTTTAATACCCATTTATCTTCATCTTCAGTCCAAGGAGTTTTTCTGATATTTTGATCTAATGATTGACAAATCTCTCCCTAATTTATCTCCCAGTTCTATTAGGTGTAATTTCTTTCATTCTATAATGATTAATAAAATATTAACTTCTTTAGGCTTAATTCTCTTCCATCTTTATTCACATTAAGAAGCATTTCTTCCAGGTAGATATTCTGCTACGATTTTCCAATTAGATCCATGTAAAATCACAGCAGAGTTCAATTTCTTATGTTCATCATTGCTCCAATACTTTCTATTGTTTTGCTTTTGATTGAATTGTAGCATAACTTCTTAATTATTTCCTTAACTAATCATTCTGATGTATATTATTGTTGTTAAGTAGTACCAACTTTGATGGTATTCAAAATATTAAATTTATTAGAGAACAATATTCATCACTTTGAAGTAGGTATATCTATCATTTAATTACAAAAAACTTCTTTATTCTACTATTGTAAAATAATTCAATATTACAAAATTTAATTCTTCTTATTTTAGAATCTAGATAAATGTTAAGTAGTATTTTACTTGTAACTTTATATGCATCATTTCATGCACAATATTTGATTTTTAACTTTTATTCAAAAGCTTAACATTTCTAATATTGATAAAATACAATATATGTTTCTTTTTTCTAAAAAAAATTTAGTTTAATTTTTCTATATCAGAAAAAATTCGATTAGCATTGAAAATATTTGCATTGATAATTAGTAAGAATTATTATTTGTAAAAGTAATAGAAGGAATAATATTTTAAAATGCTAAAATTTGTATAATTAAAAAAAAATAACTCTCCTAATATTTTAAATATGTCCTAAATAAATAAATCAATAAAAACATAAAATAAGCCCAAAATTCTGAATAAAAAAACTGAACTAATTTATTATTTAAATGATTTTGATTTATTATATTATTGTAAAAATATAGTACTCAAAACATTAAACAATCAGGAAAGGAATTTATAGATTTTCTTACTAATATTGTGCTTTTACTTTTTCCTCATTTGACAAATTTTTGGTTTATTGAATTGTTCTAGATAATTAATCTCATTAATGTTAATGATGGAAAAATCTTCAATATCAGTATATTTTAAGAACTTGCTATCTTGGTATTGATTTTTTTAAAAGTTTTATTCAATGGAAAAAGAGGTCAATTCCTTAACTTCTTATTCTGAAGATTTTAAAAAAGTATTATTCCACTATAGATTTGATATTTCAAAATGACTTAGAGCTTTCTTTGTTTTAGTTTCTTCATTCAAATAATCTTTTTATGTTCTTTTTTGTAATAAGGAATCTAATTCTAAATATTAAGATTCATCATTATATTATATTTGTTCATAAAAATCATCTAATTGTTCATTTTTTTGTTTTCTTGTTGTTGCTTTAATGTATACTCTTTGATATTGCATTATTTATTACTTAAATTATTAAAAAAAATTGAAAATAAATTTGCATTTAATGTGAAAAATATTCTACTAGTTATAATTTACTAAAAATGTATGACATATATTCTATTATTATTATAATATTTCTAATATTGGTTCTCATAATGGATTTCAAATTGTAATTTATAGATTGGATAAATAATTTTTTCCATAGTTTTACAGATTCTCTTTGAAAGTATCAAAAAATTATAAAATATGTGGTTCTGCTAAATCCTCATCTCCCATAATACCTTCAGGTGAAGAAATAACAGGATCACATAAAACATAATCAGATCCATCAAAATTTCCTTGAATATTTTACACTTTCAACATTTTTTAAGTTAAAAAATAAGTAAAAAGTGAGAAAGCGTTAAGATACCTAGAAATTCTTTAATCCTTAACTATAGATTTGCCTTCTCCATTAAATTTGATGAAAGCTCCTTTTGTCAATTTTTCGGCAATATAGAAATCTAATATGATAAAAATGTTTTTTATACTTCCTTCTGCTTGTATTAAAAATTGTTCTTTATAATAAAATTTACAGGGAGGTTTTACATCAGCCTTTTAAATTTAAAATTAGAAATTCTCAGCTAAAATCATGGCAATAAGAGAACTTTAAGCAACATAAAATGCCTTTTCAAGTGTAACTATTCTCCCAAATCCAATCAATATTTTGAGTAAAAAAAATCTACTGATTATAATGTTCATCTTAACTCTTGGTAACTTAAATTAGAAATCTAATTCTTTTAGTACCATGACCATTCTAAATAAATAAATTTATTTATTAATATTTCTAAACTTCTCTTAATCTACCATCTCCAATTGGTTCTCTTATTATATATTCTGCTATATTAGAATCTTTAAACTTATTTAAACTCTCTAAAACCTTATTTTTATCTACTCTTAAAATCTTAACTTAAGCAGTCCAATCATTAGTCATAATATTTTAATTTAATAGAAAGTCAAAAGGATTTTACATATCTTTGAAAAGAGCTTAAGTTAGTGAAATGATTTTACCATCTCCTACGTTTGTAAGTGCATTTTCTTTAATTCTCTTAGTTACTTAAGCTCTTCTTTTTTCTTCAATTTATAATTTCTCAGTTTCTTAATCTAAATTTTTAAATAGATTTTCTAAATCTTAATTAGATTTCTACATATTTTAATTACTTATATCTTCTAAAATAAAAATTTTTTTTTTTAATTTGATTCTCTAATTATAATTAACTTCTTATTTTTTTTCCATCTTATTTTATTTTTTTTATTTCATTTTCTAGAGCATTAATTTAATCTATCCATTCTCTCTCAGATTTGTTCATCTCAATTAATTATGCATCCTTTGAGTATTTAATATTTTCAATTTCAAGATTCTTTTTTTCTATTTCTTAATACAGTTCTTTCATTTTATCTCTAAGGTTGTCATTAATTTTAATTTAAGAGCCTATTCTACTTCCAATTCTATTTATTATCTCTTAATCTCCAGTAAATTTTATTACTACTCTTATATATTTTTTTTTAATTAAATTATAAATTATACTATCTTTTTATTATTAATTTTTTTCTTAAGATTTTTATATTTCCTCCTTCAAACTAGAAATTTCTTATTCTACTTTACTTCTAGTTTAATTCATTTCTTCATTTTTAAATTAAATTATAATTTATTTTATATTTTTATATCTGCTTTTAAAATTAAGATATCACTTGTTTATCTTTTTTTCTTTCAAATTATTGTTCCTATTGTAATCTTTTAAACTTCTTATCGGAATTATTAAATATAAAAATTATTCCCTTATATTAATTTTTGTCTTCCTTCATTTTCTTTTTCTATTTAATCTTCGTAGAACTTTCTTTCTGCTTAAGATACTTTTAATTGATACATTAATTCTTCATATAGATTTTCTTTTTACAATAGTTCATTTTTCAAATTAATATTAGCAGTCATCATAACTTTATATTTTTAAATTATTTCAGCTCTTTATAGTTCCTCCTATTCGACTTTGTTATCAAATTACCCTTTTAACGATTATTATTCTTTTTGTAATTCTTAAATTTCCTCTTAATATTCTTTAATTTAATTATTGAAATTATTTTTTTCAATTCTTAATGTATTTTATAATTTTAATATTTCTGATTTCAAGTCCTTAATTCATTCTCTAACTAAGTTACCTTATTCTAGCTTTATTCCAATATTTATTAAGTTGCTTTATAAATTTATCCTTCACCAGCATTTACAGCTCCAACTACTTCTCCTAAAACTACTTTCTTAATTAAATCAGATGTAAATACAAATCTATTTCATTAATATCTTGATTTGGACATTTAATTTTTTAATTTAGAAAAAAATGCATACTTAATTTGATTAATTCCCTTCAAAATGCCTGAATAATAATAGATATACAGAAATTTAATTACCTGCAACAAATTTTTAAGCTTTTAAATAAAATACATTAGTTTAATTCATTTCCATTACCATTGAGTTATTTTGACCAGGAACATTAATTGCTTAAATCTAAATTTTTTTTTTCATCTATTAGATTATTTTTTAAATAATAAATTAAGTAATAATAGACAGTAATACCATAATTTTTAATAATTTTACTACTCTTATATGATTAGAATTTCTAATGCTATTTCAAATTTGTTATGGAAGTTTTTAGAAACAAAAGTATTTTCAGATCTGCTCTTGGGAGAATAATGTGATATGATGATTTTTTTAATCTATTACACATTATTCCTCTATACCTTTCTTGTCTTTATTTTAATTTACTGCTAAATGAAAATTTTGATATTGTATACTTTGAATATATGGAATTAATTAAATTTCAAATAAATTCTAGCTTAGCTTTTTTGTTGCAAACGAATACTTATTTAGTTTTGTTTAATTTGATATTTTTTTTGAAATCAATTTATTTTTGATAATTCGCTTCTTCTTTATGTTTATTCATTTGAGTGATCTTATTTATGACTTTTTATTTTTTTAATAATAAAGTTTTCCCTTTTCTAAAATTTTAGACTCCAATAATATAATTTTGTTCTATTCTTGTTTAGGGGTGAAATTTCTCTTTCTTTTAAATATATTGATAAGTGGAAAATATTTTTTATTGGTTTCTGAATATACTTACTTTTTTTCTCCAATTAATTATTTACTAACTCAAATTATCAAATGATAATATATTGATTTGATACTTAAGATTGCTTTACTAGTATGAATTAAGTACATGGGGAAGATCTTAGGGAGTGGTTTCCTCAAGAATGCCTGAAAAATATATTTCTAAGAAGGATTTGTTAAATGAAAGTTCTTTTTTAATCTTGATAAATTCCTCTTAATTTAAGAATGAGTTAAATAAGGATACTTTAAAAGTTGAGATGCTAATCTAAGTATTTGTAGTAGTTTCTATTGATCATAGTGCTTTATCAATTTCGAAATGTTAGATTGTTTTATAAGTAGTCTACCTATTAATAATTTAAATAAGTAGGAAGTTCTACTCTATAGGGTCTACCAATATCAAGTTCTCATGGAATGGATATTATTCTTTATCAAATATCAAAACAACATGATCCATTTAATGATAAAAAATTCAAACATACTTCATTGATAAAACTAATAATTAAATTTCTAGAGTAAATAAGGAAAGATTATTGGAACAAATAATGATTTTGTTTAAGGTTTTCTATATGGATTTTAATGTTAATAGTATTTAAATAGATAGTTATATAATACAATAAATTAAATTAAATGGGAGCAAACTAGAGTTAATAATAGGGACAATAGGAAAAAAGGAGAATTAGAAAAAGAGATTATTTAATTGGAATGTGTATTAGTCAATTGGCTCCAAAGGAATCTAATGAAAGTTCAAAACTTAGAAGTTTATCTGAAAATATGAAATCATAAAGCCTAGATATCTTGACGTATTATGATAAAGAGATATTCTAGCAAAATGAGTGAAAGAGAGATGTATAATAATCCCATAAAATTCTTACAGTATTTCTTAACTTTTTTGACAATACGAGAATGTTTTTAACTAAAACTCGTAAATAAAAAACTAAAATTCATGGTAGAAATGAGTAGTAACATCTACTCAAACTTTCTTAGTTAATTCTATTTAAGAAAGCTACAACTTCGATAATTTGTAGAATATGGATTACATTAGAGATTTCTTTCTGTATACTATACACAATTGTAGTCTATAGAAATTAATTAAGATGAATCATGGATCAGAATCTATCTGAGCTTCCAAAGAAGCATGTAACACTTAATCAAATTCATTTAGATAATAAATGAGAATCATTGAAGAAGAGATTTAAAAAATATTTAATATTGAGTATCCATTAGTAGATAAAATATTGGAAACAGGACGTAATCCACTTATGCCAGTCCCACTTTTAACAGATGATATACTTAAATAATCTACAACAAGTTGGTTTCAATTAGAATTAGCATAAAGAACTACTGATTTTACAGCTGTTGAAAAAGTTCCCTAACTTGATGAATTAACAGAAAAGATTTATTAATATTCACTCCGTTAATTTGATGTCACTAATATGAAACATACCTAAATATTATTTGAACTGAGATGGATAGTCATTGATAATTTTCTGAAAGATCCCTTTGTTTTAGATTCAGATAATATACCGCTTTTATTTAGGTTCTTGCTTCTAATATTTCATTTCATCTATCAAAGATGCTTATTTAGTAGAAATGTTTTAATCATTACTAAAACAGAAAAAAATCCAGCTATGTTTCTTAATATGTATACCATTTTATGGGAATCTTATGTTGGCACGATGTGGTCATTAAATAGAGCTTTAAAGAAAATATTTAAAAAAATTGACTTAATATTTGATGAATACTTTACTACCTATTTTCCTAAAATTACCTTTACCAGTGCTCTCGCTAGATTATGGTCATAAATTGTTATCAAAGGTACTAAGAATTAATAACTGGATTCGATAGAAAATGAATTGTTTGCTTCTTTTGACGTTTTATTAGAATAAAAAAGAGTTATTTTATAATAATTTTATATGAAAGATCATTGGACCAAGGAACAGTAAGTTTTTGGAAATAAACTTTATAATGACGATTATTTCAACTATTGTCCTAGTGCTGTAAATTGTTTATTAAATAAATTCACATCTAATATTCTTGATTTGTCACTACATGAATAAAGTATCAATTGGATCGGACATTCAAATGTTAAAGTGGGGTCACTATATGGGAAATTAGTAGAAATAGTAATAAAATAAGCTAATTTGATCTATGGTAAAGCATCATAACAGCTTTCAACTGATTATAATGTTTTCAAAAATTATATATTAGGTATTTATATCAATTATTGAATAGCTGATTCTAAATATATGTAAGAAATTCTAAATTAATGGACAGTATAAGTCTGTTTGTTACCTAAAGGAATTGAATATCTGTATGAAAAAGTAAAAATCAATTTAAGATAATATGTACTCTCCTGCTAATTAAATTAATATAAATCAGAATCTACATATAATAATTTTGAGGAAAATATTCTAGAATCAAAAATTATTGGTTAAAATGTTTAATAATTGTAATTGAATGACCCAGATGAAATTGTACAACATGTTGACGGGTTTGATCAATTTTTAGAAAATTTGATTTGTGAAATATTAAGAGAAGAAAAAATCTAATAAAATGAATAAATCGCATCTCAAAATTTATAATAAATCCCATAATAATAATCAGAGATAAATTAACCTTCATTATATTAATTTTAATGTGGCAAACAGTAAAGCATACTTGAAAGTGATTATAATAAATTAAGAATGCTATCAACATTCACTTCATATAATCCAGTTAGTCAAATAACTCAATTAAATAGTGTGTATAGTTAGTAGATTTTATCTTCTTACAAATCTTGTTAGAATATTAATTAAATTAAAAACATCAAAGCTAAATTAGAACATAATCAATGGGTTGTGTATTTAAAAGACATTTACAATATTGAATATGAAAATAAAATTAAAATTGAAAAGAGAAACAATCAAATTCAAATGAGGAACACTATTAGAAAAATACCTTAAGATTTAGAAGAACAACTTAATAGTAATGCAGAATTCACGAAAGTATGGTCTATAGAAGACACTATGTTATAATATGTCTCTAAAAATACGATTGATTAATTACAAGCAAGAAATCCAGAAAGAAACTTTAGTGAAATGAAAGTTGGTGAAGGTTTACTTGCTTCTTATTTCATTTAACAATAGATATGATAATTTCTTTATTAAGTATTTTTAATCATTTTATTAATTATTACTATTGCATCTTAGGAGACAATTACATTTCTTCATCTGAAAATATTGGATATATTGCATGTTTTATATTATTATTCTTTTGATTATTCTATTATTAGCTTTGATCCTTTATCTCAGTGTACTAAGAGATAGATTCTTGTAGCTTTTTATGAGCAACAAAAAAGGGTTAATTCTTCTAATTTTAGATTCTTCCAGAGTAAGGTTATTTAATTTACAAAGGAGATTTCAAATTGGAACTTTTTGGAGTCTACAGCTTGAGTTAACGACATGACCTGCGTTATTTAGAAATTTTACTCTGGAATTGAATTAATTTTACTATCGATTATACTATTTTATATTTCTCTTGTTAATTAATTATTCTCTTCAAACCAAAATGGTTATTTAACAATATTTTAACTATCAAAGTACTTTCTATTATTATATATCCACTTAATACTCTTTGTAGAGTTAGTTGTAGCCCAATATACCTATTATAAAGATTAGAGTTATTGAAGAGGCAAGAAGCGAAATGAATCTAGTAATTTACATATCTAATATTGTATCTATTAATATATACCTCTGAAGTTGCAAATTTGTACATTACCATAGCATCATTCCAAAGTACGCAGCTAATCTCTACATATATATTTTTGACATCTTATTTTTCAATCTGGCACACACCTATACACAAATTTAGTATTTATAAACATTGATTTAACAAATTTTGTAATTTAAATAAATAAAGAATTTTCTAATCTATTGTTATATAACCAGTTTTATTTTATAAATGGCTTTCTAACTTTTTTTATTAATATTCTCTATATTAAAGATTAGTATCTTTAAAGTTTTATTACTTTTTGAAGATTTTAAATTAATTAATTTGATTCTCTCTTGTAGATTCTGTGTAATTTGTATAAGTAACTTCTTAATCAAAGATTGGATATTATCCTATTTTACATGAATAAAATAATTTTAAATTTTAAGCCAACTTGAATAAATACATTAAATAATTTTATACAAATTATCCATGACTCTAAGTCTCAATTACTTATAATTTATTATCACCTGAAATCATTTCTTCAGCTACTATTTCTCCTATCTGAAACTCATATAAAACCAAATGTATTGTTAATGCAATTTTTACTGCCATTATTCCATTTAATGCTTTCTAAGATAGTTCCCGAAAAAATTATTGTAAGTATTCTTGTCCTGTTAAATAAATTCCTTAACATTCTGGACCATACCCTTCAAAACATTCAATTAAATATAAAATATCAGTCATCAAAATTATTGGAGTATTAGTCATCAATGAACTTTAATTAACTTTCTATAAAAATGGTGTGTTCCCTTTCCCAATCAAGGCGCTGATGTAATTAGAAATTTTCTTCATTTTTTTAATAAATTAATTACTTTCATTTATTAAAAAATAATTATACATTCTATAACTAATGTTTTAAAGAAAAAATCTTTATTTAGATAAATTAAATTTCTATTATTACTAACTTAAATTTTTTATAAATATAACCAAAACATTTCACTATTATTGCTCCTTTTTAAAATATTCATCCGATTCTTCAGTAAAGGATTTAAAATAGTCCTAATATTTTTTTAACAACATTCTCATCGTACAATTTTAATTGTTTAAGGTTAAATTTTTTTTTTTCAAATTTTCCATTTCCTTTATTGTTATTTCTAAGTTGCTCATAAGTTCTTCAATTGTTTCTTTCTAACTTTTATTATCTTTATCTAACAGTAAATTTTTTTCTTTCTAACTTTTATTTTCTAAATCTAACTTCGAAATTGTTTCTTACTAATTTTAATTAACTAAATCTAAATTTTAAATTTTTTCTTCCTAAATTTTATTATCATCATTTAACTTTTAATTTTGATCTTTATAAAACTTATTTTCCTATTCTAATTCTTAAATTTATCTCTCCTATTCTTAAATTTTATCATCTTTCTATTTATTAATATTCAAATTTGAAAATTAACTTGGAGATTATTAAGGCGCTTAATTAGAAAATGTTTTAAATTTTTGCAAGTTTGTATCTCCATTAATTCCATTTTATTAATTATTTTATTAAAAATTTTATTGTTAATTTGCTTGATTGGGAGTTGAACTTAAAATATTTTTTTTTTAATTAACTTAATTTTAACTAAAGTTTTGTAGTTTTTATTGACCACCAATCTATAAATTGTTTTACAATTATTAATTATTATTTAGAAAATTCATATTATTTGGAGAAGCCACAAAACTTGCTTTGTTACCTTGAGAATTATTATTATCATCAACTTGATTTTTTAATTAGAAATTACTAGGCTTTCCATTATTTTGGTTTATTATTTATTCAATTTTCTCTACTAATTAAAAAGAACTAATTCTTCCCTGCTGATTAGGATTAAACATTTCTATCATTAAATTCTTCCATTAATCTGTAAGTTTTGATTATTTAATTACTTAATTAATTTAATACTAATTGGTTATATGATTTGTTATTATTTTTTAAGCCTCGAATTAGTTATTCGCTATATTAGACAATGAAAAGTACCTTTGATAAATTGATTGAATGTTAAAATCTCATAAAATGTACATCCTAATGCCCAAATATCAACTGCAGATGTGTAATTCCCATCTCCTATTAGAAGTTCAGGAGCTTAAAATATTCTTGATCCAACCATCATAGTATTGTTGAATAATGAATCTGTTGATTTTACAAGTCCAAAATCAATTAATTTAAATTCATTTTTTACTACAATAAAATTCTCTGGTTTAATGTCTCTATGTATATACTTCAATTCATGAAATTGTTTAATAGCATAAGCTAACTAAAAAGTAATAAAAAGGATTACCTTAAGGCATATATTTTATTGTTTTTAAAGATCTAAATGTTATTAATTTTTCCTATAATAAGTATAAAGATCTAAATCTCCAACTTCCATTATAGTAGTAAATTTATCATTAATTGTTCCTATTTCATAAATTTTGATAATTTGAGATTTTTCAGTAGAATTTTTTAATTCTATCTATTATTATTGTTCGAATAGCTTTTCGTAAAATTCGAATGTTTCCTTATTCATACCTTAATGTATTTTTATTGCAACTTGTTCTTAATTATAAAATTCCTATAATGGCTTAGCAAGAATCACACATCCTTCTGCTCCTTGTCCAAGATGCTTTATTATCTAAAATTGTATTTTCTTTTAACTTTATTGATTTTTAGAATATGAATAAAATTAAAGTATAATATTTTCTTGTCCTATATTGTTGTTCATTTTTATTAATATTTTTAATAAGATTGTAATTATGAGATTAAAGAATCATCAAATTCTATTATATAAAATAATTTATTAATTATACATTGCTCTATAATGAAAAATATATAATTAATAATTGTATTATAAATATTCTTTTTAAAAACTCTATTTATCATGTTTATAGTATATATGTTAAAAAATATCTAAAAATTTTAGAAAAATAAAAAATGATTAATATAAAACAGGATAAAAATTATGGAAATTAGTTTAATTTTAAAAGAGTTTAAATAGTTTTAGTGTTTTGAATTTAAAGATACATAAATAGTTAATCTAATACAATTTAGGATTGAACGATAAACTAATATGGAATTATAAATATTAATTTTATTAATTATTATGCAAAGTTCACAAGAGTCAACTTAAATTAAATTGGTTGTAGTAGGTGATGGTAGTGTTGGTAAAACATGCATACTTTTAAGGTAAGAATAAATATTAAGAAAATAGTTACACTACAGATAAATTTCCCACAGAATACGTTCCTACTGTATTTGATAACTACACCACTCAATTAACAGTTGATAATTAAATGATAAATTTGAGTTTATGGGATACAGCAGGTTAAGAAACATACAATAGATTAAGAACTCTATCATATGGATCAGCAGATATTTTCTTAATTGTATTTTCTGTGGTTGATAGCAGCTCATTTGAAAATGCATAAAATAAAGTACTATTATTAAATCATATATAAGTGGTTTCCAGAATTAAATCAAGACGAATTATAAAAAGTCCCGAAAATAATTGTTGGTAATAAAATAGATATGAGAGATGATAGCAATGATAAACACATAAAAACAGAAACGGTAATGATACAATTAATATCTAAAGGCTAAATCACTCTTAGGCAATCAAAATATACAATATTTTGAATGTTCTGCTTTAACTTAAGAAGGTTTAAAGCTGGTTTTTGATGAAGCAGTCAAATAAGCTTTAAAAGCCAAATTATAATCTAAGGGAGGAGCTAAACCTGCAAATTAAAACAAGGACATAAATAATGGACCTCAAAAGAAAGAGGAACCATGTTGTAGCATTTATTGAATTTATTTACATAAGTCATATATCAATTCAAATTTAATATCAGCCATATAGATTCAATCTTTAGAAGTTTAAATTTTTAGCTAAAATGGTACATTATACATTAAATAAATCATTTGAAAGGAATCCAAGATTTTTTCTTCTCTGCATTCACTTACGCAATATGGTCATTCAATTTTTTTTCAAGTTTTTCATATTCTCTCCTACATTCTTCAACAATTGTTATTAAAAGGGATTTATTTTCCTTAAAATTTCTTTTCATATCATCCATTTCTTTTTTAGACTATTTTAATTTTTCCTCAAATTATTCCTTATTATCTGATTGGATTTCTATAATAAAATAATTTAAAGTTAATACTTGGTTAAATTATATCTAATATCTTATTAGCTTATTAATTAAGATCAATTTATTATTCAATTTATTAAGTTGTGCAAGGACTCTAAATTACTTATTGTTTTAATTGTAGTCTAACTTTAAATAGATTCTTACTATTAATCTATAACTAAAGTAAGTAATTTATCTAATTATTGTGTTTTCTTTGAAAATTATTCTTAAACTTCTTTCAATTTTTTCTTAAATGAAAAAGCATTTTCATCATTCAGAAACGAATCACTCATTTCTATAAATGAATTATTTTCAGAACGACTAAGAGTTAATTATGGAGGATTGCAATCTGTTTGCATCATAATTGTTGATCTAAGATTTTAAATTTCTTATTCAAATCGAATGAACTTTTATTCAATCTATATGTAGATTTATTAATGAAAATTACTTCTATTTTATTACGGTCATTTGAAGCCTCTATTAACACTTAAATATTTCGAATTAAATCATCTATCATAGTATTTCTGGTAATTTATTTTTCTTGTAGATCATATTCGGAAATGGATGTATCAATATGATTAATCGAATTTTTCATATTAAATAATTTATGCTTCTAAAGATACTAAATAGATAATGGATTAGTATCAATTACATTTTCAATAATCTTTTCAACTTTTGTTTAGAAATCATCAGACTTGCTCATTAATTTAATTTATTATTAAAACTTAAAATGAAAACGTACATATATATGAAAATAAACTATTTTTTTTAATTTATCACACATAGAGTCATTAAAAAACATTAATTCAATGTACAAATTTATAAAAATTAATATACATACATCATTTTTTCTTTTTATCTTTTCCCTTGTTTTATCCTTTAGGTTAAACTTCTACTTCTTCATCATCTTCTGAATCATCTTCTTCACCTTCAGCACCTTCATCATCTTCATTCTTAAATTCTTTTATTCTCAAAAAGTATTCAAGAGAATATGGTAATAATTCATCAACTATTTCTCTACCAACATCTTAATCTACATCCAATTAACCTTACAATTATATTTACTAATTTTATTAATTTAAATAGATACTTCTTCTTCTGGTAATTTATCATATTTTTCCTTATTTGAAATATCAATTGATCTAAAAAATAAAAAGAAACTATCATCATCAACTTCTTTTGAAATTACTCTAAATTATCCTGTTTTCTTATTTCTTTATTTCTATCATTATAATTTAATCTCTAATACCTTCTTAATCAATTTCTTTGTTAAATTCTTTCCATCATGCCATTCAATTTTTGTTCCATCTACTTTTATTAACTCATCATCTTCATAATAAAATTTCTTCTCCAAAATGTTTTATTTGAAAAATGGATTTTCTGCAAAGTAAAATTTAAGGAAGAAATCTGAATCATTCTCAGCCAATTAGAATTCTATTTTCTATAAAAATTTGAATGCTTCTGAGTCTCTCTCTGATAATGGTAATTCCTATAAATCAGCATTCTTAAACACTTTTAACCAATAATCAGGTATAGCTTTTGATTCTTTAGGTGCTTCTTTAAATTATTATAATTCTTCCTCTGATAATAAATTTGCTGCTAAATTGAATTATTAATCATTCAATTATCCTGTACCCAAAATTATTTCATCAGCCTAATATATTATAGATATATTAATTATACTCTTTAATAGATTGGCATACTCAATTTATCATATTTAGATTAAATATTATCACAAGTAGTTTCCATGTCTTTATCAGCTTATTTACATTTATTCAAATAATATCTTAGTGCAGTTACTTTTGCTCTATCCTTGAGTGGGATATTTGTAATTTTCTTCTTGATTTCTTATTCTAACTCTTTGTTTTCCATTATTAAAAAATTTAATTATTTAATTTTAATGATATATTAATAATTATTTACACTTATTTATATTAACAATTTAATATACAAATATTGTATAAAAAAATATTGATGTATCACATGTTTAATTAAAAAGTATAATATCTATATAATAAAATGTGTATATTTATAAAAAATTTTTGTTTATTGTATTTATTGTAAAATTGAATATGGAGATGAAGAAATTGAATTGAATTATTTAAAAAAATTAAATTAAATAATTTTTATGGCAGATTAAAATTAATAGCTTGAATAACTTAAGTATGCATTGTGGTTGGCAATCATGTAAAGTATAATTGAGATATTGATTTTAGATAAAAATGAATAAATAGTGTAATTTTTTAATTCACCAAAAATTTAAATAAATGTTAATGTAGCATTAACAAATTAAGGAATTACAGCTTTACATTAGGCAGCAAGCAATGGAAATTTGAATTTAGTATAATTTTTAGTAGCAATTTAGAAGGCAGATATAGATCAATAAGATTTGGTAAATAAAAAATAAATAAATTAGTTTGGAAGAACTCCTCTACATTTTGCATGTGCAATAGGCAATTTAGCAATAGTGGATTATTTAATTTAATCAAAAGCATCACCTAATATTCAAACAATAGTATATTGATTTATAATAAAAGGGAGGTGAGACACCAATAATGAAAGCTGCTCAATTTCATCAATCCCAATTATTATATTACTTAATTTAAACACATTCAGATAAAATTAATTGGAATTTAGTTAATAAAGTAATAATTAATAATGAAAGAAAAGTTAGGATAAAATGTTTTACATATATTTCGAATATCTTGTGTAAATTCATTGGAGAAGTAAAATTAAATATTTACGCCAATAAATGATGTAATGATTGAATTAATGGGATTGATATAAATGGAAGGACAATATAATAACTAAAATTATGAGAATAATTAAGTAAAATGAGAGTAGTTTGAATGAACATATTAATTATGTGATTATATATGCACATAAATAAATAAGAGAGTAATAATAATAATGATAATTTATGTATGATTTAAAAATATACATGTCATTAAGGATAGAAAAATGGAGTAACTAAAATTTATATAATGATAAATACAATTCGATCATTATTAGTTTTTTTTTTTATTAGTTTGAAAATTAAATTACAATTATGCTTATGGATAGAGTGCATCTTTATTATTTTTTTCTTTGATTAGTACATTTTCTAAACTAGCCTTTTACTATTTATTAGGCTAAAATAAGAATGAAAAATTACTCTGATTCTACTTACAATAGTATCAGTATTAATTTTTTAAGCATATATTTAAGTATCAAATATTTTAGGTTCTTCAGTATCATCATCATCTTATTCTTCTTATTTAACATAATTTTTCAGTTAGACTAATTCTCTAATTTTATCAAAGAGAGTTTTCTCTCTCATACTTTCAGATCTATTCTTTTCAAATTCTTTTATTTTCTAATTAACAATAACAAACATTACTTCATAATTATCAATTTATTAATGATTTTAAGCAATAACTTCATCTGAATCTTCATCAAAACTAACATCTGCCTCTTCCTTTTATGAAAATATAAGAAATTACTTTTTTAACAACAAGCACTTTTTTTACAATAGCAGGTTCTGATTAATAAGTATCTATTTAAGTTATTTTTGGTTAGTTCTAGATTTCAGTTTTACATTTAATTTCTCTGCCTTCTTATATTGCTTTTAAATAGTTTTGCCAAAGCTTTAGAACTAAAAAAGGATTGATACATCCTGAAAGATAAAGATTTCAGATTCACTCATTTGTAATTAACCTTTATCAGAGTTTCTCTTTAATTTAGTAATGACTTCATTTATAATAGTATTATAATTATTGGCTGTCTCTGTTATTTATTATTCCATTACTAGTTTTATATATTATTTAATTAAAATAAATTTTTAGATTATTTCAATTATAAATCAAAAATAAATATAATGTTTAGAACCATTCGATTATTACCAAAATTATTAAGATTAACTTAAGTAGCAACTTGTTTAACTCTCATTTATAATTAATAATAAAATTTGAGATGTAACTAAATTAATACATAAACAATTAATACCATAAATGAATAGGAAATAAATCTAATGATAGCAAATCCATAAAATTTCTCAAATACAATAATAATTTTAAATAGGAAAATCATAGATGAACTTCCAAAAAATTTATAAGTTTAAATGTAAATATTTGATGGTTATTCTAATGATTATGATTTAGTAGCTATCAATAATCACACATATCTAAAACTCAAAATAACAAAAGAAGAGGACTATTTAAAATTGCTTAATTTTTTAACACCCCTACGAATTTTAAATAATAAATAAGATGCAATAAATCTTATTGATTAAATGGATGCTAAAATATTTTTGAGTTATATACCTGAAGAGACTATGGAAAATTAAGAAGAATAAACTAATAAATAGGATTTTTAATAATTAGAAGAACAATTTAGAGAGCTACGTTATATAGATTATAATAGGGAAGCATAATATTATATAATCAAAGATAAGAATGTTGCTAAAGAATTCGAGCTCTCAGATAATGATATTGGAAAAGTTTATGTACTCAAATAAACCAGTATATTTAATGCTAAAGAGTCATCCTTTGAACATAATTCTAAAGAATACTTTATGAACAAAATTGAACCTGATTTAAACTTAAAAACATTAGATATCAAAAAAAAGAAATAATAATCTTTTTCAATTGATATTAATGAATCTTAATAACCTTCTATTTAATAATTGAAATTCGTTTAATAGTTGACTCTAACTGCAAATAATTATGTTAATTATGTATTTAATTAACAATAAATGGATTCTTAACTACTCATTTATAAACAAATGGGCGTTCAATATATTCTCATTTATCATAGTCAAAATGATATGAATGAAAAAATAATAAAAAAACTAATTAGTGTTAAGAAATCAATGAATATTTAATAACAATAGTAATTTGGAATAATTTATTCAGATAACATTAATTTAATCTAAAAATATTTTGGATTAGTCAGTAATGGATTTCTAGATGATATAAGATTGATTGATCTTAATTCACAACAAACCTATACTACATCTTTTAATATTGTCGAATAAATATCATCTGATAAATAATATGATCAATATAAATAATGTAAGAGATTTTCTTTTGGAGATAAAGTCACAGTTAATAGATTGAAATAATTTATTGTCTAAACTACTAATTATCAGATAGAAAATATCTAAACATCTCCTAATTTTAGAGAAGAATATTATGAAAAAACATTTGTTAAAGTTCCCCTTGAAAAATTACAAACTATTACTGCAAATTCATTAAATTTGACAGGATTTGATTTTATTTATTTTTATAAACCAGGTTGTGCAGCTTGTCATACTGTTGCTGAAACCTTAGAAAAAATTGTTGACAGTATTAGTAATCCTCATCCTTATAGAGTTAAAAACATTTCTAATTTTAAAAAACTCTCTTTTAAAAAGTATAAACCATTCAATTAATAGATATAATATTTTAAATGAATCCCTTATATTACCATCTCCAATTCAGGCACCATTAATCTATGTCATTTATGATGGATAAATTAAAAAAGCAGATTTAGTATCAAATAAGATAAATCCAGGAGAAGAATCCAAAATGCTTCACTTCTTAACCAAATTCATTGATTATCTTTGAATATTTGAATATTATATAAGTTTTAAAATAATATCATTTATATTTTGTTTATTCCTCTACTTTGTATAATTAAATCTTTTATTTTTATAGAATCTCACAGAAAACTGTTTTTTCTAGATTATTAAACTAGTATATATTTCTAATTTTATATTTACAATTAGAAGACAATATTATTCTAAGAAATATATTGTTTTCAAAACTATTTGTTTAATCTCTAGCTTAATTCTTCATTTTTTCTCATCACTATCCTCTATTAGTATCTTTAGACTTAAACAAATTATTGAATGGCTTTAACTCCCACTATGACATCATTTTAATTTGTTTCTAATTTACAAAGTTGTTGAGTCTTTCTAAAATATTTGTAAATTTATATTAATTAAGTATTTTATTCATTGTCTATAATTGCAGATTAATGAAAAATCCATGTCATGATTAAGAATAACAAATATTAATAATCATTTCATTAAATCTCTAATAGGAAGTGAGTTATTAATAATTAAATAATGAAATTAAAAAATATATTTGGATGTGTTAAATAATATGATTTATATTAAGCCAAACTAATTTATATTAAATAAATAATTTTATTTTTCACATCATCGTAGATGCATCCAAACTAGCCCCATTAAATATATATAGTTATGAACACGTACATATGAGTAGTATTTTTTAGATAAACTATTTTTATTAAGAATCGATAATATTGAAAATATTTTAACTGTTCTTTGAAATAATTAGGTTAGTCCAGAACTTTAAACAGATAATTGTTGATCTTTATTGAATTTTTAATATAGATATATTTTTAAGCTAAATAGTGAAATATAATTAAGTACAAATAGCTAAATACAAATCAGGCAAGTATTTATTTAATGGATGAAATATTAATGAATTAAATATTAGAAGCAAAAGTGTTGATTTTTATTTAAATGATAAGTGTTTTATGAGGATTCATTTTTAAGAGCATGATAAATCAATTAATTTTGCTTGGTTATAAAAAAGTCTTACTGTTTTATTTAAAATGATAAATATATATATCATATTAAAAATGGGTTGTGTTTGTAATAGTAATTCGTTAAAGACATCTGTTTAAAGGACTTAAGCATCAAATAAGATGGTAGAACAATATAAAAGTAAACTAATATTCTATAAGTTAAAGATAACAAGAATATAAAAACATAAGATAGTTTAGATGACCTTTCCCATTCTCTTTGTAATATTGGATAAGAAATTACAAGTTTGGGTGAATTAAGACCTGAAGTTTAGTCAAAGATAAATGAATTGGGAACATTTAAGGCCATAGAAGAGATGGACTCTAATACATCTGGCTATTCATATCTTATATGTTCAGATGGTTCTATATTTTATGGTTCAGTGGTAAATGGGATTAGAAATGGAGTGGGAAAATAACATTATTTGACAGATGGAAATTATTTGGAAAGGTAAAATATTATAGTATTTTATTAGTATATGGAAAAATGATAAGGCTAATGGACCAGCAAGAATGATCTACTCAAATGGAGATGTGTAATTTTCTCAGTTATATTTAGTTTTGAAGGTCATCTAATAGATAATAAAGCTAATGGTTTTGGAGTATTCAAAAATAAGAAAAAAGAAGTTAGAGGTAGTTTTAATTGTTATTTTAGGTTGTTGGATTGATAATAGGTTATAAGGTAATGGAATAGAAATAAGAAAAAATGGAATAAAATATGAAGGTTAATTTAAAAATGGAATAATAGACGGGAGAGGTTAGTTTATATTTCCTGATGGCAGAAAGTATATATATCTTATACATTTTAGATATTATGGAAAAGTGCAATAAGGTTTAATGCATGGTCAAGGTTTGATGACATGGCCTGATTTTAGTTATTTCAAAGGAGAATTTAGATACAATTATTTAAAAGGATAAGGGTGTTATACTGACAGTGATTCTTAAACCTACTTTGGATATGTATTTATAATTGTTTAAATTTAGTTCTTCTCGGTTTACCATTAAGAAGTTAAATAGTTGGACATTTTTTATAGCAAAGATTCAAACATAGAAGAATGCGACAAACTCATAAAATTTAAGAAGCAATATGGTGGAGTCCTTTTATGAACCACTTTATTTTATGTTGATTTTAATCATATTATATACTAGTAAAATATTAATCATGACAATATGTAAATTAAAAATAAATTGAGTAATTCATAATAAGGAAATTCCAAAAAAATAATTAATTAAATATTTCAAGAGTATTACAATCTAATACAAGATCAATTCTAAATGATTTTTATGTATCCAAATTAATGATTCATTAATTTACTCTTTAATTTTTTTACTTTTATTATTAATTATTCAATTATTATAATTCTCTGCATTTAATACTTTATATTTTACATTAAACAAACTAAATGCTATTATTATCAAATAGAATAAACTATATTTTAATCATAAACAAATTCAATTCTTTTATTTCTATACTTATTTATATCTTTTCTTTTCATCTTAAACCCAATTCGACAATTATTCTAACCCTCTTTTCATCTCAACTAAAAATCCTTATAGATATAGATATGTCGATTAATTCTTAAAATTATTTAGAAAATTCTTTTCCATCTTTCAAACCTAAGAATGACTTTCAATTCATCCTTGTTCTCTTATTTTTATATCCTACTAAATACTCAGTTACTTAAGGAAAATTGTTCTGTCTCAACATTCTACACTGTTTTATATGAATTTAGCAATTTCTCTATAGTCATCTTCAAACAATCAAATTTATCCATATTTAAATAATTTTATTATAAATAAATATTTTCATCTCATATTTCTAATTCACTATCTTCTTGTGGCATTTCCCATTTAAACTATATTTATTTCATCTCATTTTTCTCTTTATCATATTCTAAACCTACGCAGCTGCAATTCCCTATTGAATTCTATAGTCCCAAATAATATGTGATAGTACATATCAATCCCTTTTAATTATCTTTATTTAATTTACTCCATGAGAAAACATCAAATATGTACCATTTTAATTACATTTCTCCTTCACTAATTACATAGCTCTTTCACAAGCTTATACCCAGGATTCTCCTCCAGGAGCTTAGTATTATAAAGTGAAAATAGTGTCCTTTGTTTCTTAATCTAACATAGAATATGCAATATTCTCATGTTTTCCAAAATTGAGCTCTCTTTTGTGTAATTTTATATATCAACCTTAAACGAATATCTTAAATTATATAATTATCATGAGGAAATCCTAAACTTATTTAAGCTGTTTCTTTTGCCCTTTTCAAATCAGATGTATAAATTCCTTTAAATTGTTCACGAAATGGTAATAAAGCTTATAATAATTGATTAGATTATTCTCTTCCTAAAATAATTATCTATAATGATAATACCTCTAATTGTCAATCTGCTATCCGTCCAACCACATATTGTATTACTTAAATTTTAATTAGTTTATCCATGTCTAATGAACAAGATATTAGTAGTATTATTTTAATGGATCAATTGTTGAATATGATTTTTTAATAGTTAGTATTTATTCATAGATTAAAAAAATTATAACAAATTCATGATTAACAATCCATTTATGTTTTTAATGAAGCCAATCTTCGTTTAATATCTTCTCTTAAATTTGATGCCTCTTCTTTAATTTTTCTTGATAATTAAATATAGATACCTATCTTCAATCTATACTTTTTTGAATGGAGAATTTTGAGATTATTAATGATCTGAAACAGGTGATGTTTGACTATATAAATGAGATTTTAATCTTCGACCCTAATGAAATTATTATTATTCATAAGAATCCTAAATTTAAAAATTATTTCTATTTTAATGTGGTAAATCTTCTCGAAAAGATTCATGAATCATATTTAATTCATCAACAAGTTTATTTCTAGAAACTATATTTTATTGATTCTCAATTTTAATAGATTAGTTCTCTTTCAACACTAAATTTATATTATAATGATTACATCTTTCAATTTATAACTTTTATTTATCACATAAATCTACAAAATACTTTTCAATATCTTTTATTTTTTTTTCATAATCGCCAACTACTCTAGAATATTCCATTTATAATTAATTATATTCTTATTTCTAATCATTAAGTAATGTAGAACTAATCTCTACCTATTTTCTTAATTAATCATGATCTATATTTATATTCATACCACTATTCTTAAGATTTTTAATTGGAGAACTTACTTCACCCTAAAACAATTCAAACATTACATTTCTATTGCATTCTTAAATCTTTCAATTATTATTAAGCTTACGAATATTATTCCTTTAAAATCCTCACTTCATCTCCTTCTATTTAATAATGTACTAATTAATCTTTTGCTGCTGTTAATTCTTACTTTAAATAATCACTATATTATTATTTTATATTTTATTTACTATTGCATTTACAATTCTCTTTCTACTTCTTTTTAATTAGATATCAATATTTTATAATTATTTATTTACTCTTCCTAATTTAACAATTATTATTAAACACTATCGTACATTTATTTTAAGTTCTATACATCATTTTATTACTAATAATCAATATCTTTCTGTTTCAAAATTACTACATTTTATTCCTTTACTAATAAGTTTTTCTTCTTCAATAGATTACTTAACCAATGCATAAATGCCCAATTTAATACTCTATTGTCATATTTCTTACTTAATAATATTTCATTCTATCTCTTCATCTTACTCTTAATTCCATTATTTTTCAAAGTATCAAATACTAAAAAAATTAATAATTCTATTTTAAATACATCTCTATAAAAATTAAGTCTCTCTCTTTTCTACAACCTTAATACTTATACAATTCAATCTTGATAATTTTTAATATTCCCTCATCCATTACTTAAATTACCTTAACTTTATAAAGAAATTTCTATTCAATTTAATTTAGTTCTCTCTATATTTATTTTATTTCCAATTCTCTTTCATTTAATTAAATAACTTTCTTAATTTTATTTACCCTCTTTACATCACTATTTTATTTGCTCTCTCTTTATGAAAATTACAATTCTATTTCAAAAATTAAATTAATCCCTTCATCTATTTTATACGTCTATTATTTATATGTTGGTAAATTATTTATTATTTTTAATTCTCTTTCTTTATCCATAAAATCCATTAACTAAAAACCTACTATCATAATATTTTTTTACTTTAAACAACTTTATTCTATTAAATTCATTTATTGAAGATTAAGTAATTTTTTTAAAATCATTTAGACTAAAATTATATTTTAAATAATTCTATTTCAATTCAATAAAACATTTTTTTTTCAAATTCTTATTATAAAATAAAATTGATATCTTAAGATTATTATTATACTATTTTTTATCTTCTATATATTATTTCCAATTCATCCAAAAATTAATAACAATTCTAAGTTTCCTAACTTAATTAAATTAATTCAATAATGCTTTTTTTTGTATATAAAACTTCCAACCGTTAAAACATTCCTATAATTATTGATTCTATTTTTTAGAGATAATATTATTCAATTTTTTAGAATATTTTGCAGCCTTAGAGAATGCATCTAAAAAATAAAATTATAATCTAGCATTTCTCCATTTAATTGCAGTATCCATATCAAGTTCTTGTTCATATATCTAATTTAATAGTTCTAATTGATCATTTTATGTTCTATAATGTAATTCTTTAATTTCTGCAATTTATTAAACTAATAATAATATATATTAAATTTAATGTACTTCTTGAATTAATTTTATTTGAATTTGAAATAATGTCTGCATAACATTTGTGTTTTTATTGATATGTTTCATTTTAAAGATTGAATTGATCTAATTATTCTGTTTACGATTATACTCTATCTTGCAATTATATAATTAATTAATTCTACTATTTAACCTATTAAATAAGAGTGGCTATTAGTTTTTCTCTATCCTCTCTGTTAAGAGTTCTAATTGGAGGAATTTAGATAAAATCAGTTGATGATCTACCAAATTATGCTGTACTTTTGAATTATAATGAACCCTTATTAGCAGATTCTTAGATTCTAACTTTTTTATCACTTCCTCTATTTGATGCAGTTTATAATAAATTAGATGATGGAGATTTTAAAATAGATTTTTCATTTTTGATTACACTTGACTCTCTTGATAAATATTTATATGCTTCAGTCATATTTTGATTATAAGCTTAAGGAAAGATAGTTAATTGAGTATTGTTTTTTTGATCGTTTAATTTCATTTTTAATTTATTTTATTTCTGAGTTATTAATGAATCCAGAAACAGAGTAATTGAACTACGATTCAGAGATTCCATAACTTCCTTATAATTATGATGTAGATGGTCGATTTTACTTGCCTATATCAAATCAAATCTATTAGAAATGTTACAGTCAATACACATATCATCCACCTACATTTTTAATTATGCCACAACAAGCAGTTTATTAACCATGTCCTTAAGTTAAAAAGACTAAGAAAAAGAAAGTCAATAATAGAGAAGTTGAAACACTTAGAGCTAGAATCATGGAATTAGAAATGAGGTAGCCTGAAGTCAAAATTGTTAAAGAAGTTGTCACTGATACTGAATAAGTTTATTTATCATTATTATATTATAGATTTCTAAATTAGAAAAAGAATTAAGAATGGTTAAAATGTAATTAGAACATGAAATTGATAATAGTGCATAAAAAGATAGAACTATTTCTGATCTTAGAGCATAAATCTAAAAAAATGATTTATCCAGAAGCTCAAGTTTAGTTTCACTATAAACAACCATTGTTGAAAGAGAAGTAATTATATCATCTTTATTCTAATATAGAGATAAATCACTAAATAAGATGGAATCATCTCTTAATTATAGGCAGACATCAATCTTCTTAAAGGAGAATTAGATGATGCACATCATCATATTGAAGAATTGTAGACTACCCATGAAGAAGTTACTGTTGAAAAAATGACATATCTTTCTAAAGTATTTATTTTTACTTATTTATTATTCAATAGGAAGTAGAAACTTGGAAATAAAAATTCATCATTCTTAATAGAGAATATCACGAAACCTAAGAAAAACTTATGTTAGCTGAAGCTGAATTAGAATCTATCAAAAAAGGAGAAGTCAAAGAAGTTAAAGTATTCTATTCATCAAATAATAGTCTATTGTTGTTGAAAAAAAAGATAATATTGGAAGAACCGTTGATTATAAATAATCTGAATAAGTTTAAGTTAGGAAAAGTGGATTCATGTCTACATTAAAATGAATAATAATCAGTTATTATCAATAATAAATAAATAAATAACATTTATTCTTAATAAATTATAATATAACATATATTCATTCAGTTCATTTAGATCTTAATAATCTTTATTATTCAATTTCTTTATTATTCAATTTCTTTATTATTCAATATCTTAATTATTCAATATCTTAATTATTCAATATCTTAATTATTCAATTTCTTCTCCTCTATCACATAATAATAAGATCAAAAAATGTATTATTCATATTTAAAATTAATTTTGACATTATCAATACCAAAATTTGCAGTCAATACAATTAATATAAATTTTTTGAGTTTTTAATTATATAACAAAAATATTATTTATTATAATAAATTAATAGAATAACAACTTTATTATTAAAAAATGATTCATGCACCAAATTAAGAATATCCAAATAGAAAATTTAAAATTTTAAAAAAAGTTGGAAGTGGATAATAAGGCTAAGTATTATTAGTTTAAGCAATAGATTGGGGTTAAAATAATTTTAGAGAATTTGCTTTAAAATAATAATAAAATATCAATAAGAATGAAATCGAAATTACTAATACAATAATTAAGCACTAAAATTAGTATGAGAATCCAGGATTATAATTTAATCAGGCATCATATATAATAAGGATTTATGAAATATTTAATTATAATAATTAAACATTTATTTTAATGGAAGCTGGATAGTATGATCTATATACCTTTATAAACTAATAATAAATTACTTTAGAATAGAAAATTAAAATAATGAAATAGGTATTTTTATTTATTAATTTATTTAGTTATCTTTTTCACTTAAATTTTTTCATCAAACCCTAAAATTAATTCACAGAGATATTAAACCTGAAAACTTTATTTAAGTAGGAGATGAATTTAAACTCATTGATTTTGGCCTATCTAAAAAGATTCAAGAACGTTTTATGACATTAAATGTAGGAACTCCATTATTTTAAGCACCAGAATAAATTCAAGGTTAAACTAATTATACTACAGCTGTTGATATTTGGTCATTAGCTTGTGTATTTTATGAACTTTGTAAAGCAGAACCATTATTTCAAGGTATTATTTTATTATTATTAATATAGGATCAAATATAAAAGAAACATAAAATTTGATATTATAAAGCAATCAAAATTATTTAAAAGATAAAATTAATTCTTTGTAAGAAACTTAATAATTAAAAGATCTTTTATATTAAATGCTTCAATATAATCCACAAGATAGATTAAATATCACAGCAGTAATTGATAAACTAAATTAATTAGATAAATTCAACTTTACTAATAATAAACAATTAGGCTAAAATTTTACAATTTAAAATAGTCCCTTTAAAGTGTAATCAATTCCATAATAAATCAATTTCCCTTAATAACTCTAAGTTAATTAATAAACACTACAAAATCCTTTAGTTTTATAATTTCAATCATAATTAAAAGCTTAGGAAGAAAAATAGAATGAATCAATGTCTTTAATTTAATAGATCATGAATTATATGGAAAATTTAAAATTTTAAGAATAATTTATTCAATTAACATAATCTTAAGCATAAATTTAAAATAAATTGAATGATTATTAAAATTAATTACAAAATTAATTAGAAGAAGCAAAAAATACCGAAAATTTCAATCAAATTATTTAAGAATAATAATCAAGAATAAAATATTCGGAAATTAAATAAGAAGAATATGATACAAAATTTAAATAATATGAAGATTAAGTTTTAAATTGTAATTAAGTCATTAGTGATTTGAAAATCTAAGTGGAAATAAAAAATAATGAAATAAAAATGCTTTAAGAAGAAAAACAAAAATTATCAAAATGCGAGTAAGAAATCTAAAATTATAAATAAGAAATACTAAAGTATTAATTTAATGAAAAAGATAATGAATCACAATAAAAAATATTATTATTTGAAAATCAAAAAAAATAAACAACGATAGAAGAAAAAGAATAGAAAATCGTAATTCTTTCAGAAGAGTTGACTTAATTAAAAATAAAAGTAATATAACAGGAATAAGGTATTAATTAATAGAAATTAGAAGATTAATTAAAAATTAGAATTTAAGAGAACGAAAATTAAGTATAATAATGGGCAAAAATTAATTAGGATAATAATAATCAATTTAATTAACTAAACTTAATTATTAATGAATAATTATCTACAATTCAAACAAAAGAAAATTAAATTAAAGAATAATAAATTAAAATGGAATCTTTAATAGATGAAATAAAACAAATTCACTTAACTATGTAATAAATGAAAAATTAATAAGAAGAATAAGATAATAAAATCATGCAATATATAGAATAAAAATTTGAATCAAAAACCATAAGAGAAGAATAAGAATAAAAATGCTTGCTTGTATAATAATCATTAGAAGATATTAAAAGAGATTAAAAAAATTCACAAGAATAACATTAAAATTTATTAGAATTATTAAAAGTTATTCAATTACAATAAGAAAATTTAAACAAAAATGAAAATTGTCAGAATGATAAAGATCAATTACAAACTTTGTTTGATAAACTCAAAATCCAAATTTAAGAAACCAACTCTTTTTTACAAAATAGTATTGGGAAAAATGAAATTTCTATCTTACAAAAAATAAAAGTTGATAAATTTTATTTAGATTAGATTATTGATTACTTTATACAAAATATCAATATTAAACTTGCTAATGTTACTGAAGCATTAAACTTAATGATTGATATAGGTAATTTATCAAAATAAAAACAAATGGCTATAAATTCTATGGTTGGAGATTATTCATTACTTTGTAAGTAGTTAAAAGAAATATTAGAAAATTCAAATTAACAATTAATCAATCTAATAAAACAGTTTAGTAAGAATGAATTAAAAAATGTTAACTAAAATTCTGGTGTTAAGAATAAGTGATTTTGATAAACTATAAAAAAATTAATTTAATTATGATCAACTATTACATATTTACATAGTCAACTTCAATAATTTATTTAAATTTTCAATTTTTTGATACAGAAATTCTTAGTTGAATCAATTTCTTATTTAGATGAAAGAATTTATTAAGAATACAATATATGTTTTTTTCCATTTTTTATTAAATGAAGTAAATTGATATATTTACTTATTTAAATCATGTTAAATAAAACTCATTATTTACTATAAATAAACTAAAAAGAATTAATTTAGTAGTTGGAAATCAGAAAATTATTTATCTTCGACTAAAAGTGTCATTTCATTTATTTATTTTTTAGATTTCCATTTTAAATATTAATTTGCCTTTTTCAACTTAGTTCTAGATTGAAATTTATTCAACTCAATTTGAGTGAGAAATTACTTAATTTGACAACTTAAAGTAGTTTTATTTTTTAAAAAATAAATAAAAGTTGTTGTCAAATCTAAAATATTAATTAATATAACCTATTCTTTGAAGAAAGTTTATATTTAAATAATAGCCTGAGTATATAATTTATAATTTAATTTGTTAAACTTTTATATAATTATAAAAAATATTAAAAATAAGAAATGAAAACCTATGAAAAATATTAAACAAAATTTAAATGGTTATGAATAAGTAATCTAGAAATATTAAATGACATAAAAAAACTTAGATTATAGATCGATTTGCAAATCATTCATTTTGAGCCATATAAATAAAAATCAATTGCTTTAACTATTTATTAAAAAAAAATATTTATTTAAAAGATAAACTGTTTAAAATAAAAACGTATGAGAATTTTTGTTCATTAATTTCATTTTATAATTTGAAAGTGAAACTTATATTAAATATTTTTATAAATTTTTTAGTGAGCTTAAATTTATAATTTGTTGATTTCTTAAAAAAAAAATTAATAGATTTAATTAAATAAGTTAAATCAGAAATCAAAAATTGATCTATTCATCCAAGACTAGAATTAGAATTCTAATAAAAAATGATTAAAAGTATGTTTATCTTTATCATAATGATCTAAAATTTAATACATGGTGCCATTTTATTCTTAATTTTTCCTTTTTATATCAGACGATGATTTTTTAGGAAATTTTAAGTCAAAAATTATTTACATATTTTAAATTTTAGATTAATTATATACAAGAAGATCATAAGAAATTTGAATGATTAATTATATTTTACTTAGATACAAATATCATCTTCCCATGGAAAAATTTAAGATTTCAATGATAAGCAATTATCATAATTATAAAGTAAAATAACTCAATTTTAAGAAAAAATACAAAATTTAAAATTGAAAATTCTAAACCAATAAAATTCATGAAGATAAAATTATCTTCAGAATAAATAGAAAAAAATTTTAAATTAATTAAATATAAATAAAAATGATTAATAATTAAAAAACTTTTATAAATAATGATTTGAGGTAATTGATTAATAAAAATCATTAACACTGTAAATTTAATTTTATTACTCTAGAGTTATCATGAAACTATAATTAAAATATTTTGATTAAAATTTTATGAATTACATAGAGTTTATTTTTACATTTTATATTATATCTCAATTCATTGTAATTTGTATTTCCTAAATATTCATCTAATATAATTGAATTTTAATTTTTATAATATTTATTTCTAAGAATTGATTTGATTTCATCTTTTGTATTTGTTAATGAATCTAAGTAAAATTTTATTTTTACATTAGTATTAATTTAAGAGAATTACAAAGTAATTAATTTTAAAGTTCCTATTTTTAATCTTCCATAAAAATTTTAAAAATATAAATTTCAACAACCACTTGCAAATTGCTAATTAATTATTTCAAAATTTAGTAGTATTTTAACTTATGATTTTATTATAAAATAAAATTAACATTAATTTTTTATCCTCCTTTAAATCTATACACCATATTATTGAAAATTGTGTTATACTTTAATTATTATTTTTTTGAATGAGTATGTCTTACTATCTAAATCTTTTTTCTAATTCTTAATTATTTTTTAATTATTTATGATAAACTAATCTTTTTATTTTCTCTTGACCTAATCAGAATTATTCAAGAAATTAAGCCTCCTTATAGAATTCTAATACTAAACTTCACTTTTTTATTTCTTATTATTAATTCTTAAATGGCTCATAAAAATAATTAAATTGACTTCTAGTTCAACTAATAATTATTTAAAGTTTTTTGTTCTTTTCCTTATGTTTAATTTTATATTTAAAAATGTTATTTTAAGGATAAAAATAAAAAGCCCAAAAATTTGTGTTAAAATATTTAATGCAAAAATTGTTCTGATCTTGATATTATCTTAAGTTAAAGAATGATAATTAATATAGCAAGATTTGAGTATCTTATAACAAATGAGCAAGAATATTTCTAATTAAAATATAATGAAAGCTTCTATACTTTTAACTTAAATATAGTTTGTATTTTCTAACATAATTATTTATGTTTTCACGATTAAGAGATATTTGAAATTGAAAGACGATTAATTTTAGTGATATTCTTTTTTTTGTAGTCTTTGCTTAACTTTAATAATAATTAACACATTTAAACCACATATAATTTCTTGATTATATGTAATGTTATAAATATATAACTTTCACAATCAAATTTTTGGATTGAATTTTGAAAATAATTCATAGATTAATTAGAAATCTGTCTAGTGTATACTAATTTAAATTGAAATATACTGTTTATAATTTATATTAAAATTTTAATAGAAATAGAAAATGTAATACTAATAATTGATTAACTCAATAGTGGAAGCTCCCTCTAAAGATTATCCTAAAAGATCATTACATTTAACAAAGCTTCTTGGTTCTGGAGCTGAAGGAGCAGCATTTCTTGCTACAGTTTCTAATTGGGGAAATAATCCTTAACAAGTTGCCATTAAATTACAATAAAACATGAAACAACATGAGAAAGATTTTATAATAAATCTAATATAATATCAAAACACTTATGAGAATGGGAACAATTAACAATTCCTTCCCAGTAACATCATCAGAATATATGAATATTTTTAATGGTAAGCTAAACATTGTATCATTATGGAAGTCGGTATAGAAGATTTATTTTCGTATTTAGCTAAAAATCAAAATTTATCAATATAACAAAGAGAAAAGATATGTTTTTAAGTAATTATATTTTTAATCAACTAATAGATTACTTAACCAATACATTTTTTACATAAATCCTAATTAATTCATCGAGATATCAAATCAGAAAATTTTATAAGAGTAGGAGATAATTTTAAATTAATTGACTTTGGCTGTAGATCTACAGCTTTAGACATAAAAACTCTTTAAGTTGGCTCTTTGATTTTTCAAGCCCCTGAACTTATAGAAAAGAGAAACAATTATTCAGAAAAAGTTGATATCTGGGCGTTGGCGTGTGTCTTTTATGAAATATTATCAATGACCCAATTATTTAATGGTAGACAAAATTTATATTTTTAGGATAAAGTTTTAATGAAATAACCTCTTAAATTAGAAGACATAGAACTGATGCTCATATTATTAATAAAAAAATTAATGCATTACCTACTTCAAATGAGATTAAATAATTATTAATTAAGATGTTGAATTATAATGATTAACTACGGCCTTCAATAGAATAGGTTTATAATTATCTATATCAACCATAAGTTATTTAGCCACCTATCATTAAATAACCAGTAAAAGTAGTATAAAAATCTCAAATAGATTAATAATAATAGAAAGATGTACAAAATTTAAGTGAATCATAAAGTAGATAAATTTCTGAAGAACAATAAAATTAAATAATTTCAAAGTTAGAAAACTAAAAAGAAACACATCAAATTTCAAATAACGCTTAATAAAATGAATTACACCCAATTAAGTTATAAATATAAGAGAAAAATGAAAAAATAGAATCTTTAAACTCCGAATCATAGCAATAATTAGAATAAAAATTATTAAAATAAAATTAATAATCTTTAGAACTATAATTATAATAATAGATCAAAAATGAAGATAAATAAAATCAACTTCAAAATAACGAAAAATAATTTGATTTTTAATTATTAGAATAATAACAAGAATAATATTCAAATATATAAATCTAAACTAAAAATTAATAATAAGAGATAGTAAAATAAATCCAACTGTTAATTTTATAAATATAATAAAACTAAATATTTAATGAGGAATCTATTGTAATAAGATCTTTATAGATTTAACTCAACTAAATTGAAGACTAAATATCATCATTCAACCCTAAATTAAAAATTTTTTAAAAAGTTTATTAAAATTATAATAATAATAGAAATTAATTATAAGATGATATTGAAAATTAAGGATATTAAACATTAGAAAAAGATCAAAATCGAATAGTAAATTAAGGTTAAAATTAGACTAACCAAAATTAAAAAAAAGATATTTTAAACACTTAAAATGAAAATAATTAAAATAAAAACGAAAAACAAAAAGATGAGATAATCCAAAAGTATAAACAAGAAAAAGAGTTCATATTAAAATTATTTAATTTTTTCAATTAATACATTGTTTAAGAATTGCCAAATTTTATAGGAAAAATAAATTGCTTAGACAAATAATTATATACGAAAAATGAGAATCCATCTTACTAAAATCAGATTGACTTATTAAACAATTAAGATTTTAAGCAGGAATTATAGTTAAGGTAGTTTAATAAAGATTTATCTTAAGACAATTAAGAAACTAATCATTAAACTTAGTAAGACATACTATCATAATTTTTTTCATAATAAAATCAAGTAAATTAGAATTTCAATTAATTAGATTAAGATGCTATAAGTGAATACTAGAACCTTTTTTAAAATTTAAGGAAATAAATATTTATATAAATTTAATCTTCAATGCAAAAGATTTAAGATTTATAATAAAACTCTTATAATTAAAATTAATAATAAAACAACAATTTAATGTAGGTAAATTAAGATTTAGAGCAATAGATCTTAGATTTAACTGATAAAAACAAAAAATTGATTGAACAAATCGAAAAATAAACTAATGAAATTAAAAATTAACAAATTGAAAATTAAAATTAAATTCGTTAAAGCTATAATTAGATTGATACTTTAAAGAGGGAGAATTAAAATTTATAAAATTAAATTAATTAGAGCAATATTTAGATCGATACTTACAAAAAAGAAAATGAAAGTTTTAAAAAATAACTTTCGGATTACATTAATAAGTTCAATAATTCAATTTAACCGTTCAGTCCTTTAAAGTAGGAAAACTAAACTTTATAAAATTAAATTAAGGAAAAAAACATTTAATTTGATACTTTAAAGAAGGAGAATTAAAAATTACAAAATTAAGTTTCCAATCAAAGTAATGAAATATAAAAATAAAAATAAACAATACAAGTTTTGGAAAAGAAACTTGAATGGGTAGCATTTTGATTTAAATAAATAAAAAAGTTATTTTAAAATTTTATTATATATTAATTTCTTAAGTTATGTAGAGTAGAATAAATTTTTTTTTGTTTTAATTTATTTATGTATAAATTCACAGTAAAATTTAAATCATTAGGATATTCCTTCATCCTTAATTATTGATTTGAAGTTTCTATAAAAAAATTCATCAAAAATTAAAGTTTGCCTTGGGAATAAAAATATAGTTTGTTTAATTGATTAAAACTATTATTTATGTCGATTATTTCCAAAAAATGTATAAGAAATAAAGCATATGAACTAAAACACTAAGAAAACAATACAGAGTAATTTAGTATAGAAAATTAAAAGTTAGCAAGAATNTTAATAATAGAAATATAGACTTTGAAAGAAGTTTATAAATATTATTAAAAATTTAAAAATTTGAATCGAATATATAATTAATGAAAATTATAAATAAAAGAAGAAGTTTTTATTAAAGAAAAGCAAAAACTAAAGAGTGTATTAAGAAAAAATTTAAATAATAGATATTAGGAAGAAAATAAATTATAATTTCGAAATTACACAATTATATTAATACTTATGAAGGGAATTTAAAAATTAAATTTAGGTTAAAATAAAAAATAAGGTTCGATGTATTAATAATATAGTGTTTAAAATGAATAACAAAAAATGATCAAAAAATACTTATGATTAAGATTTAAAGGTTTTTTAAAGATATTTTTAAACTAAATTTTTTGTTATTAAAATTAATTAAACTATATTATTTAATTTAAGCAGAAGTAACAATAAATGACTACTATATTGCTTTGGTCATTTGAGATTGAAAAAAAAATTTTAATCAATGACTAAATAATTTATAGTATAAAAGACAAGATCTAATGTAGATTTTTAAATTTATGAGAATAATTTAAAATTGCTCTAAATAAAAACTAAATAAACATGAGTAATCACCAAAATCTACTGTTGAAATAACTTTTTAAAATATGGCAGACAAAACTCATGAGGGAGTCCTTTCAATTATATTAGCATTATAAATTCTACCAGATGATTTTTAGAATAACACACATCAAAAGATCAAAAATTAATTTTAAATTAAATATCAAACACTTAAAAATAATTAATTGATTGTTTTTTATGACAGATCAAAATTTAAGAATCTTTTTTCAATAAAATGCTTAAATCATATAATTGATTTAAAGAAAAAATGAATTTATTTTCCTTCAGCATTTTAAGTAAATATTTAAGCTTTATTGTTACTATAGATTTATACAAATCATTGATTTAATAGGTTTTTAAATTATTAAATCAATAATGTAAAATAGGATTTCATAAATTTAATAAACTAATTTTACATAAAATAAAATAGGATTATAGTGTAGTCTAAACAAAATTAGAGCTAAATAAATTAATTACCATATAAACATAATCAAAACTATGATAATAGAAATTAAAGGAAAGGAGAAGAATATTTAATATACAAAATCAGAAAAAGAGTGCAAATTTAATGATTAATATGGTAAAGTGATAATGAGACTACTTTCCGTCTTTAAAAATATAAATATTAAAATAAAAAGTCATAATATTTAATATGAGTATAATTTTAAAACTTTATTACATATAAATAAAATCAATAGTAAAATTTAAAAGCAGAAAGTGTAATCCATTAGAAAAAAAATTATTATTTAAATTTTAGTAAAGTACTTAAAATAAAACAAATCTAAAATTAAATTGAATTTTATTATATTTATATATTTAATATTTTAAAATTATTTAAATTTCATGCATTTATAATGATGAAAATAATCATTAAAATAATTTATCTGAATTTATTAAAATAAAAATAAATTTTAGCAGTGTTCCACATGCATTAACATTCTTAAATTCACTTTATACAAATTTCTGATTTCTAATGATAATTAAAATATTCAATATTTCTAGCATTTATTAATTTACATTATATACTAAATTTAATTAACGAGGATTTCTTTAAAATGAATGAAAAAAAAGATGAAAATTAATTATTGAATAAAAAAGCTGCAGCAAAAATAAATAATTGTTATATTAAGCGAAAATGATCTAACATGATTTATAAAAATTTTTGTCCTTATATATATTATATATCATGATTAATGAGGATTAGAATCAAGTTTTATAGGACTTTTAGACAAAGGAGCTTATTATCTATTTTTATTTAACTAATCTTTAGTTGATTATATTTAATCTTAAAATTGTTTTACCTTTTCTTAAATATTCTACAAATCTTAATTATTTCCTTATGATTGTTAATTTAGTGTGAAAATCAACTCAAGCAAATTATATAAGTTTGATATTTGATTTTCAAAGCATGTAAATATTTAATTTTCAATTTAGTCAAAAAAATAGTAAATTTTATTAGATTCATTTTTGATTTAGAAATTGAGATTTTAATTGGTGAAAGTTTATAATTATTTCCTGAATTCTGCAATTTCATTTTAAAATTTAAAATCAAAACCTTAATTTATGTTGTTTTCATAATATTTGATTCTATTCTTTAAAATAGAATTTTCTTATTGCAATTCTTATAAATTTTTTTATAATTCTTAGATTTATTAATAAAACATTGGATTGTTGTTTGGTAATTCAGGATAGTTCATTTATTAATTTTTTCTGATATTAATTGTAGATTATGCATACATGGGAGTTTAATTTTACCATATTTATTATTATAACTGTTAAATTGAACATTAATATTAATATACTGTTTATTGGTATTAATAATTGTTTTTTATAGATTAATTTTCATTTGTTTATAATTTATCTTCTAGAGTTTAATTGCTTTTTTATAATAATTCAATTTAATTCTATTTTTTTTAAATTTCTTAAACTAACTTTAATTCTAGATTATCGTATTTTTATTTAAATTCTGATTCTTTAACTTCAATTTTTTTAAGTAAATTCTATTCACTATCTTTTAAAAACAAAATTTGATTATTTAGATCTTAAATTTGTAATGTTAATTCTTAAATTTTCTAATTCATTTCTAATTCTTTTTATTCATATTAAGCTTTATTCTCCTGTAAATCATCTAATTATTTTTTCTATTCTTTAATAATAATTGAGTCTTTATTTATTTAATCTATACGCTCAGATAATTCCGTTTTTAAAGATTCAAAATTAGTTTTAAATTTATTTTTTAAATTTTTAAATTCTTGAGTCACAATTTGAGACGTACTCTATTCTTATTCTTTTTTTTAATCTTTTAAAGTAGTCAAAATCTCCTGTTAAAAAACTTTTTGTTCTTTTTATTAGTTTTCAAATTACTATTAAAAATCTTGTAAGAATTTTATTAATTAAGCAGGTTAGAATTAATTATTAGAAGCACTTGTTTAAAACCTTATATTACTTAATTGAGAATTTTAATTTTAATTTTAATTTTAAGGATTTTAAGGTGAGAATTTATTAAGAAATGGTCCAGTTATGGAAAAATCATTAAGCTAATATATGATTTAATCAATTCTCAATCTCTTATTAGGATTTGGTTAAAGAATTAAAATTAAAAGATTTTTGAATGCATCACAAACTTAAAGTTATTTTATTTTTTCAAGTATGTAATTCTAATTACTTTGACATTCAATAATTTTTTTTCTTACTTCTTATAGATTTTTTCCTAAAATTTTTATAAAATTAATACCTTAAAATAATGGTTCTAGGCTAAAAAATTCATATAATACACAACCTAGTGACCAAATATCAACTGCATAAGTGTAGTCTGAATTTCCTAAAATCATCTCAGGTGCTTAATATAAGACGGTTCCAATTTAAATTGTTTTTTTATCAAATGTATTTAATCTCACTGTGCCAAAATCAATCAATTTGAATTAATCTCCTACTTTTATAAAATTTTCTGGCTTGATATCTCTATGAATTGATAATAAATATTAATGAACAAATTATAAAGAAAAGCATAACTAATTAGTTAATAAAGAATACTTGCTTCATAATTTTATGTTTCTAGTCTAAAGGTAACATTTATTATTAAACCAAATATTAATGAAGGTCCTATTCTCCTAATTCCATTACTAGATATACATCTTCCTTCAATTTAAACAAATCGAAAATTCTTATCAATTAAGATGATTAATAAGTTGACCAATTAACTTCAGAATTCTATTAATACTCAATTATCCTTTAGATAGCTTAGATTTCGTGTTAACTGCAACCCTATTATTTCTTTAGGGCATATTAATAAGATGAATTATTTTTCCAATTAATTGCTTCTACTTAATAAATCTCTCCTTGAGAACCGAAACCTATATTATTTATTATCTTAAATTTTCTTTCTGGAGAATCAATAGAGGGTGCTGCTATTACTTGATTAATCATTTTCTAAATAACAAAAGAATAATATAATATTTAATCATAATAGAATTTGTATGAAACAAAAAAGATAAAAACTAATTCTATCAATTTTTTTCATAAAGTTAAATTTAGAAGATATTTTCATATTATATTAAAGAAAATAAAATAAAAGAACAATAAGGGAGGAAATTAACAATAAATTATAAAAGTATATATAATTAATTATCAATAAAGTAGATCTATTGAGAACAATAAACTAATTAAAGCTTCTATGGAGATCTTTCTATTAAAAATATTTATTCTCTTAAATTATTTTGTAAATGTTCTAGCTCAAGTATAAAAAACTTATATCAATTATCTAAAGAAATAAATAATACTAATTAAAATTTATTCTCTCACAATTATTAATTTTTAATATAAATATAAATATCTTTTTTAATTAGTATAATTCTAATTTACCAAGAAATTAAAAATAATTAATTTTTACATCTAATAGTAAAATGAAAATAATTAGAATATCTAAGTTTAAGAAAAGCAATTAAAAGAATTAGGTTTAAAATAAGTTGAATAAAATTCATTAATTTAAAAGCAGTTGAACCATTAGAATAATTAAAATTAAAATTCTTTAAAAGAATCCAAATTTTTAAATTTTAATCCATTGTTTCTTGAGATGCATATCAAAACTATATATAAAACATTGATAATTATCAATGATAGATAAAATGATAAAAATTTTAATAATTTTTGCCAATTTATTAAAGAATCTTGAAAGAAATGGGAATGATGATGAAGTGAAAGAGTTAAAGTATAAAATAAAATTTACAAATATTAATGATGATGATTTTAAATTATATGTAAAGAATTATTACAGTAATGATAATCTTGTAAAATGTAAAATATCATTTGAATATAAATAGCAATATTTTAATAGTAATAAATTTAGTATTAAAATTAAAATTGCAATAAAATAATGTTAAATACAAGTTCAATCAATTTAGGGGATAGTAGCAAAGTTTATAAGCAAAGCAATTAACTAGGAATTTTATCTACTGCTATAAGTAAAATAGGGAATGCTGATCATTCTTTTCATAAAGGGATAAAGGCAGCCAATACAACAAATGTATCACCTGTAAGAATGCGATTGTTTAGAGAATCACCAGAAAGAAAGCAAAGAGGTCTTGATGGCTTGGTTGTAGGAGAGTTTCAGTAATATAAAGTAAATAATGAAAATTAGTCCTCGCAAATAAACTTAAGTTGTTTACAGTAGTATTCATTAGAGTTCATCACCAATGAATCATAAACCACAATAAAAATAACAATTTTAGGATTCACCTACAAGAGCTAAATAGAAAATAGATAGATTTAAGAACTGGGATTCTAAATTGGACATTGAATTATAATTACAAAATACAGGGATAACTAGATTAGGGAATGATGTAGTCTATCAATCAGGTCCATAAATTAATTATACAAAATCAATTTAATTTAATGAGAGACTTAATCGAAACAACCCTTCAGTCTCATAATCAGATATTGTACAACTAACAGCTAAATTGAATGCAATACCAAGAACTGAATTAACTAATTTTACAAGAGGGTATTACATAATAATAATAAGTTTAGTCATGCTCATGAATTATCTACACTTTAATAATCATTGCAAAGAATACTGAAATCAAGCAAAGCATATTGAATGTCTGATAATTTTTATATTAATAAATTTATTGCTTAATTATTTACATAATTTATGATAATAGAAAGAAATAGTAAAAAGATTATAATAATAACTATGAATAATATAATGTTTATATTTGATATTAATTTAAGACTCTAAATATCATTACCTTTTAGAGTTCTTTCTGATTGATTGGAAATAGGGATGTAACATAGCTTCCTTAGCTGTAATTCTTAAATTCTAGATTTGTGAATATAATATTTATTTACATGATCGTAGATAAGCATACTCTGCAATAATTCAATTGCATCAGCCTTAGCCAAATGCTCATTATCTTCATTAATAAACTTATTGAATGGTTTCTTAGGATGTTATCCTAATACATTCTCAAAGTTTGGACCTAATGAAATGTTATACTTCTGTAGATAATTCATTAAATCATCTGTTCCTAATACTCTTGCTATTTTATCTAATTAATCATTATTATCTTATCCATGGAAGAATGGCTCTTATTAAAAGATTATTCCAGCAAATAAACATCCCAAACTCCATATATCTAAACTATAATCATAATATTAATAATCTAAAAGCAGTTCAGGAGATTTAAAATATCGAGAAGCTACTCTACAATTATAATTTTTATTTGGAAAATAGAACTCTGCTAATCCAAAGTCAATCAATTTTAATAACTTCTTTTCATTATCGATCATAATATTATGAGGCTTAATATCCCTATGCATTATTCCCATACTATGACAATGATCTAAGGACTATTTATATATTGTAGATTTAATTACTTTCAAAATCTCATACATATAAAAGCGAACATCTTAATCCTATAATTAAGGGTATAACACTCTGTAATCTGTGTTATTGACGAACTCCAATATCAGACTTGTAGTTTTTGAAGCTGGATCAAACACTACATCTAGCAATTTTAACACATTGTTTTATCCATTCAAATTTTGTAATATTTTGATTTCTCTCTTTATCTTTTTCTATCTTACTATTTAATATTTTATATTTTTTACTTGGTTTCAAAGCTTTTATAACCACCTTTTATAATGTATTTACATTTATCCCTTCAAAAACTTCTGCATATTTTCCTCTTCCTATTTTCCTTACAATCTCATAATTGTCAAGTTGTCTAACAACATACTCTTTCTAAATACCCATAATGAATATCCATGTTTTCAAATTCAAAATAAGATGGTCTCTTTTTTAAATTTGCATCTCCATAAAGTCGTGGCTTAATGTTCATTGTTGGTATTTTGATAAAATTTCAAATTAATATTATAGTTTTTCACATTCATTTTCGTTAATATATATACAAATGTAATCTTTAATAATATGTAAGTCTTTTCTTTATCAAAAAACTAAATTATTAACCTTTTCTATAATTAATACTTCAAATCTTTTATTCTATAATTTACAGTATCTTTTAAGATAGTTTTACATTTCCTTAAATATTTATTCTCAAATTAGAGAAAAATCCTAAAGGCTAATTCTTGTTTGGCATTATCAATGACTCCAACATATCTTTTCTTAATAACTTTGATCTCTTAATTAAGTACTTTATTTAGTCTCATTTAAATTAAAAATCTAATAATTTGATACTTTAAATTATATAAATCAATTTTAGAGATCAAAATAGATATCTATGATTACCTTTCATAAATATTTTAAAGTAGCCAATAATATAATTATTAAGGATGTAAAAAATATATCAATTGCCACTACTTAGAAAAAGATAATAAATATTGATTCATATAAAATAGAAAGTTAAGATTTCAATTTTATTTATTAATCAATATTAAGTAATTTAGTTAAATGAAAAAAGTGTCTATAAAAATTACTATATTAAATAGTAAAATTAATCATATAACTTTATTGAATGAATAGAATTGGCTATAAATAAAGAAGTGTAATTTTCTTATTTTAATGAGTTAATTCGATCCGTTTTTAATTCAATATTTAATTTATATGTAAAAACTAGCCATCTTGGCATTAGTTCTTGCTATCACAGCTGCTAAGTTTGTTGATACTCACACTACATTGGCTTAAATTAATGCTGATCCATTTGGACATGTCATATTGTCAGCTATAAAGGCTCACCTTCTTGCTTAGACTCCAGCTAATGAAGTGAACATGTTATTAAATGGTGTTGGTGCTGGTATTGTATAAGACTAAAATGATCATGATCATGCATTTGAACTTGATACAACGACTAACAATAGAGTAATTATTTGTGTAATTTTCAGATAGTTGAAGACTTAGATAAAGAGATTTTGTATCATTAAAATCAAATTTCTTCTAATACTTAATTGAGAGATGATACCATTGAAGCATTGGCAGTCTCAGAAGAAGATATTAGAGTTACTATCTCAGATATTGCTAACAATGAAGCTACATATGCTAGAGAGGAAGCCACAAGAAATTAGTAACATGAAACTTTTGTTGCTAAAGTAGCTGCCATTGATGATGTTATTGATGCTATTGATGAAGCTGCCAAATTAATCTAACATTTAAGCCTTGGAGCATCATTTGCCTAATTGAAGAGCAAATATGATTCACTTCACAAGAAGCTTTCAGATAACACTAGTCATAGTGCTTTATTACAAGTAATTAAAAAATTGAAAATTTTAATAGCCTGTAATTACAGCTCTTACAGAACTTGCAACACACGGTGTTAATCAAAAAGCATTAACTAAGATTGCTCAACTTTTGAGTGAGATTAGATAATAATTAGTCAGCGAGAAAGCTGCCAAAACTGTATAATATAAATATAAATTTTATAGGATGTTGAAGAAAGATAAGCTGCTCATTGGGCTGAGTTCTCTGTCCATTTATCAAATGAACATACAAGATTGGTTGAAAGAAAAGCTTAATTGGAAGTCTAAATCTAAGAATAAAAAGATACTATTGAAGATGCTTAATCATGGATTGAATTCCATACTTTAGAATTAGAAAACAGCGAAGAAAGACTTGCTGGATAATAAGCATGGTATGCTGTTTAATCAGAAATCTATGAAACTTAAACTGCTGAAAGGTATGTTATTTTTTTCTTATCTTTAGATAAGCATAATAAGAAATAGTTGACAGACTCTAAGAACATATTAGTGAAAAATTGTCAACAACAGCGCAATTCATTGCCAGCAGAAACTGATTTCATTTAGCATAATCAACAATTATCATTAACATCCTTCTAAAATTAATTATTAAATATAAGCTATTCAATTTTCTTAAATATATTTTTAATTTATACCCAAGATTTAAGATTTCATTCATTTTATATGCCCTCAACCCTTAAACCCTTCACAAAATAAATACTATTGATGCTCTCTCACTTCCTAACTATAGAGTATAACTAATCAAAGTTAATTCATCTGTTCATCCTTATCTATTAAATTATTCAACCTACTTCTTTTGTATTTTATAATTCTTAGATATAATTGGAACAATTGAATCATAGTCTAGCTAAAATTACTATCATTACTAGGCTATATGTGTACATTACTGACCCAATAATTAAATAATCAATATTTTGGATTATGGTTTTTGTGCAAAATTTGATTATTATCCTTACAGCTATTATGGCATTCAAGAATTATTATTCATACCATCCTTAATCTTTTGTTGGATAATCAATTACTACTTTATTCTCAATATTTGTCTATTATGCTTCAATAACATTTTATCCAATCATTTTAGAAATCAGCCTTTGTTATTCCTCAAATCTAGCTGAATTCATTGTTGCTACTATAGTGATGATAGAAACATTGAGTATTATGTTTTTGGGAGAACTCATATTTCGAAGAGGATTAACACTTAAATCAACATCAAATTTATATATCAACATTTCAACATACTCATACATCATTAAAATATTCAAAATATCCTAAATTCTCTTATTCTTTTATTTAGATGCATTATCAAAGTTTCCTCTCACTATTTAATGTATACTTAACATTCTCATCTAAATAAGCATCGCAACTGAATTGTGTAGAATCAAAGTTTATGCTTATCAAATTTATTCTAAAGTTGCTTTAATTTTAAGCTCCCTTAGCATTGTATTATCATTTGAAGTCCTACTGACTTAGAATACAATCAGTAATAATTATTGGATACTAGTTTCACTTGTTCTAATCAAAATATTATTTATTTATGATAATTAAATGCCTAATTCTATTGCTAATTTTGAAATCAATTAATTGAAATATCAATTTGCTAAATTAGAATTAAGCAACCCAGAAACTGTATCTACAAAATTAAGAACATACATTCTTTTTCAAAGTCACTATTCAACATGCGATAAAAAATCATATTGCATTTGTGAATCTAACAAAGATTATTCAAAAAATCATTACTCAACTGTGCTTAAATTAATCGAAATTAGATTAGAATAAAAATTTTTTGGTAGAGTTGAAAGTTCCAAAGACTCCTTAGCTATTGATTATGCCTAAACGTTACTCAAAAATCAATAATTAGTTAAAGCTTAATAGCACATTATTAGATGTCTGTCACTTAATTAATCAATATATCCATAAAATAGGTAACGATTCTCAGCTATTACTACCTTATTGTTGGAGTTCTTAAAAGAATAAGTTTTAAATTAGGTACTCATCCAAATTTCTGAAAATATTGCATCCAATGTATAACACAATAAATTAATTACCGACTCCTTAAAGTCTTTTGTCCTAAATGAAAGCACTGATCAACTCATAATCTCATAAATGAAGAAAATAATTACCTCAAAAATCCAATTCTATAATTGTTTTCTAGAACATCAAAATCAAAATTATGGCAATGTTCACTTTGCCATTTAATTTATTAAACAAATTAAATAGTTTAAGGATCTCCTCTAAAGTAGATATGAACAATTTCCAAGTAAGTAATTATATATTATTTTCAGCTTTTTCAAATCAAAACTTATTAAAATATTTCTGTCTCAACATTTTAAATGATTACATTGAAGCATTTAATATAAACAAAGCAAAAGCGTTTGATGATGATAAATATAATACATTTCAGGGATAAATATATCATAAGATCTTTGGTATCAATCCAGCATATTTTATTACTGAACTTACATCTGATTTAGATGTTCTGATAACAAAAAAATCAAGCCAAGCAACATTAATTTTAGAATCTCTAAAAATCAATTAATCTAAATCCCATTCTAATGAAATTAATATTTTCTTACCAGAATATGTAATTTCCTAACATCGCTAATTAGTAGAAACTTTTTTGAACAAAGGTAAAAATAAATATTATCAATAATAAAATCTAGCTTTTCTTAAAATATAAGATAAAGTAATGCTACCCATATAAATTATGGTTAGTATTAATCATACTACTTCTGATAAATTCTCCTTTATTTTATTTTTTTATGATAGTCAAGAATACCGTTCCTATTTGGCTGTTGATAATTAGTTAGATATTATAAACATAAGCTCAGATATATAAGATAGTCTATTTTTCAGTGAAACAAAATCTCCTTAATCTTCTATCCAAAAAATCATTCCAAACTTTTAATAATTGATTTCTAGCAATCAGGAAATCTTTTTTAATTAAGAAATCAAATTACTAAAGGATTATCATCACTAACAAGCATTTTTTTTTTTTAATGCTAATATTAAAATTGAAAGAAAATTTTAAAATCAATTTTAATGCTATTTCGTAGAATTAGATAATGTAAGACCTGTGTCTAGAAAATTAAGAGAAGAAACTTCAACGGTTTATAGAACATCCACTTCTTAATTTCCCTGTTCTACTTAAAAAATAATGAATATTAATAGTGAAGTTGATTATTCATGTGAGAAAATGATTCCATATTCAGAATCTATAAACAGAATCAATCGAGAAGGCTCCTTATGTGTAATATAATAAGATCCTTAGATTGTATTTAACACTGACATGAATGCTATGGGTACCTAATAATTAATGGATTATTATAAAATATAAAATATGTTTGAACCATTGTCACAGAATAGAATATTGCACAGTTCTAGATTTTCATAAGATGACGATTTAAAAAAATAAATGAATAAAATAATTCATGAAGAGGAAGTCAATGAGATCGGATCTACATCTTCTATTACAGCAATAAAAAAATCAAAGTATTTTAAAAAGTTTGAAATAATCTCAATTTTGATGAAATCTGAGAAACAATCGAAGAAGATTATGCAAATGAATAAATTTATTGGACTTTACATATCAATCATCTTGATTGGTCTAATTATTGTATAAATATCTTATAATCTTATTGTAGTTTATCATAATGATTGAAAATCTTTAATAGTTTATTTAAGATATTCAAATCTTATCAGTTAGATATGATGTCATAGAACCGTATGAATCATTTTATGTTTCTCGTTTTTCATAAGTCAATTACAGAGAACAATTAGCAAGTGGTTTTATCAATCATTCTTAATATAATCAATTAACAATATATCCATTCTCTACATTTGAATTAATTTTTGAACATTTAAAAGATAGCATGTATAAAGTATTATAAAGAGAAGAAATTGACAAATTATCAGTCAATCAAAATGTAAGCATTTACTTTTTAGAAAATGAATTTTAAGGAGAAATAAGAAATGTTACTATAAGATCATTAATTAATATACTAACAAATTATTAATATGATTTTAAAGTTGGTTTGACAATCAAAAGTGTTGCATTTGACAGTCCTTTTTTCTATTTTTCAACTAAGAATTATTTAACCATAAAAAATACATTTGATGGTCTTAATAAAATTGTATTAGATGCTACTTTGCAAAGATCAATCTTAGAAAAATAAAAATGGTTATCAATTTTATTACCATTTTTAATAGTTACTTTTTTTGTTATTCTTGTAATATTATCTTATTACAAAGATTATATTTCTATTATGAATAAAATCTTCTTATATTTAATGAACTTAGATTCTGTAATTATTGATGATGAAAAATAAAGATTATAAAAGCATCTAAACATTATTACTAATGAAATTAAAAAAATTAAAACATTTTAGTTTGATATTGAAGCAATTGATATTGAATTAGAATAATCTCATCCATCAAAAACTAGACATTTAACCAAAAAAGAATAAAAGAGTGTTTATCTTTATAATAATGATCTAAAAAACTGTTTAATTATTACATCATGTCATTTTATTCTACATTTATCCTTTTTTTTATCAATATTTTTAATAATAGAACGATATTTAGAAAAATATGAAAAAACTGCTGTTGTTTATTAATAGATAAGTGATTTAGGTGTAGATATCCCAACAATCTATGCTTAAAGAGAAGTTTTATATAGAAGAACAATAAGATACTTTTTTTTAACAGATTAAGAAATCGAAGGAATTTATTAAGTATTATTTAAAGCCTATGATAAAGTTGAAGAATTTTCTAAATAAAATTTAGATTTTAGTTCAGATCAATATTTATTTGATTAAAATGCCATTCTCTTTTACAAAAATGTAAACTAAGGCAATTTATGTGACTATCAAACAGATTAATTTAAAGAGCTTTCTAAAACTATTTGTCCAATTGTTATGAATGGAAACTTGTAAAAAGGATTATCTTAGATTTTAGCTTACATTCTATATACAATTAAATCATAATAATTTGAAACCAAAAATTTTACTTAGTTGCCTTCAAACACAAAACTTGAATTAGAAGGAGCAACTATTTTAGGAAATGTTATGTCAACAATTATTTATAGCTTATATCTTACTTTACTTGATTCTTGCTAACTTTTAATTTTCTATACTAAATTACCCTGTATTGTTTTCTTAGTGTTTTAGTTCATATGCTTTATTTCTTATACATTTTTTGGAAATAATCGACATAAATAATAGTTTTAATCAATTAAACAAACTATATTTTTATTCCCAAGGCAAACTTTAATTTTTGATGAATTTTTTTATAGAAACTTCAAATCAATAATTAAGGATGAAGGAATATCCTAATGATTTAAATTTTACTGTGAATTTATACATAAATAAATTAAAACAAAAAAAAAATTTATTATACTCTACGTAACTTAAGAAATTAATATATAATAAAATTTTAAAATAACTTTTTTATTTATTTAAATCAATAGTGCGTATTTAGTTCCTATTCCAAAACTTGTATTTTTTATTTTTATTTTTATATTTCATCACTTTGATTGGAAACTTAATTTTGTAATTTTTAATTCTCATTCTTTAAAGTATCAATCTAAATGTTGCTTGCTTTAATTTAATTTTAATTCTAAGTTTATAAATTTTAGATATCCTACTTTAAATTACTGATCTGTGAAATTTAAGTATTGAACTTATTAGTTTATTCTTTAAACTATTATTTTAAAGTTTCATTTTCTTTTTTTTAATTATCAATCTGTTTAATGTAATCCGAAAGTTATTTTTTTAAACTTTCATTTTCTTTTTTTTAATTATCAATCTGTTTAATGTAATCCGAAAGTTATTTTTTTAAACTTTCATTTTCTTTTTTTTAATTATCAATCTGTTTAATGTAATCCGAAAGTTATTTTTTTAAACTTTCATTTTCTTTTTTTTAATTATCAATCTGTTTAATGTAATCCGAAAGTTATTTTTTTAAACTTTCATTTTCTTTTTTTTAATTATCAATCTGTTTAATGTAATCCGAAAGTTATTTTTTTAAACTTTCATTTTCTTTTTTTTAATTATCAATCTGTTTAATGTAATCCGAAAGTTATTTTTTTAAACTTTCATTTTCTTTTTTTTAATTATCAATCTGTTTAATGTAATCCGAAAGTTATTTTTTTAAACTTTCATTTTCTTTTTTTTAATTATCAATCTGTTTAATGTAATCCGAAAGTTATTTTTTTAAACTTTCATTTTCTTTTTTTTAATTATCAATCTGTTTAATGTAATCCGAAAGTTATTTTTTTAAACTTTCATTTTCTTTTTTTTAATTATCAATCTGTTTAATGTAATCCGAAAGTTATTTTTTTAAACTTTCATTTTCTTTTTTTTAATTATCAATCTGTTTAATGTAATCCGAAAGTTATTTTTTTAAACTTTCATTTTCTTTTTTTTAATTATCAATCTGTTTAATGTAATCCGAAAGTTATTTTTTTAAACTTTCATTTTCTTTTTTTTAATTATCACTCTGTTAAATTTAATTATTGCACTTATTACTTTAATCTAAAAGCTATTATTTTAAACTTTCATTTTCTTTTTTTTAAGTATCGATCTAAATATTGCTCTAATTAATTTAATCTTGTAATTTTAATTTCTCAATCTTTAAAGTATCAATCTTAATGTTGCTTTAACTAATTTAATTTTAATTCTATTTTTATAAAGTTTAATTTTCTTTTTTTTAATTATCAATCTGTTAAATTTAATTATTGCACTCATTATTTTAATCTAAAAGCTATTTTTTTAAACTTTCATTTTCCTTTTTTATATTATCATTCTAATGGGTGCACTGATTAATTTAATTTTATAAATTTTAATTCTCCCTCTTTAAAGTATCAATCTAATTGTTGCTTTAACTAATTTAATTTTAATTCTCAATTTGTTAATTTTTAATTTCATTAGTTTATTTTTCGATTTGTTCAATCAATTTTTTGTTTTTATCAGTTAAATCTAAGACCTATTGCTCTAAATCTTAATTTACCTACATTAAATTGTTGTTTTATTATTAATTTTAATTATAAGAGTTTTATTATAAATTTTAAGATAAAGACTAATTATTTTATTAATAATTTTATTGTTAATCTTGATCTTCATTTGCATTTTATTCTTTTGTTGAATTTTATAATTAATTGTTTAAAAAATCTTTTTGATTGTTTTATTATTAATTTTAATTATGAGAGTCATATTATAAATTTTAAGATTAAGACTAATTATTTTAATAATATTTTTTTTGTTAATCTTGATCTTTTTAATTTCCATCAATCGCATTTTATTCTTTTGTTGAATTTTATAATTAATTGTTTAAAATATCTTTTTGATTGTTATTTTATTATTAATTTTAATTATAAGAGTTTTATTATAAATCTTAAGATTAAGACTAATTATTTTATTAATAATTTTATTGTTAATCTTGATCTTCGTTTGTATTTTATTCTTTTGTTGAATTTTATAATTAATTGTTTAAAAAATCCTTTTGATTGTTTTATTATTAATTTAAATTATAATAGCCTTATTATAAATCTTAAGATTAAAACTAATTATTTTATTAATAATTTTATTGTTAATCTTGATCTTCGTTTGGATTTTATTCTTTTGTTTTATTTTATTATTAATTGTTTAAAAAATCTTTTTGATTGTTATTTTATTATTAATTTTAATTATAAGAGTTTTATTATAAATCTTAAGATTAAGACTAATTATTTTAATAATACTTTTGTTGTTAATCTTGATCTTCATTTGCATTTTATTCTTTTGTTGAATTTTATAATTAATTGTTTAAAAAATCTTTTTGATTGTTTTATTATTAATTTTAATTATGAGAGTCATATTATAAATTTTAAGATTAAGACTAATTATTTTAATAATATTTTTTTTGTTAATCTTGATCTTTTTAATTTCCATCAATCGCATTTTATTCTTTTGTTGAATTTTATAATTAATTGTTTAAAATATCTTTTTGATTGTTATTTTATTATTAATTTTAATTATAAGAGTTTTATTATAAATCTTAAGATTAAGACTAATTATTTTATTAATAATTTTATTGTTAATCTTGATCTTCGTTTGTATTTTATTCTTTTGTTGAATTTTATAATTAATTGTTTAAAAAATCCTTTTGATTGTTTTATTATTAATTTAAATTATAATAGCCTTATTATAAATCTTAAGATTAAAACTAATTATTTTATTAATAATTTTATTGTTAATCTTGATCTTCGTTTGGATTTTATTCTTTTGTTTTATTTTATTATTAATTGTTTAAAAAATCTTTTTGATTGTTATTTTATTATTAATTTTAATTATAAGAGTTTTATTATAAATCTTAAGATTAAGACTAATTATTTTAATAATACTTTTGTTGTTAATCTTGATCTTCATTTGCATTTTATTCTTTTGTTGAATTTTATAATTAATTGTTTAAAAAATCTTTTTGATTGTTATTTTATTATTAATTTTAATTATAAGAGTTTTATTATAAATCTTAAGATTAAGACTAATTATTTTAATAATACTTTTGTTGTTAATCTTGATCTTCATTTGCATTTTATTCTTTTGTTGTATTTTATAATTAATTGTTTAAAAAATCTTTTTGATTGTTTTATTATTAATTTTAATTATGAGAGTCATATTATAAATTTTAAGATTAAGACTAATTATTTTAATAATAGTTTTGTTGTTAATCTTGATCTTCATTTGCATTTTATTCTTTTGTTGAATTTTATAATTAATTGTTTAAAAAATCTTTTTGATTGTTTTATTATTAATTTTAATTATGAGAGTCATATTATAAATTTTAAGATTAAGACTAATTATTTTATTAATAATTTTATTGTTAATCTTGAACTACATCTCTAACAAAATTTTCAAATTTTGACTCGAGTTTTTTCAAATCTATTTCAAACTAATCTATTTTACCTTAAATTTATTTTTCATTATAATTATTATTGCCGCTTTTTTAAATATTATCTTTTATTTAAGATTCTATTTTTTTATTTAACTCTTATAAATTAATATCATTTAAATTTTTTAAGTTTTGATGAAATACTTGTGATTTTTCTTCATAATCAGATTAAATTTCTTAGAATCCTTATTTAATATTTCTTTCTTAGATCTATTTAAATTTTTCCAGTTCTTCTGATAATTAAAATTATTTTTTTTATTATTCTTCTTTTATTTAAGCTGACTATTATTTTTGTTTTTCTAATTAGTTAATTCTTTTATCATTATTTTATTGTTATAATTATAATTCTTTTAATGAAGAATCCACCTTTTCTATTTTTTTTTCTAAATTCTATAATTATTAATTTTAATTTTGTTATTCTATTATTTTATCTATCCCTTATGTTTTATTTTAAATTTCAATTTTTAATTTATTATTTTCTTCTTATATCTATTTATATTATAATTATAAATTTTCTATTTATTTACTTTATTCAATTAAACTTTTTTGTTATAATTACTATTATTAATCTCTCTCCTATTTTTCCTTTTTAATTTAATTTTCTAATATAGAACGTTATTCTTATAATTATTATAATTAAGAATCAATAGATTTTTCTTTATCTAATCGTTATTAAATAACTTCATCTTTAAATTATAATTATGAATGGCTTTATGTTTGCTATGATTCTTTCAATTTTTCAATTATTTAATTTTTCTCATTTAATTACTAATTAATTTAGTTTATTTGATTTTATAAAGTTTTAATTGAAATTTGATGTGTTTCTTTTTAGTTTTCTAACTTTGAAATTATTTAATTTTATTGTTCTTCAATAATTTATCTAATTTATGATTCACTTAAATTTTCTTGTTTCAAGACAGATTTTTAACTTTATTAAATATTTTGAGGAGGCTATTATTTTTGAGGGTCTTAAGGTAGAGGGGTTTAAAGCCTATCTTTATTACCAGGAGTGGGGTTCTGTTTTTAAAGTTGAACATCTTTCTATTATTGTTAATCTATTTGAGGTTTTTATACTACTTATACTGGTTATTGAATGATAGGTGGCTAAACTATTGATGGATTTAAATAATTATAAAATTCAGTATAAACCTATTCTATTGAAGGCCGTAGTTAATCATTATAATTCAACATCTTTATTAATAATTATTTAATCTCATTTGAAGTAGGTAATGCATTAATTTTTTTATTAATAATATGAGGATCAGTTCTATGTCTTTTAATTTAAGTGGTTATTTCACCAAAACTTTATCCTAAAAATATAAATTTTGTCTACCATCAAATAATTGGGTCATTGATAATATTTCATAAAAGACACACGCCAACGCCCAGATATCAACTTTTTCTGAATAATTGTTTCTCTATTCTATAAGTTCAGGGGCTTGAAAAACCAAAGAGCCAACTTAAAGAGTTTTTATGTCGAAAGCTGAAGATCTACGAATCAAACCAAAGTCAATTAATTTAAAATTATCTCCTACTCTTATAAAATTTTCTGATTTGATATCTCGATGAATTAATTAGGATTTATGTAAAAAATGTATTGGTTAAGTAATCTATTAGTTGATTAAAAATATAATTACTTAAAAACATATCTTTTCTCTTTGTTATATTGATAAATTTTGATTTTTAGATAAATACGAAAATAAATCTTCTATACCGACTTCCATAATGATACAATGTTTAGCTTACCATTAAAAATATTCATATATTCTGATGATGTTACTTGGAAGGAATTGTTAATTGTTCACATTCTCATAAGTGTTTTGATATTATATTAGATTTATTATAAAATCTTTCTCATGTTGTTTCATGTTTTATTGTAATTTAATGGCAACTTGTTAAGGATTATTTCCCCAATTAGAAACTGTAGCAAGAAATGCTGCTCCTTCAGCTCCAGAACCAAGAAGCTTTGTTAAATGTAATGATCTTTTAGGATAATCTTTAGAGGAAGCTTCCACTAGTGAATTAACCAATTATTAGTATTACATTTTCTATTTCTATTAAAATTTTAATATTAAATAAGAAATAAAATTCAAACCTAACAATTAATTATTTTAATAGAATTAAAGATTAAGATGATAAATTATCTGCTTATAGTCATCTCTTTTAATAAGATGCTTTATAAAATTATAATTATTAACTGAAATTAAATGAGAGAAGGAACTATTTGGAGACTAAGTACTTTAAATATTATAAGATTTTTAAATATATTTAAATTAAGAACATATAAGGAAAACAAATTTAGTTGAAAAATTAGAAATTGTAATACAAATTTAAAATTTCTTTGTAACTTCCAGCTATTCTTGCATAATAAGCTAAAGCCATTAAATTATGGAAAGATTCTTTTAATGCAATTGTTGGTTCCACTGCTGATTTAGAAGAAAAAAAAATGCTACGGGCAAGAAGATAAGATATTTTTTAATTTATTTATATATATCTATTATTGATGTTGTTATTTAACTTTTTAAAGATTAAGTTAGATCATTAGCTTCATAAAGTTGTCTCAATAGGGAATGATATGTTTACATAATAATATAACAGAATTCATTTTTCATTTTATTCTTCATTATCTTATTCATCATCATCATTAAAATCATTTAAGATCTTTTCTAAATTTTTTTCCCTTATCCCATTCATTATTTCATAAAACTATTCATCTTCATCATTATCATCATATTCTTCCCTAAAATCAAATTTCAATGCTTAATTGTAAAGAGTAAGTAAATGTTCTCCTTTTTCATTCAATATTTATGAACTTATCTTAAAATTTTTTTTAACTCCCAGTAGCATCAATGTTATAGGACAAATATATACTCCTGGAATATCTATATAATATGGACTTAACAATATGTCTCTTAAGCATTGGAAAAACTAATAAAATGAAAAATCATAAAAGAGGGTACCATAATCATATATTTATTCTTTGCATTTTCTACATCTCATTGTTTCCTAATCTATTATATGTTATATGTATTCAAAAGGAGAATTTACCTTACAATTTAAACTATGTAGATACTCAAGGGAAAGTACTTAAATCTATAAACTTTCAACATCGCCCTAAGTAGGATGTTTTTATTTATATAATTTTGACCAATATTATTAGAATTCCTTAGTATTTTCTTCCCTATATTTGTTATTCTAAATTAAAATCAATCCTTAACCTATTTAATCAAAAGGATAAAAATTAAAAATCTTTAATTAAATCTAATTGTTATACTCTAAGTAATCTGCAAAATAACTTGTCTAACTTCTTGTCTATGCATATACTCTACTATTCTAAACAATGAAAATTTCAAAATGTTTTTTGTTAAGATAAAAAGGTTCCTGATTATCCTTCCTGATAAAATTAAAATTGAATAGGCTTGGAAATATCTAAATTTGCAGCTTTTTATTTGCAAATTACTGTAGAAGATCTCTTATTTCAAATAAATATATTGCTATCTAATTTGATATTTTATTGTATTGAGAGAGCGTTTTACTTTATTAATATGTATCTGCTCTTATTATATAATCAAAAAATGTGCTTTAATTAACTAAAGCTGGTGGAAGTAAAAAAGTGTCCATTTATAACCAAAAGGAAGGAATTACTAATTCACTTTTTGTTACATAATCAATATCATCTATCAAATAACTATATAAGGGGTGTTTGTTTATTTCATCCATCCTATTCCACTTGAATTGGGTAAATTGACTAGAAACAAATTCCAAATATTGCTAAATCAATTCTACTTTTATTTTAAGATTATCCCCATGTTATGTATGTTATTATAAACAGCAATATATTTCATTTTTTTATTCATTTTGCTTCAAATTATCAAAAGATTCAGATTTCCTTTTCTTAATTACTTTCAACATCTCGCTGAAATCTTAATGTTGATTCTTGATATTTGTCCCTAAATATATTTCAAAAAATGGAAAATTTTCTTAAAAAGCCATATACAAACCAACAAACTCTATATTTAATTAATATGCAATATTTATCCTATTTTCTAAATATCTGAGTTAAACGAGATCCATACTTTTCACCATCTAAAATAGACTTTCTGATGTTAAAAATTTTTTATATTTCATTAAATATATACAGAATTTTTTAAAACCAATCATATGTAAAATTATTTTAATTCTTTCATATATAAAATAAAAGGCAAAAATGCTATATAATAATACATAATGCATATAAATCAAAAAAAGTGGCATATATTATTTATTAAAATCTATTTTGTTTGTTTAAAACAATTATATAGTTTTTCACTATCAAAAAATATAAAGACCAAAAAAATTAAAAATTCATATAACATATTTACTTACATTAACTTCAAAATACAAAATAACTTATTATGTTTAATTCAAAATTTTATAAATTTTTTTAACTTATTACTAGAATTAAAATTAGATTTAAATGTTTTTAGAAAATTAAAATATGTATATTTTTTAATAAATGATAAATAAATAATATATCAGAAAATATCCAATAAAAACAAATAAATAGAAATGATTAGAAATAAGTTAGAAAATCAAATTTTTTCTTCGTAATAATCATTAATAATAAATAAATCTGACTCAATTTATCATTTTAAGTAATTGTAAGGAATCGTTAATTCTATATCTTAAAGGATTTATGCAAAATAATCGAACTGTTTCATCATGATTCATCTGCTCCAAACAATCCAATATAAATTTGTGACCTTCACCTTTTTAAAGAAGACTTTAACTATTATCTGTGAAGATTGAGTAATTACTATTAGAGATTAAATAGTTAGTTGTAAGAATATTATAATTAAGTTTCTCATTATATGTAGTTAACTAAATTTGATAACCTTTGATACAATTAATATCCTTATTAATTAAGTTTATCAAAGTTTTTTTGATTTGTGGATTTTATGAGATTTACAATTAATCATGGAAATATTATTTGATATAATAATATGGATCTGTAAGCGATTGTTAAATTAATAATTGCAATTGATGAAATATAATTTCTGGAGCTTATAAATGGCATTCTTATTAATATAAAACAACTTCTTAATTTTATATATTGAATGGCAATTATCTAAAAGCATCAGATTTACTTATTGATCCATTAATAGCATATGAAACCTTAATTGAGAGAACATTAGATTAAAGTTATAAAATCATAGATCTAATTAATTATTCTACTATTTTCTTTTTAGAAGTGCTTTTACCACCAATGATCATAAAGTTTTTTTGGAATCTATTTTTATTATAAAAATTGTCTATTTCATTTAATGTAGTAATAAGATTATTTTTGAATGTGTAAGTTTTATAGGAAAATTAATTTCGACATTTATCTTCTTAATTAACTTTGATTTTATTCTTACTAATTAATTAAATAATAGAGGAATTACTTAATCTTGAGAATAAGCAAAACAAATAATTATTGGATTAACCCTATATTATATTATTATTATTGATATTCTCAATTTTTTTAACTTATTAGGCTTTATTCTTCCATTTAATAAATGAATTAGATATTTTTTAATCACATTAAGATTTTGGGCTTAGGTTTTATTATTTTTCAATGACATAATTACTGAAATTTCTAATTTTTGAAGTTTGATTGATAGAATTATTTGTTTATATATGAGATAATTTTGAATGCATATTTTCTAAAGTTTTTGAACTTAATATGGATGGATTATTACTTCTATTTCTACCTGAACTTACACTATCACATAGCTTGAAATAAATATAATTAATTACTTTTAATTCATTTTTAACAGTCTGAATCTAATTTTTAATAAAGTTTAACTCCTTATAAATCTACTCATCAATCTATAATTAGATATTTGTATAGCAATACTTGACTTATTTCTTGTCTTTTTGAATCATTATAGGCTAAATCATTTTCTGCTTTTAATGCGATTATTCTATTGAAATAATATTCATCATCTTAAACTTTGATTTATGATTTAAAATTTCTGCCTTCACTTGCTATTCTTCTGATTTCATATTTTCTTTAATTTAACAATTATTGTTAATTGATATGAATAGCTTTTTTATTTGATGGACTATACAAATTCATAAAATAATTATTAGTAGTTTTTAATAAAATTAATAATTGGCGTTTAAGATGCAAAATAAGCATTTGTATAGAGGATATATGTATGAGGATTGAAAATATAAACAATAATAAAGGAAATACTTTAAGATGTTTTAAATTTATATAAAGTAAAAATAAGTTAAATTATGAAAGAATTTCATAGAATAGATTAATAAATAATGAAAATTTTAGAAATAAAAGAAATAGATAGATAAATATAAAATGATAGCTGATAAATAAATAAAATAGTTCAATAAAATAATAGAGTTTTAGATGTTATGGTTGTTTTTGAGAAGAATTTTACATAAATAATTTTAGATATAAAAATGATGAGTATGGCAATTAAGAAATTTAATTAATCAGTATATAAAAATGAAATATTCGTTTTTTGACATTTTTAATAATAATAACAAAAATATGTTAAAAGTAGCAGTCTGCACATTGTTTGTTCTTAGCATAACAGCAATTGATATCTAAGCTTCAGTTTGGACAAGTCATGATTAAAAAATGTTTGCTTAAATCAAATAATCAGGATGGGGAAATTTTATCTTGAATTTTGGTGAGCTTCATTTAACAACAGGTGGTATCCTTGCAGAACTTAATACAGAAATTGCAAAACTTGTATAATAATGTTTCTATATAGATTGGTGAATTAGATGAAGAATTAGCAGAAGTACATCATTAATATGCAAGAAGAACAGATGTTCACAATAGAGAAGTATCAAGACTTTCATAAGAAATTTAAGATAAAGAAAGAGGTAAAATTATATTATAAAACGTCTATAGAGGTTTTCAATGCTCATGATTTCTATGATAATGTCCTCATTCCATAAAGAGATAGATTTGCTGCCCAACTCGAATAATTATAAGAAAACATTGCTTAAAATAGAAAAACACTTAATGAGGCAACTGTCTAAAGAGCTAATGATCATGCTGATTTTGAAGCTAAAGTTGCTGAACATAATGAAGCTATAAGTGCCATTGATGAATCACTTGCTTTACTTAGTCAATTATCAGCTCCATCACTTGTGTAAATCTAAAAAGTTTAAAAGAATTTGACAAAAATTTAATAAACTTTGAAGAGACACAGTACATTCTAAACATTCATTAAGACTCTTATTGAAATTGCTGTTGAAGCTAATTTTGCTGATTAAAGTGCTCTTAGAGATGTAAATAGTTATATAAATTATATAAAAGATTCTTGTTGCTTTCAATGATTTGAGAGTCTAATTAGTTGATTCACTTAATACACTTACAGCTGATGAAGCTGAAGCTTAAAGAGATTTTGAAGCAAGAGTTATTCAATTGAACTAAGAACATGCTGAATTCTAAAGAGCAGTTGTTGTTAAAACAGCTGAAATTGAAGCTAATGCAAGTATTTTATAATGTTAAATTATATAGATAAAATTGATTAAACTCTTGATTTAATTGATGAATTACATGCAGATTTAGATACATTAAATGGATAATTATAAGCTGAAAATGATGACTTTGCTTTTGCCACTGATGTTTATAATGCTACAGTTGCTGAATACAATAAAGAATTGAATGCTGCTCATTAAGCCTTGGATTTATTAAATTAACCAAGATTCACTGATTATGTTAAATCATAACTCAAGGGTGCATTCTGACCTTATTAAATAAAAGTTAAACAAATTCATTTTTATATTAAATTTCATTAACTAACTATTATTATATTATGATAGTCCATCATTAACTTTCATCAAGTCTTATTCTAAATGAAGATGAAATCTCTAATACTTCTATTGATTTATAATAAGAAATCTAAGATTCTGTTCAATTAGATAATAGAGACAATTTACATATACAATTCCATAGATAATCAATTATGAATGAAAGTGTTGAATTATTTGAAAATAACAATAAACTTTTAATTGAAGAAGAACAAAAATAATTATTATTACATTAGATTGCTGAATTGAGAATAAATAATCAACAATTAATTCAAGAAATCAAAGATCTATAGACTACAGCCTTGGAACATAATGAACATCTTCAAACTAAAAATACAGAGATAGCAGAATTAAAATTAATTATTCATGAACATAAATAATAAATTAGAAAAGCAGAAGACATTATTTAACAACTAAAATAATAAATTTTAGATTTTGAATACAATATTTTTGAGAAAGATGAAACCATGTAAAAATCTTTATGTATTTTAAGAGTTGAATTAGCAGAAAATATTAAAAAATTTGAACTCAAAAAACAACAATTAGAATTATAACTCAAAGAAAGTAGAAATCATGTTGCTGTCTAAAAGTATTTTATGGTTCTCTACCTTATCTAGATAATAAATTAATACTTTATTATTAAATTGTATTTCAACTAATCTTGAAGATATTAAAACACAAATTGAAAATGAATAAAATAAACACTTATAATCAGAAATGTAATCTATCTAATTTAATTAGTTAACTCTTATAAGAGAGCTATGATTAATTACTTTTAGAATAAGAACAATCAGAATTAAAAGATAATTAAAAAATACAATAAATTAAAACGGATGCTCTACAATATCAATAAAATCTTGTTCAAATATAATTATTAAAAGAATCTTTAAATTAAAATGCCCAAGATATGTTATATCAAGATGAATTGATTTAAAAAAATCAAATCACTATCTCAAATTTAGAGGAAACAATTTCAAAACTAAATGAAAAATATACACAATTATAAAAAAAGTTCTATAAATCCTAGTATTACATTATTTTTTTATCTTAGATTAGTTGTTAATGAAATGAAACATAAAATACAAGACTTAATGTTATTATAATAAAATGATAAAACAATCATACTTTAATAATAGAATTAAATTAATTAAACTAAGAAAGACTTGGGAAAATTTCGATATTAAAGAGACAGTTTAATAGAAGTCTAATCTAAATTATTGAAATCTCAATATTTGGAAGAAGAGATCCCAATTAAGTAATTTGTTATTTATATTTTAAGAAAATAATTAGATGTAAAATAAAATGAAATATAATAATTACATAATGATTTGAATCTAAAAAAAGATGAATTGGTTTAAGAATAATAACTTCATTATAAATCTCAATAGTAGATTTTAGAATTGAAAACATAGTAATCTAACCTTGAGTAAAAATAAAATTAAGTATAAGAAGAATTGTAATAACTTAATCTAATAATTAAATAAAAATAAAATTAGATTTTAGATTAAATTCAATAAATTTAAGATTTGAAAAGTGAAAATTAAGAATTACGTTTAAAAATGTCATAATTTGATGAAGAAACAACAGTAATAATCAAAAAGTTTAAGTAAAAAAAACATTAATAATTAAAAGTTAAGAAATTCAGATTTTGAAACATAGTTATGAATCATATGAGTAATCTTATGAATAATTGGAAACAATCAATTAAACGTTAAATGATAAATTAAATATATAAAATGAATTTCTACAAAAAAATTAACAATTAAGGTATTATGCATAAAATATAATTTTTAGATAGGAAAACAATTAATAATAAATAATTATTTAAGAGTTATAATGTTAATTATCATAATAGAGCTAAACTTAAATGCAAAATTAGTTTTAATAAACAATTTTGATAACCAAAACAATTTCTATTCAGACTGATTTAATTATTGAGAGATAGGTTATTTAGAATGATGAAGATAAATTAAGAGATGTAGAGAATACTATTAATTTTATTATCAATAATTTGGATACAATGAAAGAAAAAATAAATTTGAATCAATCCAATATAAATGAATTATTGAGTTTTAAATAAATGATTTCAAATTTAATTTTGAAATAATAATAGGGAAGTTAAGATAATGAATAGTGTTAGGAATCAACTTAAATTCACACTCCTAGATCTTAAGAGTTAAAAAAGGAAAATAAAGAAATTGAATATCTTACTTAATAAATTTAAACATTAGAACTATAATAAATAGAGAAGATTTCTAAAATTAATGAACTATAATTGTAATTATAAAAATAAGAATAATAAATAGAAAATTTAAAATTTAAAGAAACAGAAAAGAATCTTTTAGATATTATTGTTACGGATAGACACTAATAATGTTAATGTAAGTTATAATAGGAATTTAATAAATATAAATTCGATATTTAAAGTTATGATTAGATTAAGTAATTAGAGAGTTTAAATTTAGAAATGAAGATTAAGGTACATTTATAATATTTTCTTGATAGCTTGAGGCATTATAGGATATAGCCAAAGAAAACTTACGTTTAAGAAAGAAGATTGCAACAATGGAGAATTAAGATATGAAATAAAGTTAAACATCTCCTTAAAAATTGTTGAGTAATAAAATTACTTTAAAAACTTTTTAAACTAATTCAACTTAAAAATCTATTGATAAAAAAAGAAGCAATATTATTGATTAATGTTATCATTCTAATCAAAAAAGTTTAAATTAGTAATTAATTGAATCAGATACTATATAATCAAGAAGAAATTTTGAAATATTAAAAAAATATATAGAGGAATAAAAGATTAAGTTATAACAGAGAGAGGATTTAATGAAATAAAGTATTGTTCTTTTAAATAATTTGTCGAATGATTTAAAAAAAAAATTAAATTTAATTAATAGCGAAGAACAAACAAAAAAAAAATAAGTTATAACATTTATTGAAAAAGCATAGTTTTAAGTCGATTTTATAATGAAAAGACTATTATAATATAGAAATACTGATCATATTTCTCCAAATAGATTAGGAACAGACTGAATATTATATATATTAATAATTTTAATTTAATATCACTAATGCTTCCATTGAGGTACATTGTTTTGTAATATTTAGTGTTTAGTGATTTAAATACTTAGAATTTGAGAAATTGTAAAGGTGAATTATAAAAGAGTAGAAGTGCAAGGAATTTATGGTAAAATGATTAGAAAAGTCCAAGAGCTAATGTGTAATAGAAAAAGTATTGATTAAAGATTGATTAGTTAGAGTTAGGAAAAAGAGTACTTTTAAGTTCGAAAATGTTTAAGATGACATAATTCAAATTTAATTGGCATCTGATGAGAGTTATGAAATAGATATAAATGAAGATATAGAAATAGATAAAAATGCTATGTTTAGAGATATGCAAAAAGAGTTAAGTCCTGATCGAAGGAAAACTTTTAGAGCTAAGCATTGGTAAATTTATAAAACTCTTTAATATTACATGGATGAAGAATTAATTGAAGAAGAAAAGGATGAATTATAAGAACATACACCTACTCCTTTGGTTAGGTAAAATCAAAAATTATGTTCTGATGATATAATATTTTAAAAGAATCTACAAATTCCAGATATTATTGAGGAATTTGCAAAATTATATGAAGCTGATCCTCATAATGATAATTATAATCTATAGTTAATACATGTAGAAGGTTGGGAAGAAATATTATTAAATCATTAATTTTATAAAGATACATATATATTATTAGGGTTAAGAAAGTTAATTGTAACATTTTTTAATTCAATTTCTTTAATTTGTTATAAAATAACAACTAATATAGTATCGAACTTTATAATGTTATTATTAGTGTCAATTAATATGATATTATATATAACCAAATTTTATGGGGATGTTTACATTTAATATTAATAATTATTTGATGGTTGGTCATTAAGTAAATATAAATAAATAAAAAAATAGTTTTTTTTTGGATATATGTAGTAGAACATGGAATTAAGATAGTGGGATTAGGATTGGTTTAGTTTTTTAAAGTGTTTTGGAATTGTTATGATTTAGTTAATGTAATTAATTTATATGAGTTTCTAGCTAATTCTTTTTGGATTGTATATTTATGATACTTTATCATTTGATTTCTCACCTTTAAGAGCTATGAGGATATTGATATAATTAGGAAAGATATCATCATAATTATAAAAAACTTTAAAAGCTTTAACTGAATCATTAAAATATATGATAGAAGCATCATTGGTAGTACTAATATTTTGTATATTCTTTGCTAATGTTGGTGTTCATTTATTCAGTCAATTATTATTGAATAGATGTTTTATTATTGAAGAAGGAATCTAAGATTTAGAATAAAATTTATGTGGATGGGTAGATTGTCCTAATAATATGAATTGTTTAAAATCTTTGAATAATGTAGATACTGCTACTAATTTTGATAATTTCTTTTTTGCTTTTGCCTAAATTATACGTACTATTACAATGGATAATTGGACAGATGTAATGTATTATACTATGTACACACTTAGTCCAATGACATGGATTTATTTCGTTTTAGTAATTTTTATAGTCGGTATCTATTTTAATTATTTTTAGGTTTTTTTGCATTCAATTTAATTATTGCTGTTTTGAAAACATATTATTCTTAAATTGTATCTAATTATTAAGAGGATAAGGAAGAAATATCAAATAAATAATCTTATGTAGAACCATTAAATTTAAGATTTATAAAAAATATAGGATTGTATAATCAAATAAAAACATTATAAAAAATACGTAAGAGATTTTCACAATAATCAATTTCTTAATCAAATATTTCTTAAATTAAATCTATTGATAATTAAATATTTTCACCAAAATGTAGTTAATTGTTATAGAAATCAAAAATAAAGTCTTAATTTACTAATGGTTTTGGATAAATTAATAAATTGTAGAAAATGGTAAAAAGGGCTAAGACTGTGAAAGAAAAGAAAAAATAATAAAGATTGATACTTTCAGCTAGATAATAAAAATTATTATAGAAAAGAGAGAATGAAGAGATGGGAATAATTAATAGTAATGAACAAAGTATTTTTGATAAGTGTAATTTAAAAGCTATTTTATAACCTTAGAGAAATTTTAATATTGAATAATAGAAATATGAATAAGCTGTATAAGGAGATGTTAAAGGGAAAAAGATTTTAATGAGTTTAAAATATAATGATGTTTTAGCATGGAAATTGGAATTAAAATATAATCAATATTATTCAACATCAAAAAGAGATGTAATAAGTGAACTCAAAGAGATAATTGAGAAAGAGAAAAAGTTGAAAGAATAATATGAAAAAGTGAAAAGTTAAACTTTAAAACAATATTATATGTTAGATATATATGATAAATAAAAAGAGAAAGTAACATCATAAAACTTGTAATCTTAAGATAATGGATAATAATCTATTCAAAGACTTTATAGCATAAAATTTGATATTAATTTAAGAAACAGAGAACAAAGTAGTGGTTCAAGATAGAAATAAAAATTTCCAATAAAATCTAGTAGAAGAATTTGTACTACATAATTGGATATGGATAATTCAAAAAATGAAATACCTAGTAACAGATCATCAATAACTCGTAAGTCTTATTTTGATCAATTAAGAAAATAGAGATTATTTTTTTAGAAATCTTAAACTAGAATGGTTAGAGGAAGTTCAGATGCATTTATGGAATTTCCAGAATGGTAAGAAGGATAAGCATTTATAACAATAAATGGTATAAAATGGAATCATGATGCATGTTCTATTTTGATAAATAGATAGATTAATGATATGGATGATGAAGATGATTAAGAAGATGATTAAATTTTAGATTTGGATTGGATGGATCAAAATTATGAACAATATATTAAAATTAGAGTAATAAATTGTTATTTATATATAGAAATAAGAATTAGAATAAGGATTTATAAGAAGACATAATATTTCAATTCAAAATATTTTACATAATGTAACAAAAAATAAATTGATTGCTATACTAAAATAATTAAATAGACATTAATATAATATTTGGATCTAAGGATTTTATGGATATTGGATTGTCATTTAAAATAAATTGCATTAATTATTAGAAGAAAAGGCTGTGTAAATTATTTTTGATATGTACACAATGATTAATTTTGTTATTCTTTGTTCAGATGGCTATTTAAGTTCTGATTTAGTTAATTCAATTAATTCAATAATGACATTTTTATTGTTAGGAGAAATAGTATTAAAAATTATTGGATATGGAATTCAAGATTTCAGTAAAAAATCTAGCAATAATTTGGATTCTTTTGTAATAGTAATATGTTTGTTAGAATACTTTATTTCAATAACAAAGCCTTTTTGGTTATAATAATATAGTAGTGAAATAAGAGTATTAAGAGCATCAAAAGCTTTTATGTTATATAGAGTGATTAAATATAATAAATTTGTAGTAAGAATAATGAAGATTGCTTAATTGACAATGTAATCTTATATAAATATCACATTTTTAATGTTTTATGTGATTTTTATGTATGCAATAATGGGATTATAATTTTTTGTGAATAAGTTTGATGAATCTTAAAGATTAGCTTAATTACATTCATTTAATAGTATTGGAAAATCATGGATGACAGTATTTAATACAATCACAAATGATGATGCAGTTGGTATGTTGAAAGTAGCTACTTAATACACTGATACATGGATAGGATTAGTATTTTATATATCAATGGTATTTGGTTTGAATTATTTGATATATGGTTTAGTAAGTGCAGTCTTATTAGATGCATTTTCATCAGAATTAGAAAAAGGAAATCAATATGAAGAGAAGAGAGAAAGAATATTATAGAAATTAGGAATTTAAGAGAATATTAATTAGAATGACACATAATTAGATACTTTATCATCATATAAAAATGAATAAGATGAAAATGATGAAATTCTTAATGAAATTAAAATTTAATAGTAATAATTTATTAAAAGACATACATTAAATAGCAAGAAAAGTATTTATTAATAAGTCCCTGAAACAGTGAAGTATATATTTAGTAAATAGAAATCTTTCGAAATATAATATTATAAAGATATCGAATGCGAATATTCACTCTATATATTTCATTTTAATAATTAATTTAGAAAGTTTTGTTATAGAACAACAAAATCATTCATTTTCAAATTTATATTGAATAGTTCAATTTGTTCATCTGTAGCAACAATGATCATAATATCATTTGATGATAATTTACCATCTCTGCATACAAATAACTTAAACACTTTTTATGAATATCATTTATTAGCTGTTAATTTTATAATTGCAATTACTTATGTATTGGAGATTATATCATAAGGAATGCTATTAGATTAGGGAGCATTTTGTAGAGACATTTGGAGATTTATAGATATTCTATATTTGCTTAGTTATTATTTATCTTTTATGACATTATCTCCATTTTTGAAATTCTCACTATACTTAATTTATCTTCGACCTTTAATGATGATTAATATGTTTGAAAGTATTTAAGGTATAAAAAATGCAATGAGTTTGAGTTTGGTTTAAATTCTTAATATAATTGGAGTCATTTTACTTGTGTTTTTGATATTTGATGTAATAGGAATGCATTTATATTAAAATAAAATGGGATATTGTGAAGATTTAATGAATTTCTAAGTTAGTAAAGATTAATGTTTATAAGAAAATAAAATATGGATTATCCATCCATATAATTTTTAAAATATTTTAAATGGATTATTGACATTATTTTTAGTTGCATCTTTAGATGGATGGGGTGAAATTATGCAAGTATGTTTTAATGCAAATGATTCTAAATTTGGTCCAACACCTCTTAAGACATAATGGGCAACTTATTTATTCTTTATATTATTTATATTCATTGGAGCTATGTTTTTTATGGGATTCTTAACTGGTGTACTTTTTACTGAATTTTAAAAGTATACAAAAAAACTAGAAAATAAATATTTAACAAATGATTAATCATAATTTCTAAAAATATCTGAGTTGATTTTAAAATAAAGTCCTGGATATAGTAATCCTCCTAAAACACCTCTTAGAAGATTGTGCTATAAAATTGTGTTCAGTTAATGGTATCATAAGTTTTTCATAGTTGTTTTATGTGTCAATACTATTGTGTTGTGTCTCTTTTATTCTGATGCTCCATTACAATATATGGCCAATCTAAACAAAACATATTAAGTATTAACTGGTGTTTTTGCTTTTGATACTATAATTAAATTATTGGCTTATGGTCCTAATAGATATTTTGGTATTTATTTATATTAATTATTTTAGCCACTAATTGGAGAGTAATTGAATTATCTCTTTCTTTTATAGCTGTGGCTGACTTCATATATGATAGTTATTGGGGTTGGTTCACTACTTTCTTAAGTGCTAATTAGTCTGATAAATACTTTTCACTATATAGAATTTTGTTTTGTTTAAGAGATACTCGTATACTTTTGATAATTTAAGAATTTAAAGGATTGTTAAGACTATTAAGAGTTCTCTGGTTTTCCATGCCTTTATTATTAAAAATCTTATATATACAAGTAATAGCTTAAACAACATATGCTTTAATTGGGAAAGAATTGTTTTCTCATATTAGTAATGGATCTGTTATTGATGATAAATACGCAAATTTTAAAAACTTTATAAATTCTGCATTATTAATGTTCAAATGTACAACAGGAGATGATTGGAGAGCCTTATTAATTGATTGTTCGACTCAAAATTATTATTGTAAAAATGATAATAATCAATGTGGATCAGGTTGGGCTCTACCATTCTTTTTATCATATTATTTATTTTCAAATATCATTATAATGAATTTATTTGTATTAGCCTTGGTAGATTAATTTGAAAGTAATTTAAATTATTTAAAAATTAGATTTTTTTAATGCTACAACTAATGCTATTCAAACATTTGTTGAGAACATTGATCATTTTTGTAATGTATGGTGTAAGTATACTTATGATACTAAAGGAACTAAAATGCATACACGTTTTATTGCAAGATTTTTATTGGATTTAAAAGAACCTTTAGGAGCACTTGAGGGAGATAATGTATGGGATGCTGCAAAAAGTGCATCTAATTTTAGAATTAAAGCAAATAAATAAGGATATGTATATTTCAATGAATTACTCTATGAAACTATTCGATTTGCATTTAAAGAGAGTGTATTCAAATCTGGATCTCTTATTGGAAGATCTTAAATGAAACAATTCGATTTGGCAATGAAAAGAAAAATGAAAGAAAATAATATGAAATCAGAATAATAATAAGATTAGGAATATTTTTAAGATGAATATGGTTATAAACATCAAAACTTCAATATTCTTTCAGAATATTTAAATGTATTAATAGCACTTAAGACATGGGAAGCTTACACTATTAAATTGATAGAGAAAACAAAAAACCTTGATGATTACACAGAATAAACAAGTTCTTCAGATATTGAAAAGAAAGCATAATTGAATATTGGAGTATCAGTATCAAGATCATCTTAAAACAGATTAACCTAAACAATAGATTTAGATGACTTAAGAGTACAACGGAATTATGGTCATTTAAATATTTATAAGGAAACTAAATCATATTAATATTATTAGCCATGCATTTTATTAGAGCCTATAAGCAAATCATCATAATAAGATACAACAATTTAAAGATCTCCATCTACATTCCTTGATAATCAAAGTATAAAATGTTTGATAGTTAGGATAGGTCAACCAGAAGAAGACAATATTAAAAAGATAGTCATCGTTATTTAAACAAAATGTGTAATCCTTTAAAGATGTTTTAGATAAAGTATTTTGATATTAGATATATACTATAAATTATTTAATTAGATTTATATATATAAATTATTTAATTAGATTTATATATTATAAATTATTTAATTAGATTTATATATTATAAATTATTTAATTAGATTTATATATTATAAATTATTTAATTAGATTTATATACTATAAATTATTTAAATAGATATATACTATAAATTATTTAATTTTAGATTTATATTATAAATTATTTCTATAAACAAATCAAAATGCAATTTATTATTTCTTTCTATCTTCAAGTTCTTCTTCTTCTTCATATTACAACTAAACTCTTGGTTTTTTCTTTTTAAGATCCTTAATTTGATCATCTAAAACAATTAATAAAATAATTTCTACCCTATCTTCTTAATTAATTAAATGTCTATTTTTTAAATAACCTTCTATCATCTTCTTAATTATCTTCATCAATTTCATCATCTTCATCATCTTCTTCTAAATCATTTGGATCAAATATTAATTGTTCATCTGAATAATCTTCCTCTTCTTCTTCCAATTCTTATTATTCTCTCTAAAGATTTATTTAATAATAGATATTTACTTCTTCCTCATCTTCAACTTAATTTTAACCAACTACTTTTTCAAATGCTTTTGAATTATAATTCATTATTTCATTATATACTCCATTTTTCAATCTATCCATTAATTCTTATTCTATAGCATTCTCTAAATTAGCAGCAACCAATGCTTTCTATTCTCTTATTTTATCTCTTCTCTCTGCCTTCTTTTTTATTGGAATCAATTCCTTGCTATTTTTATTATTCTATCTTACAATCCCTTTAATCGCATCTTCCTTATTCTTATCAACATCTATCTCAACTTTGTTAGTCTTTACTTATTCTTATGTATCATAAAATTACTCCAATATTTCAACTATTCATCTATTTAATTTAATGCCTATTATTTCTATCTTTCTATCTTACTTATTCATAATTCTTTGATAATAGTATTCTCTCCCACAATTCTTTTGGTTTCTATGCTCTTTCTGCTGTTTTTACGTAAAGATAACATAAACCCTTTTCTTCTTTAATTGTGGCATATTATGAATTTGCCAATGGACACGATTATTTTGAACACAAACCTGTTACATTATATTCATTTCTACAGAAATTCTATGATATTGTTCTAACCTTATCTATTTATTTCTTACTTTATTTTAAATGAACAATGTCCTCTATTTATTACTTACCATACTACTTCGTCAATTTACATTAATTATTTTATTTTATATTTGATCAATAAACCATATTCAAATATTAAAAAATATATATAATTTATTTCAGGGTAATCCTTTCTTCTTCTTCTTTCTTTTCTCTACCCAAATCTTCATCTCTTTTTATTTAAATGCTTCTATTCTTTTCTTATATTCTCCTAATCAACTATTAAATATCCTTTTATATTTTCATCATTATATTATAAATCCTTATCATCCTTATCTAACTATCACTTTTTCCTCTTCTTTTTTACCTCATTATAATCTTCAAAGTATTTTCTTTTATTGTTAAATTTTATATCAACTTAACTAATTGTTTATCCAATTCCTTCACATATTACTCTTTTTACTTTTTTGTTGTCTATCTCTAATTTTTTGCATATTTCTCTATCAAATTTAATTATTTTTTCTCCTTCTCATTCAATAACTCTAAATTCATTTTCAACATTACTGTATCTCTACTCATTATTATATGGATTCTAAGATTAAGATAAAAAAGCAGTAACCTTGTTATTCATTTTCCATCTCTTCAAATTTTTTTTAAGTCTTTAAATTTATTAATTTTAAAATATACTGCAATCCTAAATTTTTAGATACATTAAATATATGAAATTATATTTATATTCTGTTTTATTTAAAAATTAGTATAAAGATTAACCTTAAAGAATAGATTTAAACATCAAATCCATAGATTCAATCTTAAAAATTCTCCAAATCACAAAAGAATATTAATATCTGGATGATTATATTTTATAAAATCACTCAGAAGAATTACAATTCAGTTACATTTCCTTTTCTTTTTAATTCACACTTATTTTAAATTATGAATCAAATTTTATTAATTTTAATTAGAATTTTAAGAATAAATTAATTAAAATATATATATTACTTAAATAAGGCTTATCTTCATAAATTGTTAAAACCTATTTTTTTATACATAATTATATCCAATAATATTAATAATTGACTGTTGTAATGATTTATTTAATTTGTTTATCCTTATTCTAGATCCTATTTTTATATATTAATAAATATTCATTAAATCATTTTTTTTAAGAAAAAATAAAAATTTTTATCAACTTACAAATATCGATTTTTAGAATCGACAGCAGTCAGTTTGCTTAAAAAAAAAATATTTAAACATATGATGGGGTTGACCAACTTTTTTAAGATTCGAAATTTTAATTTTCAGAATAAAAATAAATTAATTTTCATTTTTTGTGGTTTTCATTTCTAGGATCATTTTTTTATTTGTTTATTTTGTAATAATATCAGAATATAGAGAATTTCAATTTAATTTGAAAGTCATTTTCAAAAAACAAAATTAAAGAGCCCCTAGCAATAGGAATTTTTGTATTTGGAAATAAAGTTCTAACTAATTGAGGAATGTTGGAATAGTAAATAGTGGTTGATAATAATAATAAATTTGTGGGCTTATATTGAAATTAATTTAAATATTTTATCAATTTGAGAATATTAAAACTAATGAACCCCTTTTTTCTATTTACTTTCGAAATTAGACAAGAGATAGTTTCTAAATATGCGAATAGTATAGCTTATTTAATAATAAATTATTTTATCATGCTTGTTAACCATTATCATAAGTAAATAAAGAAGAATTTAAATTAATTAGTTATACGATTATAGCATAGACAAGAGGTTCGAATAATTCTAATTTATAATCATTACTCAAGCAATTAGATGTAAGCAAGATTGTATTTGAAAATAAACAACTTACACTTATAGTATCAATAATCGAGTTTGCTTTATCGTTGTTTATTGTAATGCTTGTGATTCTTTTACTTTTTAAAAAAAATAGCAATTAGGCTTAATAAATTTAGTTTAGCAGTCTTGGAAATGTATTTATTTAGTTTATATAGATTTTTATAAGATCTATAAGAATATTGTACTGGATCCTGTGTTATCCCTTATTTTTAATATCTACATATAATCTAATGATAGCTTATGATATTAGTCAATTTCTTTCCATATTTGTTGTAGTTTTTGTAGTATCCTTTACTTTGTTCCACGATATAGCTTTGTTAAATGATAATTTTAATAAATAAGACTTTCTGAACATTGCTCAATCTAGACCTTTTATTTATAATAGTTGGACTAAATTAGTTTAATGTGCATTTTCAAGTTATTATTATTTAAACCAAAATTCTCATGTATAAATAATAAATAATAATTATAGATGATTTATTTACTTGTAAGTTTTGGATTATCTTTTATAAATTACATTTAATTATAGTATTTTATGGTAATTTTTGGAAAATATGATATAGATTACATCTTTCATTTATTTAATGCAATTTATTTTGGATAAAGCTTAGGATTGTTAATCTAATATTTAATAAATATAAATGATCCTTACACAATAATAACTATATTGATTATTATAAATTGTGTTGCGATTCATGCTAGTTTTAAAAAGTGGTATTTTGAGTATCAATTTACTAATTCTAAAAATGTTTTTATCAGAGTGATACTATTAAATTGGTTCAGAGAATTAGAATGCTCAAATGTATATTATATGGGAATAATTACAAAACACTATAATCATCCAAATAATAAAAAATGTTTCTTGAGACATAATGCTATTTATTACAGTGGTAAAAAGTTTGCAAAATACACTTATATAACTACTAAAAAACAAAATATTGAAAAATACAAAGGGTTATTTGTAAAATTCTTAATAAAATGTTTACTAGAAACTTAATTAAAACTAGAACCTAATTCTACTGAATTGAGATTGTTATATTCAGAAATTCTATTTTACAGATTTAATTTGATAAATGAATCATTTAAATAATTAAAAAAAATTAAACAGACTTTTAATTATAATTAATAAATGAGAGTAAGATAATTAAAATTATCAATACATAATAAATTAAAGGAAAATAATATGTTGAGTTATCGTTCAAAATTACCTTTTGAAAATATGTTAAAATGCGAAGAATAAATGAAAGAGTTTTTCTAAGCTTTTCTAAAAATAGCTGAATTATAGGTTTATTTTTGGAAAAATTAACTTTAATAATTTATTTCAATTCCAGAGCAAATTAATATAAGTTAATAGATATTAAGAGAAATTTAGGTGTGTTAGAAAAATTGGAAAAGTATCCATTTTACTAATCCTATTGATGAATAACAAATATTGATAAGATTCAGATGGAAATTCTTCTACTTTTTTTTTAAACTTTATATTCTTCATAAAAAATTAAAAGTGTAAGAAATAAAAGAATTACCTGATTAAAATCTAAAATCTTAGTAAATATTTTCTGATGAAAAAGTTGATGAAAGATCTTCAAGTGAAGATGAAGGATAAGCAAAAGCTTATTATTAAACAAATTGTATAATATGTTCAAATAATTTATTTTTTCGAGTAGATAAATATGGAGAGATTATAGCAGCTAGTTAATCAACACTTAAAATATTAGGAAGACCTTAAAATGAATATAGAGGAGCTAGAGTTGAAATTTTAATGCCAGATATCATAAAAGAAAATCATAATGATTTCTTAAAATAATTCTATAAAACTGGTTAATCTGAAAATTTATTCAAACGAAGATCAATATTAGTTAAACATAGTAAAGGACATTGTTTTAAAGCATAAAAATATTTAAAATATGTTTTTAATTTAGAATAAGATAGATTTGAATATTTGAGTATGTTGAGACCTGTTTCAAGTAGATCTTAATATATAGTGTTAAATTCAAAATGGGAAATTGATTCATCTAGTGAATACATTTATTCTATGTTTGGTGATTATAAACTTCCTTTTTTATCATTATGTCCAAAAGTTATTTCATATACAGAATTTGCAGAGTTTCTTACTAATTTTGATATGAAAATTTTGAGTTTAAAATTATGTTCATTTGGAAGTAGAGAAAGAATTTAGGATAAAAAATTTACTTTTAGAAGATAAAATGATTAAACATTTAGCAATAAATCAATAAATGAATTAACAAGCTTAGTATTTAAAAGAGAATTGGAAGAAAAGTAAAAATAGAATGTTATTTAACTATTTTAATAAGTGCTTGAAGAAGACAATGAAATAGAAAGGACTGCAAAATTAACAAGATTAAATCATGTTAAATTAAACATTAGAGTTCCAATATATAAAGCAGAATTTGAAGAAGATTATAATCGATATGATGCATAAATGAAAACTATATTTTATGATGGAGAAAGCATAAAAAGGTTAATTTTCAGGAATGAAAATGGAAAGTTAAGAGTAGATAAATTTGAATTTCTTTAAAGATATAGATGGGTTAAGCAATAAAGATTGAAGTTTATATATTCTAAAATTAGTAAGTAATTAAATTAAAATAGAAAATTTGTTTGAACATTTTTGTTAAGAAAAATTACTTGAAAAAGTATTAAAAGTAGATGCTAATATTAAGTTCTATAAAACTCTAAATAAAATATCATTCTATATTATAAAGATTAATCGTTTAGAACTTTATGATGAGAATACAAATAATACTGATAAATAAGAGATTGAATTTGCTAATACAAATTCATTTAAACCTTATACATCAGCAATGGTCAGAGAAGTAGTATTAGCTACTTAATCTTAGAGTTATACTATGAAAAACTAAAGTGGTTATCAATATTCTGGTACATCTCTTTTACTATATAGATATGGAATTGATTTCCAATAGAGAATACACTTAAAAGCCCTTTTTAATTGATTACACATTAAGAGAAGATTTTCTAGTATAAGGATCTAATACTATTTATAGTTTAAATGAATAAAACAATCCTTTTATTAAAGAAGAAATTAATAAAATATAAAAGAAGAGTTAAAAGTTAATTTTACTAATAATCTTAAATAGATTTTCTTTTTTTTTATAACTATTGTTTATATCTTTTACTTACTTTTTTTGCTCTTTTTATTACAATCCTCTTACTTAACATGATTCAGTGATTTTATTGGGTCATCTTTATAAAGTTTAACTAATAACAGTTTCATCTTATAATTATATTATTGATGCTTTTTTAATGAATGAAAATAAATTGACAAATCTATTAATAATCAATCCAACAACCAAATTTAATACAACAGATTAATTTTTTGATTTATTGAATAAGGAAATTAATGATTCCTACTCATACATTTATAATATTTACACTAATTAAGATTTTGTATCAATGATATATTCTGGATTTTATAGTGATGATGAGACTGTTAGTGGTTTAGATATTTTTGATTAATTTTAAGTAAATCTATTATAATTCAACCAATCTGATAAATCAAAGATAACTTAAAATAATTCTATATTATCACATTTTAGAGACTATATGATACCTTTTTCTTAAAAATTAATGTCAGATTCAGTCAGTTAAAGAATTAATAATGCAATCTAAAATTAAAATTAATCCATTGATAATCTTATCCTTTTTATGATCCTTTAATTTTCACTAATGGTTATTAATTCAATATTTTCTTTGATTATTAAATATAAATTTCGTCGTGATGTTAATACTATTTTTTTAACAATAGCAAATATACCTAAGGAAGATAAAATTAAAGCCATGAAACAATATCAAATTTTATTTGCATAATTAAATTCTCTATTTGATGAAGAATGTATTATACTATTATTATTTTAAGAATATGGATATAAAAAATAATCATTGCATATTTTAAACGCTGATACAGTAATGTAAATATAATAATTAGAAATAGATAACAAGATTTCGAGCTGAATGATGTTGAAAAAGCCAATCAAAAAAGAGATAAAGCTAAAATTAAGAAGCTACCTAAATATTAACTTAATGTATAGTTTTAATTATTAATTTAGACTGCAATTGTCCTAATATTGTATTTAGCAATTATACTTGTTCTATTTATACTAGTTTATTATTTTATAATGATTAATTAAAATTAGACAAAGCAGTTCTTCTAAGACAATAATTTTGTACTTTAATCAAATTATTTTTGGTTAATCACATTACTTAAAGAAGTAAACTATTTTTAAAATTATATAGAAATTTATTTATGAAAATTACTTAAATTCATCTTATTACCCAAATATCACATAGTTTAGGTTTGAGTAATACCTTGACGACTTAAGTTTAGTTCAACCTCAATTATACTAAACATCAATAGAAGAAATTTAAAAAGTTTTTGATGACACATTATGTAATTTCTCGTTTGGTAGAATTATAATAGTAAATTTAGATGAAACCGATACTTATATTTATTACAATTAATTCTGCGAAGTAATATTAGATGGAGCTCTAAAGAGAGGATTGAAATAATTTAATCTATTATTATCTTAGGTTGTACTGAAAGCATTAAACCCAGAAGATGAAAGATATGATGATTTTACTTTAGAAGCTCTCAGTCAATACCAAATATCATTTTAGATTATTTATAAAATATTTTTGAGTATATTTGAGATTTGGGCTTCAAATGCTGGGAATTCATTAAATAGCACATCAGATTTAAGTCTAATTTCTTAGTAAATATTATAAATAATAATTTAAGTATAATATAACTTTTTGTAGTCATAATTTTATACTTTAGTTTATTGGAATTTTTTTTATTCACAAAATTATCTCAAGATTTTTAATTCAGTAAAAAATACTATAGATATTTTATGTTAAATCAAACCATGAATTAAGTGAAGACTATGAGAGTAGATTTGGTAAGAACTGGCTTATTATCCAAATGATAAATTTATAATTTTAGCACTAATTAATTCAAATATTTAAATTTTATTAATTTCAATATCTAAAAAAGCATTTATAATATTTATAAAAACTATAATTCTTTCAAAAAAATTTACATTCGACACTTTAAATATGATATTTAGATGCTTATTATAAACATTCATACATCAGCCTTAAAGCTTAATAATCAAGTTCACCACTTTATTACTATCCATGATAATTTTCAATGAAAAATACACTTTCCCTTGGAATTTTTAAAGATTAAACTATTGATTCTATTCTGCAATCAATATATATTTAATAATCATCATGATTTTTGAATTTACATTCCAATTTATCTAATTATGTTAAAATTATGAATGGATTGTCATAACCCTTTTATTTAACAAGATTAAGAATTTGTTAATAAAATTCAGTTTCTTCTTTCCCATTAGGTACCTTATCTAAACTGCCATCAAAAACTATTAGAATCTAATGAGGGATGAAGGTTCCACAACTAATAATTTCTTAAGGGAAAAGTTCAGAATCTTATTTCCAAAATTCCCACAATTTATAAGCATACCTATAAGTTCTCTATTCAACCAAACTCATATTTTTTACTTTCCCTTCTAACATAAGCTCCACTTGTTTATTTTCTTTTAAACTTAAGTGTATTTATCCTCGAGTGTCTAGAACGTTGATTTCACAATTTTAAATTAAATAAGAATTCTTTTTTGAAAATATCTTATTTTCAGCTGATTACACTAAATTTATGCTTTAAAAATGTTTTGTTCCTTCATTATGTAATAAGTCTTTGATACATAACATTTATGGTAATGTTTATATTTAATTTAAACTAGTATTAAATGTTCTAATTAAAGACGATTTTCCAGAACCACTTGGGCCAAAGAGTATAATATTGCATCTTTATAATTAATTGAATGTTTTTATTTTTTGTCTTAGATCTTCACAAGTTTTTTTATAAATTTATTCTTATCTTATTGGAATTGACTCCTTTTTATGTTATTCTTATTGAGTTTTAACAAATGGTGATCTGTTAGTGCCACTTGAAGATCTTTTTGATATTGACTATTTAGGTTTTTAAGCCTAATTAACGTATATCATATTCATTAATTTATGTAAATATTTTTAATTTGATTAACTATCTATTAAAAACAATTTTAAAACTAGAATCCAAAAAATTCCACTTTTCTTCAAAATTACAATATTTAACAGATTTATTGTAAGAGTTAACTATAGAATAATTAATTTATAAATCAAAATAAACTCTAACAATTCAAAAATTAAAGCTAAGAGTTGGAATTAACAAATAAAATAAAAAAACACTAAAAGTTTCAATGTAATTTGGATGTTATTGTCTTTTATTAATTCATCATTCATTTGAATAATCTTATTTAATAAAGTTATTGATCTCTTTCATCATTTTTTTTTTAATCAATATACTTAAAATCTTGAAGTTTGCAATTTAAAAAAATCCTTTTAGAATTTAGCTCTAAAGGGAACTCATATCTAAATTAAATAATCAAATATAAATATGGATAATAAAAACATCTTTCTTGATTTAGGAGAGAATGATCTTCTAACAATAAAGAAGACTGAAAATGAAGAAGTTGTTTCGTAATTTAATCAAAAAACTGAATAAATTACCTCTTTTGGAAAGAAAATAATAAAAGGTTAATAGTTTTGGAAAGAATTTTATAAATAGGAATTAATTAAAAGCAAAAAGAAACATCCATAAGCTACTCATAATGAGTTGACATCATTCATTTCAAAAAAATGGAAAAGAAAGAAACAAAATAAGAAGCTTATTAATAAACTTAAATTGAAGATTAAGCATGAAAATACTACTGATATAACTATTTCAAGTAATAACAATGATGAGATAGCAAATATTCATCAAGAAGAATAAAAAGATGAAATTATTTAAAAACTCAAAATTTAAACATTTAAATTAATTTATTTAGATAATATTTGCGAACTTAAGGGAGAGACAATTTTAGAAGCAATTTAAAATAATATGTAGCTTATCTACATCAATAAATCTAATGAGATTAATAATTAAGAATAAATTTTTGATTTAAATCAATAGAAAATAACTCAAAATAATCAGGAAATACCGGAAATTACAGAAGCTTAAAAATAACCTTAATAGGATTCAGAAGATGAGCCTTTAAACGATGAAGAGGATACCAACTTTTAAATAAAAAATAAAATCATGAATTATCTATGATTATTTTAGAAAATTCAAAAATTATACAATTTTAATAATAAAATTTAATATCGGTCATGGTCTATTCTTTTTCATAAATATATAAACTTGAGAGCAATCTCAATGTTCTATTTTAAGGATTCTTAAAATTTAGCAATCGAAAAATTGCAAACATAGTGACTTACTATAAAAATGTCAATAAAATCTTTTACTCATGCTTATTAATGATTTATTTGTATCCATCAAGATATTTTAATCATAAATAATACAAATAAATAGAAGCCAAAATAAAAATATATATATAAAGAGGATAGTTTAGAATTTAGCTCAATATAAGAGAAATCAATTTTGAAAATCTAGAGTATCGAGAAAGTTTAATAAGGAATAAAAATACAATTAAAAGATTCAAATGAGAAGGTTTAATAATTAAAAATTATAATACAAGAATTTTATGAAGAATGGTTATTTATCAATTCAATAGAAGAAAGATTGTATTTTAATAAAATTCAACAGATAAAAAAATCTATTTACATATGCTTTGAAAAATCGAATTTTAAAACTAATAAGTTTTCGAGAACATTATAAAATATGGGATAAAGCGACATTTCAATATAAACCAAAAAATAAATTAACAAGAAAATCACTCTTAATTTTTCCTAGAATCACAACCAAAAAAACACATATGAGGAATTAATTACTTTAAGTTACTGAGAAACAATAGCTAAAAAATAGAATCCTAATTAATAGGAGAACTTGCGATCTTATCATGCATTTAATTAAGAGTTAGTTAAAATGGAAATATTTCAAATTAATTTCCATAAAATAATATTTAAAATGTTATTAATACTTTTAAAAAATAAAATTAACAATCTAAACTATAAAAAATTCAATAAATTAGGAATAAATATAGATTTATTTTATGTTTTCAAAATACCAATAGAATCAATAATTAAATAAATGATTCTATTGTTATATTTTATCGATAATAAAATATCCTTATATAAAATTTAGTAAATATTTTTAGTTATTATTATAATTATGTCATTCTTAAATTATGAATAAAAATAAAACAATCATGATTATGAAAAAGATAAAATAGGTCCAGATAAAACTTCAATTATGATTAATCCAAAATAAGGATCCAATAGCGAAATATAATTTTATTCTGATATCAGTGTAATAGATAGTAATAGGCCAGTGCCATAATCAAGCTTAATAAGACCTATAGCGTAATTAAAAAAAGAAAACTCAGGAAGATAATTAAGATTTAACGTAACCTTTTTTTCAAACAAACTTAGACCTCATCTAAAAATGTTAAAGGTGATTAATAAGTTGCCAACAAAATTTCTAATTTTCGTAAAGTGGTCCTAAAGAATGAAGAAAATATTAAAACTATTTAAGAGAGGTTTTGGAACAAACTTTTAGAAGCAGCATATATTTGGAGAAAAGACATATTCAATTATAATAAAGAGGTTATAAATAATTTATTTTCTTATGATTCAAAGGAGGAAAATAATGGCAAAATAGCAAATTCTTCTAAAGGAATTTTAAGCTTAAAAATAGAAGTGCTATTACCATCTTAATTATTTGTAAGATTATGGGATTTAATGGCACTTATAATAACAGCTATAACATTATGGTTTTCTTCATTTGTTGCAACATTTGGATTATTTTACTAAGAATCCTACAGAATAATAATATATATGTTTATTACATTCTTCTGGATTGATGCTTTTATAATTTGTCATAAAGCAATAATTTTATAGGGAGAACTAATACTAAACAAAAGAATAATAATTTAGCAATATTTAAGAAGTCATGTTTATAATGACATCATTAATTGTTTGATTTGGATAATCTAATTATCTCACATTGATGATATTCACGCAAGATAGCTACTCTCTTTGATTTAGACTGTCTTTATAATCATTAGATTATATAGTAGATTAAATAATTATATTGATTGTTTATACATGAGTGGTAGTTTGAGTGAATTAATTGATTTGATTATATTGATTAATTGCATATTCTTTTGCATTCATATATTTGCATGTTATTGGACATACATAGGATTTGCTACAGAAAATACAGGTATGAATTGGTTAATAAAAAATTAAATTGAAAATAAGGAACATTGGATTTAATATAATATAGCAATATATTGGGCAACTATGACTATGGTAACTGTAGGTTATGGTGATGTAACAGCAGGAAATTAATATGAAATTGTATATTCTAATTTTGCAATGTTTATAAGCAGTTTAATTTTTGCTTATTCAATGAACTCTATAGGAATTATTATTAAGAATATTTAAGTTTCTTCAAGTTTCTATAAGTAAAAATTTCTTATTTTTCTAAAGGAAAAATCTGATCTTAATGAATACTTATATGAAAAATAATCTTGTATCAGATTCCATTTAAAATAGAGTACGAAATTTTTTAAAATATCAAGCAGAAAATAATTAGTAAACAAATGCTTAAGATGTATATTATTATTTCCTATAGACAGATACATAATATAATTGATGATTTTCCTCCTTTGCTTTAAGAAGAGTTAAAATAAGATGTTAAATTAAGAATATTAAATTAAATTAAACTCTTTGATATCTTTTCAGAGAAAATCAAATATGCTGTTGCTAATAAGTTATAATATGGTTCATGCATTCCCAATGATGTTTTATTTGATAATCAGCTTAGTAATGATCATTCTCTGTAAAACTTTATTTAATTAAAGTTATTTTGTAGAAAAAGGAGAAATAATAATCTAAGAAAGTATGACGAAAAAACAATTAGAAACCTTTAAATCAGGAACTTATTTTGGCCAATATTAATTTTTTACTAATCGTTCTTTACCAATTCGGGCTGTTAGTCAAACTTTTACATAAATTTATAAAATATCCAGAAATGATTTTTTATAAATATTAAATACAAGTTAAATAGATTTTGAAACTTATCATAATATTAAAGATCAGTTAATCATAAATCAAGATTTAAGGATTATAAATTTAAAATGCAACATGTGTTCAAAGTACACACACTTAAATGTTTATTGTCCAATTATTAGTTATAGACCAGATTTAGAAAGACTAATTAAATCTTAATACTTTATTAAATAAGAAAGAAAAAAAATTATTCGTATGGATAGATAAAAAATCAATTCTTTAAATGATTATGAAAACATAGTCACATCTGTTACTTAATATTAGTAACAGGAGTTACATATTTAATCCTCCAACAATTATGATAAAATATCTTAGGATCAAAATGAAAGTTAAAATAATTTAATTAAATAAAATTAATCAAATCAACCAAGTTTATCATAGTTGAATGCATAGAGTGAAAAATAGTAATGTATTAAAATTAAAACATATTAGAGATTTTCTAAACTTAATACTCTTTGGGCTCTTAGATGTAGAAATAATAATCAAAATAATTATTCTATCAAAAATCCATTGGGATCTAAATTAATGAAAATAGAAGAAAATCTATCTCTAGTACTTTTGAATTAGAAAATTTAGTTGTACCTGTATCTAATGCACAAGTTTAAAAATAATTTTTAAACAAAAACGCATTTCAAACTACAGATTTAATGGAAGTTTAATTATAATTTTAAAATTGTGACATTGATCTTGCTTTAAGATCATAAAGTTATTTACCTTTTAATCATATTTCAGTTGTGATAGCTTAAAATAATTAAAGGAGAAATAAATCGAAATAACAATCATTGTTTAATTTTAAATATACATTATTTTATAAGGTCGCAACATTGTGTAAATTAGAAAAACCTGTTAACCAAAATAACTTAAAAAAAAAAAGATATGTAATGAAGAATATATAAATAAAAGAAAAATAATGACATTATTTTACTTTAATTATTAAAAATAATCGTAGAGATCGATAATGGATTAAAATTATTTAATTCTTAATATCTGATTATTAGGATTTCATTATTTGAAATATTATTATATTTAATCGATGTCAAGATTTTACTACTCTAATAATGATGAAATTCTTTCTTCTAAGTTTGACATGGAAGGTGCTACTCCTCAGGTTGAGCCTAAAATTTTATCAAACTCGGAAATTTAATTTTAAAGTGAAATTAGTAATTAGGAAAGCATGAGATCAATAATAAATCTAGAGGCCTAAAAAAAAAATAAGCTCGTTCAGAAAAATTCTTAAATCTTCTCTCTTAAGTTTTAAGTAGTAATATTTTTAACATTAGCAACCTGCACTTGTAAATAGCAAAAAACAAATTTAGCAAAGTTTATTTAAGATTGAAAACAGTCAAGATGGAAAACTAAAGCAAGTTTTGAATAAGCAGATGCTTAAGAAATTTAAGGATAATTTATTACAAAATGCATATATTTTATCATATAATATGTACGAAGAGAAAAAACCTATACTAAATTATTTATTTCTGGACTCTGTAATATAAGATGGTAGGTAATTAAAAAAAAATAAAATTGCTTATAGTTTAGAGAAACTTCTATTCTTTTAAGTTTTCTTACCTTAGGATAAATTTGTGAAATATTGGAATTTATTTAGCATTCTTTTCAGTTTTTTTACTCTTTGGTTTTCACCATTTATTATTTCGTTTTAATTATTATATAGCCCAAGTGTCTAATAAACAATAGTATTTATTTTCATATTCTTATTAATTGATGGATTAATTACATGTAATAAAGCTTATCTTAAACAAGGAGAAGTAACAAAAAACGTAATAATATTAGTTAGTCACCAGTCGAAAAGAGATTATAAATAATTATTTAAGAAATTAAGTCATAAGTGATTTTTTAAATTTGATTATATGGATTATGATGTATAATGGAATAGAATAGTTTTCAATCATTGAAATGTTCACGATTTTGTAGATAATCATAATAATTAATATAGTGTATAAAAAAATTAATAGTTTTGTTGATTATTTATATTTGAATGGAAATTTAAGTGAAGTATTAGATCTAATATTTTTAATAATCTCTTTATATTATTTTGTTCACATTACAGGATGTTTTTGGCATTATTTAGCAATATTTGGTTAGCAATTAAACGAAGTTTCATGGCTTGAGAAGTATTCCCTTGAAGATTAATCATATATAATAAGGTATGATTATGCAATATATTGGGCAACAATGACTATGGTAACAGTTGGTTATGGTGACATTACTGCTTCAAATCCAATTGAGATTGTATTTTCTAATTTTACAATGTTTATCAGCAGCTTTGTATTTGCTTATTCAATGAACTCAATAGGGATAATTATTAAGAATCTTTATGATGTTAGAAATTTATGCAAGTAAAGTATTTCTATATTTTAAAGAAGGTAATTAATTTTAATAAATGCTTACATGAAAAATAATTTAGTTGATGATTCTATATCTAATAGAGTCAGAAACTACTTAAAAAACTAGGTTGATCATGAGTCTAAGAATAATTCAATTGAAGTAATAAATTGACTATTTGTATATTAGGCTTAATAAATAATTGATAATTTACCACATGGACTTAGAGATGATGTAAACATAAACATAAAGACAAGAATATTATAAAATATGAAACTACTAGTAAGTAACTTCTCAAAGTAGACTCAATCTTAAATAATTCACAAACTGGAATAAGTTAATTTCATACCTAATGATATTATTTATGACCCTGAAGGATTAAATCTTGATTAGTATCTGTAAGACTTATTTTTGAGTATATAGCTACTATTTAGATTAAGGATCAGCAAGTTTAGTAGAGGTGAGAACATAGAAGATCATATAAGAATTTAAAGAAGGTGACACTTTAGGAGAGCATTCCTTTATTAGTGGCTTAACACAAAAATTCAAATTAATTAGCACAAGTTACTGTTAATTATATAGAATATCTAGATAAGATTTTTTGAGAGTTCTTTAAAATAATCAAAAAGATAAAGAAATATTCTATTCTTTATAAGATTAATTACTATATCTTTCTGATTATAGTCTAATTAACAAAAAGTGTAACTTATGCCATAAATTTGACCATTAAAATAGTGATTGCTTCATTATTTCATACAAACCTAATCTAGAAAAGCTCGTTAAGGTTTAAGAATTCTTATTCTAATCAAGAAATCAGGCAAATAGAAATGAAAGACAAAAACTTAAAGTTTTAAATTCAATCTAAGTAATATTTAAAATCAAATAGGGAATCTAAGATACAATCTTATAATTTTAACAATGTGAACTCGTATCTAATTAAAATGAAAGTTAAACAGTAATGAGTGGAACTAAGCGAATTAAATAGTATTCCACTCATAGGTAAAGTGATAATAAAATCGAATAACCAGAACTATCTTCTTTAAGTGAATAATCTCCAGATATATAATTAGATAAAATGACTTAGCGAAAACGTTCATCTCATTTTACTGGAAAATTTAATATATAAAACTTATAGAGTATGGAAAACAAAGATGCTTAAAGAAAAATATCAATAGCAATACTCAAAGAGTAAACCTAAAATCTTGAATAGTCAAGTTAATAACTTATTCAATTAAGGTCTATTAAAAATCTTTCAAATACTGCTATATTAGATTAAGAAGATCATTTCAAAAAAATACAATTTATAAGTCTCGACATTGATAAAGGCTATGAATTTTAAAATTATTTACCACAAAATAATATTGAAAATGTCATCCTGCATTACAATAAATAAAAACTCAAATTTATACCAATTTACTCGAAAATCTTAAATTAATCTTAGAAATACACATTTTACTATAAAATAGCTAAATTGGCATCTTAAATGAGAATGATATCTGCTCCCATTACAAGAAGAATCTTAAAATGTCATCAAATCAAAAAACCTAAAAATGAATAATGAGTCTGTTTCTGATGAAATTATGAATTTATATATAATATAATATATTTTTCTAAGAATTAAGATATATAAAAAATAAAAAGTATTTTTAATAAATTTTAGAATATTTGTTCAAGAAGTTACTTTTAAAATTTACATATTGTTTAATCTTAATTATTTAAAGGTTTCCATCTTAAATCTTTTAAGAGAATTTGATATAAATATAGAGGCTTAAAAGAAATTTCTAAATAAAATATTGTCTATTATACTTAGTTATTTCTTTTTTGAATCAATTCAAAATGAATTGTTATAAATCTCTCTTTAAGATTGCAATTAATTATAAATATGATTTAATATTCTAAAAATTTAATTTATGATTTGTTATAGTTGTTTAATTAAAATTAATTTACCCTCCTTAAAATGTTTGAAAAAAAGAAAATGAAAGAAATAATAATTTTTGAAAAAAAATGTATTCTCCTCCTCACTTTGCAGCTCATTCTGCCTTGAATAAAATAACTAAAATTATGGCCGGAATATTTTAGTTATATGATCAGTTAAAAATAGAAAATTAACTACAAATCCCTAAGTCTAATTAGGTAATAAATTATGATTAATTTTAGAAACTAAATAAAACATTAAGGAACCTTCATCATATGAATTTTGATGATGAGATCCTAATTTTGGCTTTTTATTTTGTTGATTAGATTACTAAAAAGCTTAGAATTTTTCTAAACATTGAAAATAGTACTGGATTATTAATAGGATCTTTAATAGCTGATAAGATTCTTAACGATTAACCTAGAAATATTAGAAAATACATATTGGCTAGTGGCCTCAAAAAAGAAGAACTTATTTAATTAGAAATATATTTTTTAGAAATCTTGGATTATAATGTATATGTGACAGCAGAAAATTTCTAAATATATAAAAAAAGAGTTGAAGATTATTGATTAAAATTATTTACTTGTTTTGATTACTATTCAAATTTTGTTTATGATTTAAATTTTATATTTTATTTAATATATAATTTAATATTTTTTATGGGCTGTCTTTTTGGAAAAAAATAATTAGTTAATCAAGAAAGTGAAATAAGTTAAGATATTTCAATAAAATTGGATTCTAGTGCTTTTAATACACAAAACGAATCTTAATTCTTAGGTTCTAAAAATTAATAATACAAGGCTATCCATGTTATTCTTAATTGACAAAAAAGTTAGGAGAGATTGTTTAATAAAAAGTAGGTGAATGGTCACAATATGAAAATGAGCTGAATGATCACAAATAGAAATTCCATCAGTATAATCAATTAATGGATGCAATTATGAATGGTTAAGAGGTATTGTAGAATATTAATTATTTTGATCAGGAAAATTGAAAATATTCCGCAAGAATTTAATACAGATTTTAAAACTTGTCTTATCATAGATATTTAGACAGGAAATTTAAAAAGTTAAGGAACTGAAACATACTATTATGTAGCAATCTAATTAGGTACTAAAGATGTTAAAGAACAAAAAACAAAAGCTTTAAAAAGTTCTTAATACATGCAATGGAATGAAATAATTATTTTTAATTTAGATGATCCAAACCTAAGCAATCAATTCAAACTTTAAATAAAATAATAAAATCAAGTTGGAGAAAAAAAATCTGAATCTGTTGGTCATAGTATCACATTTACTTTTGAAGAACTTAAGGAATAGATTATCAATCAAAAAATTATTAGACTTAAAGAAAAAGATGAAATTATTGGAAGTTTGTAAATGAGGTAATAATACTTTGACTATTTAGATGTTAATTGATTCATGATATCAAAGATTTTGCAAAATACTGGAAAACAGAGCTGATATATAGAGGTTAATAAATTGATAGAATTTTGTAAAAGAGTAAACTTAATTCAAGTGACAATGATGTTCAATTCTAATCTTTAATGTCATTTCATTCAAATAGATATCACAATGAAACTGTGTATGATTTATAATTTGAAATTTAATGAAATCATAATACAAAAATTCCATTTTTTTATAATTGAAGTTAGATATTTGCAAGGTACTTATTATGTTCCTTCGTTATATATAAAAAAAATTGTAATTCTATATAAAATAAAATAACAGATTGAGAAGACCCACTTTTTTGAAACTATAGGTATAACTAATTGTTGCTTAGTAAATTAAATTTTTATTATGATTTAAAGATTTACCTAAGATTAGAATATGTTATTTTAAGAAATTTCTAAATTTGATTAAGATTTTTTTAAACCTTAATCATTATAAAGTAATTTTTATTAAAAATTTTGAATCTCCTTTTTCTTCTTGTCAATTATCAAATTTAAAATAATCCTCTTATGCAAAATTCTGAATTGCTAATCAATAATTTTTAAAAATAGTTAATATTATTTTTGGATTTTACTTCTAAAATTTTATTAACTATTAATTCATCTTACTTTTTTTATCTAACTAAACAAATCTCTTAAAAGACTGTGCAAATATGATATAACTCCGAAATAAGAGTTATCTTGATTTATTTAATAATGAAGTTCTTTCAAGCATCTTGAATTTTCTATTTTCACTTAATCAGCATTCTGAATCAATTTTGATTTTATATCGCATATTTAATAAGATAAGTGTTGAAAAAAACAGGATTTTAAACTTGTTAATGCAATCATATTCTCTTCTTCACTCTACTTACAAAGAATCTTCTTTTAGTTTTATTCATTAAAGTCATTATTCACTTAAATTAATTCTTTTATACAGGTTTAAAACGATCTTCAGAGATGATTTTGAAATTGGAATGAAGGATATAAATGAGTAATTTATTAAACTATTTTTTATTTTTATAATATTTGAATCTATAATTTCTATTGCTCTGGCTTTATTAATTGAAATCTATCGTGATATTATATTAAATGAAGGTTTTCATTTTTCTTTAGCCATAACAAAATTAATTGATTGAAATACCAATAATTAAGCCAAAGAATAATTAATTGTTAGCATCAAAAGAGTTAAAATAAAAATGGAATATTGATATATAATTCATTAGAAATAAGAATTCAAGCAAGTGCTTAAGTGAAAAACAAATTTGCTGAAAAAATTCCTATCTCCTCTCTTCAGTATTAAAATTTTATATTAGTGTTTCTTTGAAAGGAAATAGGACTACTTTTAATCAACAAGATTCTCCGTTTTTTGATACATATTAGATTTCTGAGTTTACAAATAAATGGCTAATTGTTGAAGTCCCTTAATTATTCTATATTACTTTCTTTATTGTTTGAGTCTGATTTAATTTTTAAACTTTATAAGTTTGATTATATTATAAGAAGATCAGTAAACTAATCAACAATTTTTTTATTGACTAACATAATCAATCTGGTTTGCTATTTGATTCAAATATAAAAAGAAAATAAAAAAGATTATTTTCAGAAGAACAGTAATTTAGTTCTAAAGTGTTTTCTTAAATAATTATCCAAATTTTACAGTAATTTGAAATGTTTAATATCAATTATTTACAATTATATTAAAATTCTCTAAAAAAGCATTGAATACCTGATGAATTAAAGCAATCCTAGATTAGAAAAACAATTTATATCTCTTAAACAATAATGTTTGCTTCCAAGTCTTAACTATGATTATAGTGCAAGAAAAAAATAAAAATTAAAGACTTATTTTCGCCAAGAGAAATGTACATCCATAAGCCCTAAAAATCAAATAATCAAGACTTAGAGAGATCTCATGAAGCAAATTGATTCTGAAAGAAGTTCATAACTTTATTCTTTTGAAGACGAGGTTAGTAGATCTGTTAGAATCTAAAGAAAGTCAAGATTACATCAAGGAAACAAAATCTTAAATCATCCCATTATAAAGGACAAACCTATGTTAACTGATACATAAATTGAAACTGATACTCCATATTTTAAAGAAAAAGAATCATCGATTAGTAAGTCNTAATTTATTAAACTATTTTTTATTTTTATAATATTTGAATCTATAATTTCTATTGCTCTGGCTTTATTAATTGAAATCTATCGTGATATTATATTAAATGAAGGTTTTCATTTTTCTTTAGCCATAACAAAATTAATTGATTGAAATACCAATAATTAAGCCAAAGAATAATTAATTGTTAGCATCAAAAGAGTTAAAATAAAAATGGAATATTGATATATAATTCATTAGAAATAAGAATTCAAGCAAGTGCTTAAGTGAAAAACAAATTTGCTGAAAAAATTCCTATCTCCTCTCTTCAGTATTAAAATTTTATATTAGTGTTTCTTTGAAAGGAAATAGGACTACTTTTAATCAACAAGATTCTCCGTTTTTTGATACATATTAGATTTCTGAGTTTACAAATAAATGGCTAATTGTTGAAGTCCCTTAATTATTCTATATTACTTTCTTTATTGTTTGAGTCTGATTTAATTTTTAAACTTTATAAGTTTGATTATATTATAAGAAGATCAGTAAACTAATCAACAATTTTTTTATTGACTAACATAATCAATCTGGTTTGCTATTTGATTCAAATATAAAAAGAAAATAAAAAAGATTATTTTCAGAAGAACAGTAATTTAGTTCTAAAGTGTTTTCTTAAATAATTATCCAAATTTTACAGTAATTTGAAATGTTTAATATCAATTATTTACAATTATATTAAAATTCTCTAAAAAAGCATTGAATACCTGATGAATTAAAGCAATCCTAGATTAGAAAAACAATTTATATCTCTTAAACAATAATGTTTGCTTCCAAGTCTTAACTATGATTATAGTGCAAGAAAAAAATAAAAATTAAAGACTTATTTTCGCCAAGAGAAATGTACATCCATAAGCCCTAAAAATCAAATAATCAAGACTTAGAGAGATCTCATGAAGCAAATTGATTCTGAAAGAAGTTCATAACTTTATTCTTTTGAAGACGAGGTTAGTAGATCTGTTAGAATCTAAAGAAAGTCAAGATTACATCAAGGAAACAAAATCTTAAATCATCCCATTATAAAGGACAAACCTATGTTAACTGATACATAAATTGAAACTGATACTCCATATTTTAAAGAAAAAGAATCATCGATTAGTAAGTCTGACGATGAAAATGATGAGAAAAATGAAAATAAAATAGATTTAAAATTAGAGGGAGAGACTGGTAAAGCTTTGAAATAGATAAGTCATAAAATAAGTAATATTAGATTCATTAACCTTAAGATCAAGAATTAAATAATTCATATTATCATTTTATAAAAAAATCAGAAAAAATGAAAGATCTAATTCTAAATTTTTAATAAAAAGATAATTTGAGTCCAATCCATTACTATTGTTTAAATGATAGTATTTTTCCAAAAAGAATAGAACTAAATAAGCAAGATGTTAAAGAAATTAATTTATCTGATTTAGGATTAACTCCAAAATATATTCCATTAATTAGAAATTTATTAAGTTAAAAGAAAGAAAAGAATATAAAATCAATTGACATAAGTCAAAATAAAATTAATGAGTGGTCATTAAAGCTATTAATTGATGTTTTTCCATCTAAAGTCAAAACAATTAATTTATCGCTTAATTAATTAAATCGTCGAGGGGCAGTACTTCTGTCTGAACATTTGAAAAACTTTTAAAAGTATAATAAAATTATTACTCAGTCTGAGGTTCTTGAATTTAAAAGGAAATTAAATAGGAGATATTGGAACTGCAACAGTATTAGAGGCTTTGAAATTTAGTTAGAAAATAAAAAAGTTAAATTTATCAGATAATTCAATATCTGACGCTATATTTAATGATTTAAAAGAGTTTATCATAAAGAATTAATCCTTGTAAATACTAAGTTTAAATTGGAATTAATTAGGCCCCATAGCTGGACTATTTATAGCAAAAGGATTAAATTATAATAAATCAATTAGGGTAGTGGATTTAAGTTATAATAAAATTGGTTAAACAGATAATAATAATGAATGTATAAAAGAATGGTGTTCTCTTTTGAGTAATAATTATACAGAATTGATTCATTTAGATCTTTCATATAATTAATTTAATGAGAAATAACTAAAATAATTTAACTATTCAATTTTAAAGAATTCTCGATTATATGGTTTGCATGTTGAAGGAAATAAATGCTTAGCTTATGTAGACCCTTTAGGATTTATTTAATTTCCTTAACAAATAAAAGGAAAATAAAATATGCAATCAAAACATTAAAATATAGATGGTGTTAATTTCATTCCTATGCTAAATGAAAATGATAATGGATCTGATTGTTGTTGGATATGTCAAGGCTGGATGGAGTATCATTTTATTTATGAACCTGAACCTGAAGAATCTCAAACAGATTCAATATATTTGCATTTAGATTTTTTAGAGTAAAATATTATTTAATTATCTAGTTTTAAGCCAATATCAATGACTACAAGTAAAGAATTATGGAAATAAATAAGTACTAAATTGAATAGTACTACAGTTTTGGAAGATCTAACAACAGGAGAGATTATTCATTAATTGAAACATGCTTTCAGTGCTGGGAAAATGATAACAATGACTGCTATTAATGATGCATACTTAGAAGACAATAAGACTAAAGAAGATATGAAATCTATATTATCGGAATTGAATTCAAAATTCTTTTTCACTTCTTATTAGATGTGTCCTCCAAATTAAAAGATACTATATTTTTTTTCTAATCCTACAGGAAAAGGTATATTTATAAATGAACGATTTCCAATAATATCATTACAATCTGTTGAAAGTATTGAGTTGATTATGGACAAAGAAAAAGTGTTTTTTTATCCTGATGGGTCTTAGATTTCATTATCTTAAGTTGATTAAGTGAATTATTTTTAAACTAAATAAATGTTTGTAATAGATTAAAAAAATTAATACAAACCTTTAGTAAAAGTAATTCCTAGATGTTTGGAAAATAAGTACTTTTTAAAAAGGTTTGCTATAGATGCATAAAAATAAAAATCAAATTTGATATATTGGTAAAAAGAGTAATCTCCTTTTAAATCATATTAAGGNTAGAGGCTTTGAAATTTAGTTAGAAAATAAAAAAGTTAAATTTATCAGATAATTCAATATCTGACGCTATATTTAATGATTTAAAAGAGTTTATCATAAAGAATTAATCCTTGTAAATACTAAGTTTAAATTGGAATTAATTAGGCCCCATAGCTGGACTATTTATAGCAAAAGGATTAAATTATAATAAATCAATTAGGGTAGTGGATTTAAGTTATAATAAAATTGGTTAAACAGATAATAATAATGAATGTATAAAAGAATGGTGTTCTCTTTTGAGTAATAATTATACAGAATTGATTCATTTAGATCTTTCATATAATTAATTTAATGAGAAATAACTAAAATAATTTAACTATTCAATTTTAAAGAATTCTCGATTATATGGTTTGCATGTTGAAGGAAATAAATGCTTAGCTTATGTAGACCCTTTAGGATTTATTTAATTTCCTTAACAAATAAAAGGAAAATAAAATATGCAATCAAAACATTAAAATATAGATGGTGTTAATTTCATTCCTATGCTAAATGAAAATGATAATGGATCTGATTGTTGTTGGATATGTCAAGGCTGGATGGAGTATCATTTTATTTATGAACCTGAACCTGAAGAATCTCAAACAGATTCAATATATTTGCATTTAGATTTTTTAGAGTAAAATATTATTTAATTATCTAGTTTTAAGCCAATATCAATGACTACAAGTAAAGAATTATGGAAATAAATAAGTACTAAATTGAATAGTACTACAGTTTTGGAAGATCTAACAACAGGAGAGATTATTCATTAATTGAAACATGCTTTCAGTGCTGGGAAAATGATAACAATGACTGCTATTAATGATGCATACTTAGAAGACAATAAGACTAAAGAAGATATGAAATCTATATTATCGGAATTGAATTCAAAATTCTTTTTCACTTCTTATTAGATGTGTCCTCCAAATTAAAAGATACTATATTTTTTTTCTAATCCTACAGGAAAAGGTATATTTATAAATGAACGATTTCCAATAATATCATTACAATCTGTTGAAAGTATTGAGTTGATTATGGACAAAGAAAAAGTGTTTTTTTATCCTGATGGGTCTTAGATTTCATTATCTTAAGTTGATTAAGTGAATTATTTTTAAACTAAATAAATGTTTGTAATAGATTAAAAAAATTAATACAAACCTTTAGTAAAAGTAATTCCTAGATGTTTGGAAAATAAGTACTTTTTAAAAAGGTTTGCTATAGATGCATAAAAATAAAAATCAAATTTGATATATTGGTAAAAAGAGTAATCTCCTTTTAAATCATATTAAGGAGATACTGAAGATGTTTTGGATGAATGTTTTAAATTTGATTGGAACTGTATGGGTATTTAACACTTTCTAAAAAATGAGTAAGAACTAGAAAAAGTAATTTAGATAATGAAATTTAATTATCCTAAAATAAAAGATATTTATAAGTATTATTCAAGTTTTGGATATAATGCTAAAAAATTTATAAATGGTTATCAAATAGAAACATTTAATATTCCTATTATTTTGATTTATGAATTAATTCAAGAACTACTACCTTAAGGTATACCATTTGAAGAAGTAGAATCTTAAGTAAATTAGATTAAATATAATTGTGATTCTAAATTTATATATAATCCAGAAAAAGGGTTTGTTAGATATTAGTTTATTGAATTTATCTTTAGAATAGCTTTTTTAGCGATAAAATAAAAATAAAAGACTAATCTAATTATAGATCAGATTCATTTAACATTCTAATTATTAACAGAAAGATTTGCAGCTTTTGACAATTAGCAATAATGGAGAGAAGAACGTTTGTGGACAAAAGAATGCGGAAATTTAATCTATATTAAATAAGGATTTATTTAGAAATTGCATGATTATGTAGCTTGTATTAAAAATAAAAAATGGACCTTCAAATTAAAGTGGATAGCATTGTCAGAATTTATAGACTTTTGTGATCTAATGGGATTCCAATTATTTTTGAGTGAAACTCAATTAAAAATCATCTACAATTTTTCAATGTAAACACATTAAGATGAATTAACTTAAGATAGACATTTAAGAATGTCTTCTGTAGAATTTACAGAGGCTTTAGCAAGGATAGCTGAATTTATTAGTCCTAATGGAAATGATACAGATGTTACTCCTACATTAAGAATGATAATCCCATTACATATAAAATTAGAGAACCTTTTAACACATATTTTCATTACTCTAAAATTTCTTAAGTATTTTTATTTATATATAAAGAGTGAATAACTTTGAATGTTTTAGTATATATTTCAGCTATAATTCAAATGAAATTTTACCAAAAGCCACTGAACATCAACCAGATTAATACGAATGCACAACCTAAGAATTGAGAATTTATAATACGCTTTCTTATTTGAGTAAAATTACATTTAATCTAGAAATCTTTAAAATTCCATATTTGCATCCAAATTATAAACAATTTATGGAAATACCTTTCTAATTAGGTTAAATTTAAAAATCAAAGAGGAGTATTATTGACAGATAAATGACTCAAAAATAAAAACTCTTAAAATTGAAGGCTACATTATAATTACTATGATTTTCATTTTCATATGTTAATTAATTTTTTATAAACAAATGAAAAATAGTGTTGAGAGATCTAAATGCTCGCTACCACGAATAAAAGATTACTCAAAAGAGAAAGCTGAAAAACTTAAATCTTTTTTTCGATCTAATAGAAGTATATCGGAAAATAAGATAATTTAAAGTAAACTTAAAACATCTAAAATGCTGTATAATAATGAATTTTCTGATGATCAGAATGTTATGGCATATTATATGAAAAGCAGTGAAAAATTGATTGAAATGAAATAGATGGTTAATAGTACTTCAGTAAAATCAGATCAAGGAGAAACGAAAAAGAAGAATTTTCCTTTGGGTTTGTTAAAACAAAGTTTTTCTCCTTTTAAACAAATGAAAACAGAAACTGAAGTTGAGCATTTCCATGATGAAGATTCATAAGCCTTAAATTAAATGGAATAATAATCATTTTAAGAAGAATGTAGTCTAAATGATGATGATCATGATATTGTAAGTGAAGAAAGCAGTAGTGATGAACCAAAGAGGTTTGATGGAGTCGAGTTATAATAAGAAATTAAAAAAATTTAACATAAATTACGTAATATAATATCTAATAAAAAAAGATCAAGAAATTGATTAATCATATTTTTACTTTATTAAACGACAGGATAGATTAAGAGATTTGGCAATTAATTTCAATAAAAAAAATGTGGATCCTATAAACTTTTATTGTCTTAATGATAATATCTTTCCAAAAAGAATAGATCTATCTAATTGTTTAATAAATAATAAAGAGATGCATTTTTCTGATCTTGGCTTGACAGAAAAATATTTTCCATTAATAAAAAATTTATTATAATCAGTAAAGAGTCGAGCAGTCAAATAACTGTTTTTATGTAATAATCAATTAGATGAAAAATCATTATTATATTTAATGGAGGGATTCCCAATGGCATTAAAAGAAATTAATTTAGGCAATAATGTTTTGGGGAAAAGAGGAGCAAGTATTATAGCAAGTCATATTACAAAATTTCTAAATTTGAAATCATTAAATTTATAAAATAATCTATTAGGAGATAAAGGAGCTACTTTATTATTAATAAATATCTAAAGAAATATGACTATAATAAAATTAAATTTATCAGAAAATTAAATTACAGATTCATGTTCAACTGTTTTTTATTAGTTTTTATTGTAGAATAATTTTATAGAAAATTTGGTATTAAATTGGAATTAGTTGGGTCCAACAACTGGAACTATGATAGCAAAAGGTCTACAATAAAATAGATCAGTAAAAGTTTTAGATCTTAGTTACAATCATTTAGGATAGAATGAAAGAAGTAATTGTATTTAATGTTGGTGTGAAACAGTACATAATTCATAATTCTCTTTAGTTCATTTGGATATCTCATATAATCAGTTGAGTGAAAAATAATTAAGGTAATTTAGTTAAGCTTTATTAAAAAATAACACTTTATATGGTTTACATATAGAAGGCAATAAATGTTCTGCTAAAGTTGATCCTTATGGATTCATCTAATTTAGTAATGATAGTGAAGAATTTAAAGTAGTATAATAAAAAAAAAATGTTATAGATGGAGTGAACTACATTCCAATGTAAGGAGATAGTTTATTTGGTAATGATTGTTGTTGGATTTGTTAAGGATGGATGGAATATCGATTCTAATATAATCCAGAAAATGATAACAATTAGGATCCAATTTTCATTCATCTTGATTTTTTAGAGTAATATTATAGTTAACTATTAGTTATTAGCCAATTCCTATGACAAGTAGTTATGAATTGAGATAATAATTAATTGAAGCATCTAAAAGAAAAAGTAGTTACTTAGATTTAACAACTGGTGAAATTATACATTAATTAAAATAACTAGTGAATTCTGAAAAAAGAATAACATTAGCAGCAATAACAGAAGCTTATACAGAGGAAACAGATAAGAAGAGTGAACAAATTACTAAATAAATGATATAAGAATTAAGTAAGTTTTATTATACTACATATTAAATGTGTCCTCCAAAGAAGAAAATATTATATTTTTTTTCAAATCCTATTAGAGAGGAATATTTTATTGATCCTAGAGCTATGAGTATGCAAGCTCCTTTAGATAATTTAATACTCTAAGGGAAAGATCCTAAACACTCTATTCATATTTTTCAAGATGGAACTAAATTGGCATTTAAAAAAATATCATTTGTTAATTATGTATTTTCTAGATAGGAATACATTATTGATGATAAAGATAATTATAAACCTTTAATAAAAGTATTTCCAAGGTCATCATAAAAAAAATACGTTTTGAGAAGATTTGCTAATTTTTTAGTTAGAAAATAAGCTCATCTTATTAAATGGAATAAAGAAGATTCTATTTTTAGACCATTCATTGGAGATACAGAAGATTTATTAAATGAATGTTTTGAATATGATTGGAATAGTACTAAAATTAGTAGATTTGTTAAAAGTGATTATGAAAGATTTAAATTAAAAGAATATTTCAGAGCTAATTATTAACTTTTAAAAGATGTCTACAAATTTTATTCTAGTTTAGGTTATTAACCTCCTAATTTTGATGTTTTTTGTATATAAATACCTTAATATATGAAATTAATTAATAAATTAGCTATAATTGATGGAGATTTATTAAAATAATAAGATGTTGAAATAGATATAGTTTCATTAAAAAATAATGTTGATCCTAAATTTATTTATAATCCTGAAAAAGCGTTGGTAAGATATCAGTTTTTGGAAATGTTCTTTAGAATTGCAAATGATAAATATGTTAGAAATGATATTCATAAAAGTTATGCTGATGCTCTATTTAGATTGTTAAAAGAATTTAAAGAACAATATGAATACTTTGATATTATTTAAGAATGGAGAACATAACGATTATGGACAAGAGAATGTGATCATTTGTTATAAATTAAAATGCCTTTTGTTAAAAAATTGTATGATTATGTTACTGATATTGCTAATCGAAAATGGTATTTTAAATTAAAATGGATTTCAATTAGAGAGTTCAAAGAATTCTGTCGATAATTCAATCTTCATGAATATTTATCAGAAAAACAATAAGTTATCATATATAATTTCTCGATGATGACTCAAGTTGATGAATTAACATTAGATAGAAATATTAGGATGACTTTTATTGAATTTGTTGAAGCATTAGGAAGAATAGCTGAAAGAATAAGTGCTGTTCCTATTTCTGAATCAGCTGATAATTATACTCTTTTATAGAGACAACTCTTACCTTTGCATATAAAATTAGAAACTCTTCTTACTTATTTGTATTACTAAATGAAATAAAAAGACATAGAGTTTGAGTAGTTTTGTGATTTATTTGTATATTTCAAGCCAGATTAATCCCCAAAGATTAGTATGCCAAAAGTTGATAAAAATAAAAAACCAGAAAAAGAACATGATTATCATAATGTTCTATCATCACTTACATTATACAATGCAGTCTCGTATTTAAGTACATTATTTTATTAATTCAAGATTAGAATAAATTGCCTTATTTAAATCCTAAATATAAACAATTTTTAAAACAAAATATTATTTAAACTGCTCCTATTCGACCTTTTCAACATATATTTTAAAGTGATAGGATTAGAAAACCAAGAATACTTCCAGATCCTTATATTTTGGAATAAAGATCTAACCATCAATTATAGAATAAATAGTAAAGCCCAAATATGTAAACAACTCTCTCTTAAAATGCATGACTATATTTATTAATAAAAAATCTATCAAAAATATGGACCATTTAAATTTATTATAATTCAAATAGATAATTTTAGAAAGCCAAAATTTTTTGATTTTGTTTGGAGAGAATTTTTAATATATTCTTTAACATTATTATTTCTATTTCAGAATGTATCAAGGACAATTATATTAACTTTTAAATAATTAAACTAAAATAAATATAAAATAAAATTATTTGTAATATATATAGATAAATACAAAATTTATAATGATCAGTTTTTTAGTTTGATTAAATCAAACATATTTGGTAATTGAAGCATTTTAGTACTAACACTTTCAAATTGTTTGTCTTCTTCATCGGAAATACATAATGATGAGATTTATCTATAAAATTCTCTCTTTATAGAAGATCTTTCCAATTCAGTTTATACTTCTTGTATACCTTCTAAATTTTATGGTTGATGAATTATAATTTTGGTTTGTGTTGGATTTGGATTACTCAATTCTTTTTAAGGTTATTGGAATTGTTATTTAGTTGATTGTTATTAATTCATTTTTTTAATCTAAAATGATATGAATTAGGATTAATACCCAGTCATATTAAAAATCTTTTTCATTAACATTTAATTATTGTAGTAAATTTCTAAATAATTTTTTGAGGAATTCATAATCACCTAAAGGATATTATTAAACATTAGTCATTCTAATAAATTAAAAATATTGAAGAATTTCAATTGGCATATCTTTACAGTATTTTTCAGGAATCATTCTTAATTTTTATTCTTCCATTTTTTTAATTTTGGATCCATTTTCTTTGACTTTAAATAAATCTCCTTTTTTAAGGAAATACATAAGTAAGAATCCTAAAGATTCTAGATCATCTTTTGGTGAAGCAGCTTAAATACATATAAAAATATATTTACTTAATCCTAAATGTTAATTAAGACTAGAATATTTAGTTAATTTGTTTAGATTAGAAAATTTCGATGGATATCCTATAAATTTTCCATTTTTATGTTTATATTTAGCAGAGTGCTAAAAATCAATCAGTACCAAATCATTTTTGCCAATTTATGTTAATATTTTTTTTGGTCTTAGATTGCGATGAACAATAGATTAGCTATGAAGTTTTTCAAGAATGTTTAACTAAATAATAAAATGTTTGATTTACAATTTGTATTGCAATCATACAAATGGTTGGTAATGTGAATTCATAATTATGAAATTAGAAACATAGTTTAAGACTTGGTCCATATTTGTCAAATACTTAGTAATAATAATTAGTATTTTAAAGACGAACATCTCCTGAAGTTTATAAAGTTGGTATGTAAGGAACTAAAAAAATAAATAAGTTAAAAATTTACCATTAGTCAACTTTTTGAGTAATTTTTCTTCCTCTTATAAACTGTCAATGTTTGTGTTAGCCTATCAAGTAAATGAACTAACAATAAAATTTAAAGTATTATTTACATTACCAATCTGACAATGAAATAGTTACCTGGTTATGCTTGATTGATTGCTATAAAAATAAAGAAATTATTATATAAGATTTACCCAAATACCAATTATGTTTTTTACCTCTGTAAATACAGGTTTTTAATACAAAAGTTTAACCAATAATTATAAGGTTCTATTTTTAATAGCTGTCCTTTGATTTAGTTTCACTCATTAATAATAAAAATAAATGAAAAGTCTGTAGGATATTCATAAAAAGAATCAATAATAAAGAGCAACATTTGCTCTAATGAATTAAATGAATAATCGTACTTAAATGGGATGGTTCACTCCTTAACCCTCGAATGATTTATAATCTCCTTTCGGAAATAGTCTTAGTTAATTCTCTTAATAAGGATCATAACATAATATTATACATAATACACGTGGTACATGTAATTCATGGAGTTAATCTTTAGAAAGGTAAATACAATCTAGAGAAATGGCAAGATAAGTCAGAAAATAAAATGCATAATAAACAGCAAGATAAGAAAAACATTTCTTTGGAACAATAAATGGTATACCTAAAATTAATTCACCTAAAACTTAAGCAAATTAAACTACATCTATGTTTTAACCTAATTTAATAAAAGTTGATCCTAAAATTAAAAGATAACTTAGTGAAATGAGTAAAAGAAACTTCCTTCATTTTCTCTTAGTCTAAAAAGTGGGATAAGTATATTCTGTTTATATTTATAGAAAGATGAAAAGCAATTCTATGAATATTTAAAAAAGACTTATAATTTTGAACCTCCTTAACCTATTGAAGAATAATAAATTAAAGTCTCAAAGAAAGGAATTAAATATTTGTTCACGAAAGAAGATGATGATGAAACTATTAAAAAAACTAGTTAATAAATATTGAGAATGCATAAATTCCATCATGCAAGAGAAGTCCCACTGGACAAATATGTTTAAGACACATATGAATAATAATTAAGAAGATTTCCTAAAGTTAGAGAAAAACTCGAATTATCTAAAAAGACTCATCTAGAATAATCGTGATCTTAAATTAACATTACATTTTTATCTTAACTCATTTCCTTATATGAATTTATAATATATTCAATTATATAAATTAATTTAAAAGTCCATTTCTATTTTTTATTCTTAATTCAATAAATTTTATTCTTAATTTAATACAAATAAATCAATAAACATTTGATCTTCATATGTTTACCTATTTAATTTTTTTTTCTTATTAAAAATACTTAAAATATTAACTCATCAACATACTATTGATTCCAATTATTAGTTATTAGAATTAAAAATTAAATTATCTATCAAATTCTTTAATTCTTTAAATCATAGAGATTTACAAATACAAAAAATCAAATTGCTCAATTCTTTTTCAACAAATATTATCAACTTTTATGATCTTTATTTAACCTTCTTCTAATGAAATATGCATTCTCAATAAAATCATTAATAAAATTCTTGGTTTAACTTCATACATTAATCTTTTCACTAATTAATTCTTCATAATTGCCCATATTACTTTTAGATTTTCTCTCTCTTAATTTTTTTATTATACAAAAGGAATTGCACAGGCATAATAACATGCTCCAAATAAATTACTAGTTATATCTATCCCTGCATTATAAATAGTGAATTCCATTTTCTTCAGTTAATTTCAGATTTTTTGCTTTAAAATAATAATTCTATTTATATATATTATATTAACTTTTACAAAGTTTGCTGGCTTATTTTTGCATTTATATTCTTTCATTAATAGATATATTTTTAAAGTCTTCTTACCCTTAAGATTCTGGCTAATAACTGTTATTTGACTATAGAAATAGTCAATATAAAATATTTTATTTTTGTATCCATATATTATGAAATTACAATCACATTCACCAATTCAATTAAGATGGTTTTTCATTCAGATCCTTGAAGCTGTAATTATAAAGTAATTGAATAATCACTAAATA